TGTAGATGTTTAGCTCCAAATAAATAAATAAAAAGGAAGAGTTTAACTTTTTAACACAGCAAAATTATATATAACAAAACATTTATCAAGCAAGAACTATAGTTAACAATATTTAGTTCATTAACATTTGGCAAAATTTAATTATGAGTCTAAAGTTTTATGTGTTATTTATCTTTTATTATAACTAAGGAAAATCATAACCATAACATCTGTCTTTAGCTCCATCAAAGACCTCAGAAAGATAATATATAAGCTCTAAAATTGACAGAGACATCTCACTGCCTGGATAGTCATCCAAATTTCCTCTGTAACGTTGGAACATCCATCTTCAGTCCATAGGCCATAATGTGTCTGGAGGACTTCTCAGTGAAGTAGGAAATTGTAAATTGTCTGCCTGTATTGGGCAGTTTGTCAGTCGTTTTTTTTTTTTTTTTTTTCCTGTGTCCTGCAGAAGGTCTGATAGACTCTTCCATGAAGCAGGAACCCTGTAGAAATGTCACATCTTGTTTTGGCAAGTTCAGCAGTCCCTTTCCTTTGGGTCTTGCATACGTCAGACAGTCCCAAAAGTGCTTAACTTGAATCAGATTGCAAGGAAACATCAGCCAAACATAGTCAGGGACTGTCTATAAAATAACTAGTGCCATGGCTCAGAAATGATATCTCAAATACTGTTCTTTCAATGTTGAGGGATCACAGAACATATCAGAATGAGGTCCCTTTAGTCTCCTCTTGCTCCTCTCCCTCCAGAGTAAAGAGAAACACTATGCAAATTCCTTTATTGACCTGAGCCTCTCCTCTAAGAAAGGAACACAATAAATTACCTATAGTCTCCCCACCCCCAACATTTCTTTAGAGAAAACCAAACTCATAGGACAAATTCTTTCGGTCTGTCCCCTGCTGTTGTCCTCTATTTGGGTCTCCTAGAGAATCACCCACAGTCTACTGTGTGTCTTTGGTGCTTGTTTTGCAAGCCCATGAAGTTCTCCTAAATTTTCCACTACCTGACACTCCCTGCTGAGTTTCTGAATCACACTGGGCTGTGAGTTTTTTCTTTTACACATTAATAAATTTCCATGCTTTTTGCCTATTTAATTAATCTCTGTCAGTTTATTCCTGTGACCCTTCTTCAGAGGGTATAGGAGAAATATTCCTTTGTCCCACACTGGGAATTTGCAATGTGAATGTTAGTCACTTTTATCCTTGGAATCCAGGGATCTGGAAAGTCCAGAGACTTGATATCACAACATTGTTAGCTTCTTGTCTAAACTTTTTTTTCTTTTGTTTTCTATCCATCATGCTGCACTAATATTTGAGAGAAGTTTCCAACGTAAGAATTTTTAGCACTTTTAATCCCAGCACTTGGGAAGCAGAGACAGGCAGATCGCTGGGTTCAAGGCCAGTCTGGTATACATAGTGAGTTTCAGGACAGCCAGAGCTACACAGGGAAACCCTCTCAACCACGCCCCACCCCCAAAAGAGAACGTTTACTATTTTGCAATAAAGCAGCATTGCTTGGCCACAGAGGCTCCCATTTTTCCTGTCTTCTTTTCACCCCTGATTTACAGATATGCAGATTAGCAGCTTGAAAATTTTATGCCCCCTGATATAAAATAAGGGATCCTGGATGAGATCACTTGTCTTAGTCAATAAAAAGTAGACAGTGTTGATATAACTGCTCCAAGCCTTCATTGCTGTTTTTTGTTTGTTTGTTATGTAAGTGTTTGAGCTCATCTCCTGATTAGCTGGGAGAACAGGAACCTTCATTAGTGAAAAAAACATGTCTTACACAAATGTTTCTTAATGGATTTTACATATTAAAAATAGGAGAAACATGCTAACTGTTAAGATTAAAACTTGAATATTTTCAGTTTAAAATTCCCCTAGGAAAGAGTATCTGTGAAATGTAAGAATTCCAAAGCTTGGGATTCTCCCCTACGTCCCTGAGTCAAGGTTTTGCAGCCATCAAGGTTTTGCAGAGGAGTCAATTTCCAGGTCAGTAGCGCTGACCTTCTAGTGGTTACAAAATCAACCATTAGCCTGTGGAGTCATTAGTCAGCAGCTGCCCATCTGCTAGTTGTGTTAGACATTAACTGGTTCTTGGCCAGATGCTGGGCCTGAGCATTGGAGTGACACTTACTTGAGCAACTCCCAGGATCTCGGAAGGCAGGAGGGAATGAGATCTCCCAGTGCAAAGGCACTGTGCTGTTCCATGCCTCGCTTTCTTCCTCCCCGTCAGAAGCACCCGGGTAGAGTGGGGCAAGGCCTTGTTCAGTTTTAAGACTCCTGAAGTCCGTTCCCAAACGGCCACTGGCGTATTCTGTAGTTTCAATCAAAACTACTTCCAGCGCCCTCATTTTCTTCCTTACGACACATTAATAGTGATAATTACTACCTACCAGGAAGGGTCTATGAAGCAAAAGGATGGTGGACACATGATCTGTCCTCCCCTGCTCCTTTTTTGGAACAGGGTCTTATGTAGCACCCAACCTTAAACCTGCTCTATAGCAGAAGGGTAACCTTAAACTTTGGATGTTTCTGTGTCTACCTCCTGAGTTCTGGGATTACAGACTATACCACTGTGTCTGATTTTATGCAGTGTTGAGTACTGAACAGAGGGGTTAGTGCCTATTAGGCAAATACCCTACTACCCAAGTCCCAGCTTAGATGTAACACTTCATAAATTATCACCTTGTCAATAAAGGGTGAAATGGGTGTTATAATAATTGTGGAAGTATCAACAGTCCAAAGTCTAAATATAAGTTAGTCTAGATAAGGCAAGGTGAATACAAACACTTTGACAATTGTACATTAAGATTTAGTCTTTTTCTGTTCCCTGGGCTGATCTTAAACTTTGGGTTGCAAGCTACCTTCCCATCTTCAGATTTTCAAGTAGCTGAGACCACTATCACCTAAGATGGCACATATTTTGCACATGTAAATGTTAATTCTAAAACATTTGGGAGCAGGGATGGTGGTATGCATCTATAATCCCAGCTATTTGTGAGACCGAGGCAGGGACAAAACAAGTTTGAAGCCAACTTCAAGTGTAGTTATGTGAGTTATATGATCTTTCGTCAAAGTATCTTCAATTTGCTGGGCAGTGATAGTGTGCACCTTTAATCCCAGCACTTAGAAGGCAGAGGCAAGTGGAGCTCTGTGAGTTTGAGGCCAGCCTGAAACTGTCTTGAAACGCCACCCCACAAAAAAAACTATCTTAAGTTTTTATATAGATGTAAGTATTCCTTTTTGTCTCTATGTTTTCCTAACAGTTTTAGCTATAAACAATGTGTTTTTCTCTTCCTTATTGTCCTAGGGACCTGATTGAAATGTGGGGAAACTGATGAATACTGTGGAGTATTGTTCTGTCTGGAGTGAGAAGCTATATGGGCATCTATTACTTTGTGAGGTTTTCCTCACAAGAGAGCTGATCAATGACTTCTGGTTTAAGTTGGAGTTCATCATGATAGTGACACTAGGGAAGTGGGCCAAATGTACATATTTCATCACTACCTGCTTGGACTCTGAAAGACCTCATGTACAGGCAATGTCTACAGCATGCCAAGAGAGCAGGCTGGAAAATAACCAAGAGATAGCCACCCTACTCATGGACTTTTTTTTTGTTTTCCATCTTGTAATCCTTATTTGGGAGGAGGGTAGGGTAGGGGGCCCACGCATGTGTTACAGAGGATTTTGACTTCCTCTTGCAACACTTGTGCAATGGAGAGCAATCTCGTAAAGTCTGGTAGCAGATGCTTTTTGGCTGAGCCATCTCTCTGGGCTTCATGGACTTCTCCGGTGGGAAGAGTTCAGATTCAGAATCTTCTGAACCAGATACTGGGATGTGGATAGTCTTCCTTGGTGTGAGGCTTTCTCCTTAATCCCCTATATTTTGTTACAGAGAAACCCACTCATCCAATTTCTTTGTGCGTGTGTGCATATCTTTGTGTGCCTGGGCAGGTCAGTGGATAACGCTGAATTATTGCCATTTTTCAGGCACCATCCACCCTTTTTCTTTGAGAACTTTTATCCCGTTGGCCTAGAACTTGCCAAGTGGGGTAGACTGGCTGGTCAGGCATCTGCTGTCTTCATCTCATCAGTGCTGAGATTACAAACATAGACTAGCACACTCAACTTTTTTATTTGTAAGTATATTTGGGGATTGACCTCAGGTTTTCTTGTAAGCACTAACTGAGCCATTTCCACCCCCTCCATGCTCTCAGAATCCCATCCCATGTTCTTCTCACTGCTGTCCGTCCTCCAGTTGGATCTTTACTGTTTTTCAATTAATGTACTACAGTGACCTCTAAAGTGGTCTTCTCCCTCAGTAGTGTCAATGATCTTACCCTCGACCATAAATTCTTCACAAGAATGTTAAGACTGAAAATATGATCACGTCTCTTCCTTCTTAGGGATCTTCACTGTCTCCCTAATAACTTACAAGGCAATGTCTACAGTCTTCAGCTTATGCAGTGTCTGCTCTGATAGTTTGTTAATAGTCCCTTAGTTTAGTCCCCTTTCCTTATACTGTAGATGCCCCTCTTCTTACATACACACTCCCTCCACAGTAAACTTAAGAGAAAAAATATTTTCAAGTCCAATTCCCATGGCTAGGATATAATCTAGTATTTGTGATAGTTGATGTGACTTTTCAATTTGACAGAGCCCCAGGGATATGGCCTGTGGGCATGCATGTAAAAGATTACCTTATAGGAAGACACACTTGGTTGTGGGAGGGACTCTGCTTCCTGCACAGTGGGTCTTAGGATATGTAAAGCACCCAAAGCATGCTAAGCACTATCAGGCATTCATTTTCTCTGCTCTGTGACTATGGCTACATGACCAGCTGTCTTAAGTTTCTGCTTCCTTAACTTCCCTGCCATGATGGGATTATCTTGATCTGTGAGGCAAAACTAACTCTTTCTCCTTTAAGTGGTTTTTGTCAAGGTATTTTATTACAGTAATAGGCATCTACCAATGCATAATAAATACACACTTAGAAGAATCATTAATACTTAATTTTAATTAAAATTAACAGTTTAGAATGACTGGACAGGAATAGTGTTCAATATCAACTTCTGAAAAAAATCACATTTATATAAAATAAATGAAACAGGCCAGCAGAAATCCAAAAAAGGTTCGGCTTCCCTTATTACACATGGATGAAATGTGCTATGTGGGGTAGGTAATACTTAAGCTAGGACACAGGAGGAAATGAAATCAAAGAGGGCAAACCTCCAGTCTGCATTTAGTCTACAGGTGGAATTCTCCAGTGGCCTTAAAATATTACTTAATATTTTGGACACATAGATGCTCTTTACAAACATGGCTGCCATGCATTTCAGCTACATACATTCTATTTGTTCAAGTCTTGTGTGAGCTCAGTGCACAGCTCTCCCACACAGTGTAACATTTGCACACGAAAGCCCCCAGTGCTCACACAACAGGGGAGGGAGTGGCTCTCCTTTCCTCCCTTACAGGGAACATACTGTAGCTATTGTTCACCTTTTCCAGCACGTCTTATTTTGGTCATTTATATTAGAGCAAGGAAAAAGTGACAGGTAATGTAAATGGGCACTAACACAATTCCTGCTACCACGCAATAAAGTACAATTTTAAAAAAGTCCCCACCATGTTCATTAGGGTGGCAATAACTGTATGAAAAAGAAAAAGCCTGTAAACACATAGAAAATTTCAACTTTGTCTTCTGAACAAATTACAAAATGATTTTTGTTTTTATCCTTAAGTGTTATTTTAAAAAAAAATGTAAACCTGTGAACTTAGTTACCATGAAGACTTGTCCGCCTAAGCCCAGGTTTGACCTTAAAGTTTGGCCTGAGCTAGTTTGGTCTTCAAATTTTCTCCAAGTTTGTCCATGAACTCAAAGGTATTCAAGTAGTCAGAACGCTGAACACTGGTGGGAGAGAAATAAAAGAAAATTTACCTTTTTCTCTGGTGTTCCCCAAGGTAATTAAAACACAACTCCTAGCCATGCTACTCCAGTACACTTCTAGAAGAAAAGTGATTAGTGTTAACACGCTATAAATCCGTGGGCAATGACTGAGGCTTCCGAGGATGATCATGCTCAGGGCAGCCTGCAGCTGAGCTCAGGTGTATACATCCACAAGGCAGCCTGCAGCTGAGCTCAGGTGTATACATCCACAAGGCAGCCTGCAGCTGAGCTCAGGTGTATACATCCACAGGGCAGCCTGCAGCTGAGCTCAGGTGTATACATCCACAGGGCAGCCTGCAGCTGAGCTCAGGTGTATACATCCACAGGGCAGCCTGCAGCTGAGCTCAGGTGTATACATCCACAGGGCAGCCTGCAGCTGAGCTCAGGTGTATACATCCACAGGGCAGCCTGCAGCTGAGCTCAGGTGTATATATCCACAGGGCAGCCTGCAGCTGAGCTCAGGTGTATACATCCACAGGGCAGCCTGCAGCTGAGCTCAGGTGTATACATCCACAGGGCAGCCTGCAGCTGAGCTCAGGTGTATACATCCACAGGGCAGCCTGCAGCTGAGCTCAGGTGTATACATCCACAGGGCAGCCTGCAGCTGAGCTCAGGTGTATACATCCACAGGGCAGCCTGCAGCTGAGCTCAGGTGTATACATCCACAGGAGGCTACTTGCTGTGTGGCTTTGAACTAATAGGAGCTTCAGTTCCAGATGATGCCAGTGTGACTGAAACCATCCTACTTCTTATTTTATATTATTAGACTTGTGTTTTCAAAAGGGGCTTTGACGCTTTTATCTTCATCTGTGTCTTAAAAAACCAAAAGGCAATGGATTGCCTGGGAGAAGACTGCTAACCCAAAGAATGGATTACAATACCTCTACCCTGGTAAGCATGTTTCAAATGTATCTTTGAGATGTAAGTTAAGAAACATGTAATGAATGATTCCATTCCTTTCCTGGTATACACTGACTGTGGCAGATATGAGGCCATACAGGGATATGGTATTACTTTATATTTTAGTAGAATTTCCTTTCTGTTTAAAATTCTATTTTTATACATTTTTAGTTGAAATATAATTGTATCACTTTCCTTCTTCCCTTTCCTCCCTTCAGCCACTCCTAATTCCCCTCACTCTAGCTCCTTCTAAGTCCCTCCACTCTCTAATTGATAGGTTCTTTTTCCCCAATCATTAGTGTTACATATATATGCACATGTGTACACAAATATATAAATTCAAATCGATGAGTCCATTTTGTTGTTTGTGTAAAGAAAACAAAAGGATAAAATAATCTAGTCACCAAGTTCTCTTCACTGTCTGTCCTTTGCCTAAAAATGTATTTTTATCATTTTAAGGTGAGTGTGTGTGTGTGTGTGTGTATGTGTGTGTGTGTGTGTGTGTGTGTGTGTGTGTGTGTGTGCAGGTGCCTATTTTTGAATCCCTGAGCTGCACCTACAGGCAGCTGTGAACCACATAACCTGGGTGCTGGGAGCCCAACTCACATTCTCTGCAAGAGCAGTAGATGTTCTTAAGCACTGAGCCATCACTCCAGTCTCCTCATTTTCATTTAAAAAATTAGCTTTGTACACAGGAGTTTGATTGGCATGCCACTGTACCTATGTATTTCTGTTCGATCTATGACCACTTTCCTGCTACAGTGACAAATGTGAAAGTGAGTAGCTGCAGAAAGACTGTACAGAAAAGATAACTAACTCATATAATTCCAAAGAGGGTGACTTGACAACAGAGTGCAGGGCATCTCACACTTACTTGGGTAAGCCTTTAATGCAAGCAGCCAAATCCTTAGTCATAAAGCCAGCCTCTATGGTCTCAATGCAGACTTCTTCCAGAGCCTTTGCAAAGATGCTCAGCTCAGTATTGTTATCAAGCTTTGCTCTGTGGGCTAACCCTCGGGTCCAGGCAAAAATGGAAGCTACAAAAAGAAAAGGAGAAGTCTACATTTTTATCACTCTACTTATAGGGATTCCAAGTATTTCACTCTTTCCAGAGATGGGGCAGGTTTTTGTTTAGGTGATAGGCGTCCTTATATGCTATGAATTAGGACAGTTGGGAATATCTTATCTGAAGCCCTGTTGCAGAGATTTATCCCTCTGGCCTTAAATGACACTTCATTGTTCCAGGGGTAAAGGCAAACCTCTCCTCTATGCAATGTCTGCTCGCCAACAAAATAGAATATCAACTTTGTGCCTTTTAAGGACATTAAAACAGCTCCTTATAGCTGGCCATGGTGACACACACCCATAATCCCAGCACTTGGGAAACAGAGGCAAGGGGATTAGTATAAGTTTGAGGCTAACCTGTAATATACATATGTAAAAGTCATAGGCTAGCCTGGGGTACATGAGACCTTGTCTCACCACTCATTGTCCAAATAAAACAAAGTGAAGCAAAATAAAACAAACTAAAAACAGTCCACAGCTCCTGATACTAATGAGTCAGAAACTTTGTAATGATTTTGCACAGGAGACTCTAAGTAGCAGAGGTCCTCATCTCAGTTCCTCTGAGACTGTCTCTGGCTGGAAATCAGTGAAGTAGAGCATCTTACCAATGGGGTTGGTGGATGTCTCCTGTCCTTTCTGGTACATGCGGTAGTGACGTGTGACAGTGCCATGGGCAGCCTCTGCTTCTACTGTCTTACCATCTGGACAAATCAGCACACTGGTCATCATACCAAGGGAACCATAACCTGTAAGTGGTAGAGCATGAAGTGTTGGGTTCAAAGGCATGAACAGTACTGATCTAGAGAGTAATAGATTTGATGTTGACAGATTATGATAAATTTGACATGTGTACATACAACCATCAGTAATGCTTCTGCCCCCAGAAAACATGATTCCAGCTTCAAGTCTGGGTCAAACTGTCTGAAAGGCTATTTATTCTCTTAGGAGCATCTGCTCTGTGATAGGGAACCACCTATATCATCCTACGTCTGTGGCTTCATGGTTCCCATGACTCAGTTTTCCTGCCTATAAAATTGGGTAATAGAAGCACCTGTTTCACTGACTTGTGGGATTAGAAGAATATACATATAATCATGAATACATGGTTGTATATTTATATTCCTTAAAATAGAGCTTCCTATCAGGCAAGAGCTCATGCCACTGTTCTTCTGTGTAGAAAGTTCTTTTCTGGAAAACGAAAAGTGAGTTATCTACTGCCCTCACACGGCTTGCCCTTGCTGGGGCGGGGAAGACAAGGTTAAAAGGAGGATGGCTTGGCTGCAGGAACATCCCACTTGCTTTCCATGTCCAATATTCTTGGCATTTCTGTTCTTCCCTTCTCAGGGAACCTTGCTCCAACCTTACTCAAATGTACTCCAAAAGCCCACGCAACTGCCTTTTCTTTTCACGAGTTCTTCACTTGTTTACAAAGTACCTCCTTCATTTTCACTATTCTCCCATGAGCACTAAGATGTGTTGGGGGAAGTCCTATGTATATGTCAATAATAAAGCACTGTTGGCCAATAGGGAACAAAGATAGGTGGGATTAGGAGTCCAGGAGGACTCTGGGAGAAACATAGAGAGTCAAGATGTAACGCCATGGGGTAGGAAGCCTGGAAACCTCTCCAGTAAGAGAAATACTTAGATTAACAATAATGGGGTAATTACTTAAGTCAGAGCTAGCCAGTAAGAAACAAGCAAGGCAACAGCTTCATAATTAATATAGCTTCCTGTGTGTTTATTTGGGACTGATGCGGCTCTAGAACCAGGCTGGCGGGAAGGCTTCTCTCAAGGAAAAGGTTTCCCTTTACAAAGATGTCTTTTTTTAAATTTTACTTTGGTCATACTAATTTTGTTATTATTTACTTGGCGTGTGTGTGTGTGTGTGTGTGTGTGTGTGTGTGTGTGTGTGTGTGTGTGTGTGCATGTGGAGATCAGAGTACAACTTTTGAGAGTCGTCACTTCTCTCCTTCCATTGCATGGATCTTGGGAACTGAACTGAGATCACTAGGTTTGGTTGTTGGGGCCCACAGAGATCTTAAGGTCAGAGAGTTCAAAACTGTCCTTACTTTTCCAAGGTTAAAGTCATAAGACCTAAAGGTCTAAGGTGTAGTTACTGTAGGGTGTCTGATCTTGGTCGTGGATGTCTTATCTAAATAACAAGAGAATTGGTCTGAGGTGTGGTTACTCTTGACCCTCAAGGCCAGACAATGAGAAATTGAGCCTAAGGTGTGGTCACAAAATGCTTGGAGAATTAAAGAAGAAAGTCTGTTTGTTGTTTGTACATGATAAAGAAGTCCTTTTGCCATGTTCTCCTTTTTGGTTGGGGTATTTAAGAATGTCGAATAAACTTGGGGTGTCCAGTATTCACTGGATACCCCCCTGACTTTATCCTGTGTCTTTCTTTCTTCCTTTCTTTTTTCTCAAGACAGGGTTTCTCTGTGGCTTTGGAGGCTCCCCTGGAACTAGTTCTTGTAGATCAGGCTGGTCTCAGACTTAGAGATCTCTGTCTCTTTCTTAAGTGTCTTCACCTGCCATTTCTCAGTCCACACTCCCTCTCTCAGGTATGAACTGGGCAAGTCAGCTGGATCTGACTGCAGCCCCACAAAGATGGGTTACAGCCCTTGGTGGTGGATGTCTTTGCTTGCTGAGCAACAATTACTTGCCCATATTGTTTTGGTCATCTTTGACTTCAGTGATATCAGTCTCTTCCCTCTGTAACTTGTTATCTCATGCATTTGGTGGTTAAAAAAAACAAAACCAAAAGAACAAAACTCAAACCAAATTTGAGAATCACTCCCTTTCCCTATAATCATATCTCATGGTGAGAATGTAAAAAGAGAACTAAGGTTCTAGCAAGGAGTAAGGTAAGGGGGTCCCTAACCACCAAAGGATGGATCCCCAAGAGTTCGTGATCTAGCAACAGTCCTAAGTGTGCTCCTGATCATTGCCATTCCTCCTCCCATCTAAAGCTATTCACCCCGACCCAAGAGCAACCCCTTATTTTGAAACTGGTAAGCAAAGGTAAAGCATTTAAAAGGAAAGACAGAGGTGTCTGTGTGGGGTCACTAGCTTTCTCCAGCCACTGTGCTGCCTTGAGGCTGCAGATGGCACGTGAGGCGCTTAGCATCTCACTGACCTGCCTTCCACCCAACTGTGGCTGTACCCCTACCCTGTGTCTACCCAGACACTGTCAAGCTGAGGTCAGAAATGAAAAGCTCTGACTACCCAGTGGCTGTACCTCTCAAGAACAAAAGGGAAGCCAGCTCTTGTTGCCTTGTATGTAATCTGACTGGCTCTCTGAGGTCACTTGATTTAGACTCTATCTAGGCTAGTGGTTCTCAACCTTCCTAACGCTTCCACACTGAATACAGTTCCTTATGTTGTGGTGACCCTCAACCATAAACTTATTTTCGTTTTGCTACTTCATAACTGTAATTTTGTTACTGTTGTGGATCAAAATATAAATAGCTGATATGTGACCCCAAGGGGGTTGAGACCCACATGTTGAGAACTACTGCTCCAGGCAAACATGGGGTCTTGGCTGGTTCTGTTCTCAGGGCTTATCACACTTTAGAAACCAAAATATTTCTCTAGGTGCTTCTTCCTATGATGACAGGGCATTTAAAAACAATGGATGTAGGGGGTTAGCTCACAATACAGCACTTGTCTAGCACATACAAGGCCTTAGGGCAACTTTGCCTACCTTTCCCAGAAGTCTGAAGACAAGGAATGGTTTTCCTTATCTACCCATGGAGTTCTGGCAAAGGATCGTTCCTTCCTCTGTCCACTCAGAGGAAGTTTAGAGGACTAGAAGGATACAGAAAGTTGTGTAACCCACAATCTCATACTAAATCTATCTTCAGTTGGGCTGGTCTACTGATTTTCAAACTGATTAGAGATATTGAGCTTTTACAAGAGCAAAAGCAAGGACCTCCTGGAAGAAAGTAAACATAATTGAAGCTAAAGTAAACATTCATCTGGGGGAGATTCAGGTTCAGGGAGTTATCTTGTGCAAACCTCACACTGCAGAACCATTTGGTGCTGAGGAAGTCAGGGAACTTGTATGCATTTATTTGGTCCTGACACCTGGCACAACCACTCTGGTTCTTGGAATTTCTGTGAACACAGCGTTGGGCTTCATACACTTCCTCTATATTAGAAGCTAAACACCAAACAATTGTTTTACAGAGCATCAGAACAGCCTTCATGGCTAGCAGCAGGAGCATACTTAAGACCTGCTGAAAGATGAATTAGCTCTTAGAAACCCCATCCTTGGTGCTGGGGTCCATCACTTTACTCCTTCTTGGTTTTCTTTCTATATTCTTCATTGGTTTGTTTCTTGGAGACAGAGCTTCTCTATGTATTCATGCCTGTCCTTGAACTCACCACGTAGACCACTTTGGCTTTGGAACCCAAAGAAATCCACTTGCCTCTGCCTCCTTGGATTAAGGGTGTACATCACCACGCTTGGCCTCTTTTCACATTCTTACCATGAGAGTATAGGGAAATTAAGACAGACTGAAGATTTTGAAACTTCAAGTGGGGCTGGGCAGCACTCGGGAGGCAGAGGCAGGCAGATCTCTGTGAGTTCAAGACCAGCCTGGTCTACAAGAGCTAGTTCCAGGACAGTCTCCAAAGCCACAGAGAAACCCTGTCTCAAAAAACCAAAAAATAAAATAATAATAATAACAGAAACTTCCAGTGGGGTAAAAGGCTGAGGTGTGCTACCACTGTAAGGCTGGAGCCAGGTATGTCAAATCACTTTGGAACTTCCCCTGTGACTTTGAACAAAGCCACTTTCCCAGGAAGAGCTTGGTTCTCTTAACTGAGAAGAGTGCTTCCAGGCAAAGTGCTAACATTTCATCATTTGACGGTGAAGGATTAAGCAATTCCCTTATCACACCGGGGAACTTTGTGGAATGACCTCAGTGTGTCTCCTCTCCCCGATTCTCTGGCTATTTACCTTGGGCTACTGAGTCTGACTGTACATCACCATCATAGTTTTTACAGGCCCAGATGAAGCCTCCCTCTGATTTCATGGCTTGGGCCACCATGTCATCAATGAGTCTATGCTCATACCAGATCTTCTGAGCTTCAAACTGGGATTTGTATTGCCTAAAACAAACAAACAAACAAACAACAAAGAGAACGCAAGAATAAAACAAAATTAGTATTATTAGGGATGTCATTTGCAATTCCCAAAAGGGACAGGAAACATTATTTTTAGTAGATACGGCACAAACTTGGGACTGATAGACATGTGCTTAGGCTCCTATCCAATCATCTTCTGAAGGGGAACCCTCAGATTGGCCATCTCTGTCTTATGAATGAATGACTAAGAATTAGATGAGAAAAACAGATTCTTCCAAGTACTTCCTTATATCCTATCATTTTCAATACAATGATCAGAGTCTGAGATTTAACTTATTTTAAAAATAAAAGACTATTTCACTGCTTGATACATTTCAGGAATCGGAGACACTGTGGCTAGTATCTAGGCTTGGAACAGATGGGCAGTAGGAAGAGTAACCTCAATGCTTCAGCAAAGGTAATTTCTAAGCCCACACCCCACCTGAACATTTGCTCTAATAGGGAGCTATGCCATGGTCTGAGTTGACACATGCATGCTTTATGTGTGGCTGAAATAAAAACTCATATACTAAGACAAATGACAGCTTAAAGCAGACAAAGCTTTCCATGGTAGCAAGGTCTTCAAACTGGGTCTGCCTTGGAAACTCACACTTGTGAAGCACCAGTACTTTTAAATGGATTACTCTATTCAAACTTTAAATAACCCTCCTCTATTTCAGAGCACATTTATCCTCCAAGGGCACCTCAGTGGGGTTTTCTTCCAGTCCTGCTAGACTCAGATTAGCCATCACCCAATGTAAGGATTAGTGACGATGCTCTCAGTTGTGCCAGTTTACTTGAAAACAGGGAAAGGAATAGAAGAGCTGTAGTTACTTGTCATAGATCTCCTGAAAGATGTCTTTGAAGCGTCCATCATACTTCTTCAGAATAGTGTTTTTGGTGCTTAGATACAAAGGCCAGCCCTTGGACAGAGCCATTTGGAAGGAACTGTGTGCAAAATCTTCAATTGACTTATCCTGGTTGTACATGCCCATGGCAACACCGCCGCATTCTGTGGAGGGGAAACCACCAAGAACAAAGAGAAGAAAGGTAAGGCTGGTGGTATTTGTAGCAGAGCTAAACCCATGCACAACACCCAAGCACCAACTTCTCAGCAGCATGACTGGGTCAGTAGTGTGAAACCCCATATGAACTGCCAACCGGAACAGGCTATGTGTGGCACAGGCACAGAGGGGAAGCCTTTGCTCTAGATAAGGATGCTTGAAAGGGCAACAGCAGTAAGAAAATCATACGGTCTTTAAGATCATGAGGATTGCAGGCACAGAGGCCCACATCTTTAATCCCAGCACTTGGGAGTCAGAGGCAGTCAGATCTCTGTGAGTTCGAGGCCAGCCTGGTCTACAGAGTGAATTCTAGGACAGTCAGGCCTACACAGTGAGAACATGTCTCAAAAAGGGGGGCGGGGAGTAGGCAAGTAAATTGGAACTCTTTATACATTTTTGTTTCAGAGCTGAGGACTGAACTCCGTGGTAGGTAAGCGTTCTACCACTGAGCTAAATCCCCAAACCCCTCTTTATACATTTTAAAAATTTCCAACATGTATTTTATTTTTAACTGTTTGCATATAGTGTGTGTGTGTGTGTGTGTGTGTGTGTGTGTGTGTGTGTGTGTTGCCTGTGTGCCATGGCACTCATGGAGGCCAAAAGACAAAATCTGATGTGAGTCTTCTGTTGCTGTAGGCAAGATCTCTTTTGTGGCTCACTGAAGCATGTCAGGTTAGCTAGCTCCTGAGCTTCTAGAGTCCCTTGTCTCTGCTTCCCATCTCCCTGTAGGGACTATAGACATTTGCTTCTGCACCTGACTTTTTATGTACATTCTGAGGATTTGAACTCACGCTTCAAAGTGAGTGCTTTACTCAGCTCCCAACACGCATTTTAAACTTAGGCATACTCAAGCTGCAGTCAGGAGAAGATTTGCATTTTAACTACTGGTAAAAAGTCTTCTAGATTCCTGGGAAATACTCAACCCACCTACAGTAATTGGTGGAAATAATTATGTTACCTGTAATCACCGGTGATTCAGAGGTCTTATTAATTGACCTCTGTTATTACTGAAAGTCAGAATCTGAATCCATGCCAAGGCCCCAGGCTAACTTGGCTGAGAATGTAAAAGAAAAACAAAACACTAAAACCCGCTGAACTAGATTCTGTGAAATCAATATTGCTTAGAGGAGGCAAGGACAACAAAAGCTCTGGGGGCACTGTGTGAATGCTTTCATTTCTGGACAGTTTTCCCTAAGGAACCTTGAAGATAAATCTGTGTGTGTGCGTGTGGGGTGTGTGTGTGTGTGTGTGTGTGTGTGTGTGTGTGTGAGACTGTGTGCACCTGTACATTCATGTCTGCGCATACTACTATGTGTAGAGACCAGGAAAACTCGGGTTGGTCTTCCACCTTGTTTAAGGCGGGTTCTCTTGTTGCTAACTGCTGTAGAGGCCAGGGTAGGCAGCCTGAGAACTTCCAGGGCTTCTCCTGTCCCTGTCTCATCTCTTGTCCTAGAGCACTGGGGTTACAGACATACAACTTTGCTTAGCTTTTACATGGGGATTCAAACTCAGGTCCTAAAATGTGTGTGGCAAGTGCTTTACCCCCATCCTCCCATCCCTTAATGTACTTTTTTTTTGGCTTTACTTTTACCTCACAATTTCAAGAGACTTGAAGTGTTTAGAAAGCTAGTTTTGAGCCGGGCGTTGGTGGCGCACGCCTTTAATCCCAGCACTCGGGAGGCAGAGGCAGGAGGATCTTTGTGAGTTCGAGGCCAGCCTGGTCTACAGAGCGAGTTCCAGGACAGCCTCCAAAGCCACAGAGAAACCCTGTCTCAAAAAACCAAAAAAAAAAAAAAAAAAAAAAAAAAAAAGAAAGCTAGTTTTGTTGTTATTATAATTCCCAAAAAAGGCAAAAAGCAGATAATTTAGCAAATAATGAAATCAATTCTAGGTAGAAAGCCTAACAGAGCAGTAGATCTAAACACTTACACAATTCACAGATGGTTCACACTTTTCCCTCTAAGAAAATGCATAATTTCACCTGTGTTTTCGTCTCTGCATTTTCACCTAAGCGGTTAGGCTCACCCCCTTGTGCCTATCTGTGCCATGGGAAAACAGGGAACTAATCACTTCTTTATTTTAGTCTTTGATATTTCTCAGAAATGTTGTAGATTCTGGTTGTCTTTTAAGGCAGCGTTTACAAAACAGTAACAAGGTTGTTGAAGGCCTCTGTTAAAATGAAATGCAGCTTGGAGGGACTGCACATACCTTCAAAGTTATGCACCACGTATGTCACCTTTTGAGTTCCATCTTTTGGTGTGTAGGTTATCTCTACTTTTCCAGGCCCCGGAACAACAAAATCAGTTGCTCTGTACTGTGAAGAGGGAAACACACATTAGGAAAAGTGCCCCATCAGGAATCATAAGGGGAAAATAGATTATATAGCCAAACACAGCAGTGTAACTTGACGCTTTTTGGTTTCAAGAGATAGGGTTAGGTGGGGTCCAGGGAATCCCACTAGTTAGTAATAGTGCACGTTAAAGATCAGTCAATCTTCACCAGGAGCCTGCTGTTGTAATTTTTAAAAGTGGCATGAGAGAAAGATGCTATGTGACAGAGTTCAAATGGAGGGTTTTTTTGTTTGTTTGTTTGTTCGTTTTTTGATTTGAGAAAGGGATCATAAAAAGATAAAAGGGGAGAGGAGATCAACCTCCTGGGACTGGAGAGCAGGAGAGAGGAAAGAGAGGCAGAGAAAGAAGGCCAGAGAGGGAGAGAAAGACAGAGGAGGATGGGAGGTGGGCAGGACCCTTCTAAAAGGGAACATAGTGAATATGCACAGGTGTTGCTCTTAGTGGCAGCAGCTGAGAGCATATCCTGTCAGAACCCCAAGGACAGGCCAGTGCAGATGCCTGAATGCTAACACCCACCACATATACAGTGGTTTTACAAGCACCATTTCAGAGAGGGCTTTGTTTCCGTTGCTGTGATCAAACACCCCAAAAAGCAAGGTAGGGGAGAAAGGGTTTATTTCAGCTCAGTTCCAGGTTAGAGTCCACCAAAGTGGGGAAGTCACACAGCAGAAGTTGGGCACATCCCACCCATGGTCAGGAAAGGAGAGCAATGAATGCATGCATGCTTATGCTCACCTCGCTCTCTCATTCAGTTCAAGGCTTAGTGCCACCCACGGTCAGGGAGGATCTTCCCACTGAAACTAACTGGGTTTAAAAAAAGATTCCTCACAGACAAGCTGGCAGGCCAACCTAACCTAGAGAATTCCTTATAGAAACCCACCTTTCTCAGGTGATTCTAGACTGTATTAAACTGACAATCAAAACTATGCAATCACAGACATTTTTTATTAGGAAGCTTACAGCCACATAAAGAGAAACACAGGGGCTGGGGAGATGGTGCAGGGGTTAAAAGCACTGGTTGCTCTTCCAGAGGTCCTGAGTTCAATTCCCAGCAACCACGTGGTGGATCACAACATCTACAATAGGATATGATGTCCTCTTCTGGCATGCAAGTATACATGGAGAGCACTCATACATAAAATGCAAATAAATTAAAAAAAAAGACAAACATAGGTGAGAGCAACTGAAGGCACTTCAAATGTCAGAAGTGAGAAGCAGGCACATGAATCTCTGTGAGTTCAAGACCAGCCTGGTCTACAAGGACTAGTTCCAGGACAGGCTCCAAAGACAAGAGAAACCTTGTCTCGAAAAACAAAACAAACAAACAAACAAGTCAGAAGTGGGGGAAAATGAGACAATGAAGGCTGGAGGGAGACACCAACTAGTTTTGGTGTTGATGGCAGCAGAGCCCGCGCTGTGTCCTGACTCTAAGATGGAAGTCGAGTGCTGAGCAAATCTCATTCTGAAACCAGGCTTTCAAAAAGGAACTGGGGAAAGGGGAAGAAAGCCCCAGGTCACACAGCCTGGGAGGCAAGCTGCTGTTAGATTTTCAGGGCTTAGTAGTTCTCTGTGGTAATCGTTTTTTACCAGCTCCAGACCTATGTCCACAAAAAGCAGTCATTCTGGAAGCAGCAGTGGCAGGCTGATGGCCCCAGGTTAAGGCTGTTCAAGGACAGGCACTTCCCAGCTGAGCCTGACCCACTCTAGTGGAGACATGTACCCGGCACACACCAGGCACCCACAAGTCATTGCTGCACGGGATCTCTTTCAGTGATCTGTTTTATCCAGTGACTAGTTAGGCACCAGCGGGTGCCAGCCACACCTGTTCCTTTACAGTAATCCTATCCGAGATGGGTAAAAGAGCAGTCAGATAACAGAAAAGATTAAACACTTCTGTCACAGAAAGTCTTTTACTACAGTAATTGAGGCATTGCTGTGCCCTAAAATACTTTGTACAGACCTATGAACATTTAACGGTGAGTCAATATGCTGTTTAAAAAAAAAAAAAGACAATCTATTCTTCCAAAGGACTGATACTGCAACAAAAAGAACCAACAAAATGACAAGACTGAATAGGCAGTATGCTAAATAGGGTAGTGTTAATGATAGGGAATCTGTTCTTCTGCTATTTAGATTTCCTTGCTCAGGCCTCTCACAGACATCTGTGAAGGGCTGGCCGGGATAAAGAAATATCATGAGCCACAGTGTGAAACAAAAGTTACATGACACATCAAGGACCAAGCTGGTGACCTTCTCCCAGGGACACAGGGACATCTGCTGTGACCACACTGTTTCACGGATGACTCCATGGAAGCTTCTAGACGCCAGCACTACAGATTTCCATTTGTTAAGATTCATTTTGATATATAAGCTACTTTCTATCAAGACCTGAAACTTCAGTTTCAAGAGACTTTGGCATTTGTGTCATTGCAACTTTTCTACTCAATTCACCAACGAGACTATTTGTACAAATACAGAAAGGACATTTGTTTTCCAAACAGTACAGACGACCTTAACAAGACTGATTTCAACTATTGGGTGACTCCCTTTATCCACAAAGTGATCAATTTTAATATGTTTGGTAGGCCTTTTTTTTTTCTTTGATTTTTCTACGACAGGGTTTCTCTATGTAGCCCTGGCTGTCCTGGAACTCACTATGTAGATCAGGCTGGCCTTGAACACGGAGATCTGCCTGTCTGTGCCTCTTGAGTGCTGGGATTAAAGGTGGACAACACCACTACCCAGCACTGTTTGGTAGTTCTTAATGTGGCTGCCCATTAAAATCAGCTGGGGCTTGAAAGAAAGAAAGAAAGAAAGAAAGGAAGGAAGGAAGGAAGGAAGGAAGGAAGGAAGGAAGGAAGGAAGAAAGAAAGAAAGAAAGAAAGGAAGAACGATCCTCACAAACCTCAGATTTTGATTGCTCTAGGACAGGACTCAGATACTGGAAGTGAAACAAACAACAAAACAAAGGAGCAATGAGATAAAAGCATCAGCACTACCATCCACAGCAAAATCTTAGGAAAGGATCCCATTGTACAGCCAGCATTAAAAGCCACCTATCCGAGCCTAGGGTATTACAATGCAAAAATGACAGTATCCTGTGGAATAACTTAGCAAAAGGATAAAGATATGTTTGGGGAAAAAGTGTTAAAATGGGTGTTTATTCAAAAGTTTATCTGTATTTTCACCCCTTCCTAAACATATGTACACACACAGTTTATGCATAATATATGTTAGACTTCTCTTAAGGGCATGGAAACCCAAAGAACAAAACACAGAAATAGGAGCTACCGATCCACAAAAAATAAACATGAAAAAATCAAATTATGCTCAAACAACTTACCTGGTCTCCATAAGCATGACGCCCAATGATAATGGGTTTTACCCAGCCTGACACCAGTCGGGGGATATTTTTGCAGATAATAGCTTCCCTGAAGACAGTGCCACCCAGAATGTTCCGGATGGTGCCATTTGGTGATTTCCACATTTGTTTCAACTTGAACTCCTCCACCCTCTTCTCATCCGGGGTGATAGTCGCACATTTGACACCAACATTGTACTTCTTTATAGCTTCTGCAGCATCCTTGGTCACCTGGTCATTGGTGGCATCACGATTCTCTATGCCTAAGTCATAGCTTAGAGATGGAGAGATGTCAGTACAACTTTTTATTTGTTTGTTTTTCAAGACAGGGTTTCTCTGTGTAGCTTTGAAGCCTCTCCTGGCACTCCCTCTGTAGGCCAGGCTGTCCTGGAACTCAGGGAGATTCGCCTGCCTGTCAGCACAACTTTTTAGACATATTAATAGGCTTCAGTAAGCTGCCTTTAGAGCTTGCCAACCCTAAGTGAAGGCCCCCAAACACATCTAAATATGCCAAGTTTTAGCATCAATGCATCCTAGGCAAAAGATGGGTGCCTGTCTCCAAAAACAGGACTGAAGACACACTAGGAGGCTAGACCCTGCTTCCCTGAACTGCTGTGGGAAGTTGTCTTTCAGGAAACCAAGGAACTCTGCTAAACTGTGTCCTGCTTTTCTGTATATAAAGGAAGCAACAGCACAAGGGCAACCCTTGGCCTGGTTACTCGCCACATAATTAGTATATGAATTACACCCAAGTACAACCTTACTTTCCCATAGTAAGATTTATACTTTATCAATAAAGAGGTGGAGGAGTAAAGAGGATTTTTGTTGTTGTTGTATTTTTGGCACTGAAGTGGTGGGAGGGTTAACTCTCCCAATCAGTGCCAAAACAGCTAAGGACTCTTTTTGTTGAAACCAGTTAGTCATAAGGCAAACCTTCCCCTACTTCTTGGGTACGTCTCTTTGTTCTGGAAACAAGCCTGCAGTTTATTGGATAAGCAATGGAATCCAACAACCATCTTGTACACACTGTATTTAGCACCAGCTCTCACAGTACAGACCATTCATAGAGGGATGAATGCTGCCTGTCCACAGAGCACAGAAAATAGTCGTAAAGCTTAATAAGCAAGTAATGGTTTATTGAAAGTAATACAAGCTCCGTGGTGGTGGCACACACCGTTAATCCCAATACCCAGGAAGTGGAGGCAGGGGAATCTCTGGGTTAGAGGCCAGCCTGGTCTATGGAGTGAGTTCCAGGACAGCCAGGGCTGTTACACAGAGAAACCCTGTCATGAAAAAGTCAAAAACAAACAAACAAAAACCCCAAAATCATTAAGTGATTTTTTTTTGTCTTCTATGGCTTTACAGAAAAAGTTTCATTTCTCAAAACCAGCAAAGAATTAATCTGCCTTTCTCTTTTCAGTGTTGGTTTCTTCCTTTTTCAAGCTGGTGCAAACAGAGACAGTCACTTTGATGTGTTTCCAAACAAAAATATTTTCTGTTTTGTCCTTAGACAATTCATATACATGCAACACAGCCATGCACTTTCTTATCTTTTTTGCCTAGGAATGCTGAATATCTGCAAATATCCAACCACAGCCCACAGGAAATGTTATAGGAGCCATTTCTCAGGAGAATCTATCCACAAATGGCTACTTTTTTTCTTTCCTCTGCCTTGTTTTAATATTTCCAGGAGAAAGGAAAGAATAAGTGGCCTAGACAACTGTGCTGTCTCTATCAAAAAAATTAAAAACAGTAAAACTCTACACCCCTTCCCCACCATAATAACCAGTTGATCATGATAATTGGGGAACTATTTAAAATTCATTTGCATCTTTAACAGCCTGCAGCCATATACTCCTTTCTTTCTAGGCACAAGCCCCCTCCCCCCCTTTTGCTGAGACAATGCCTCACACTGCAGTCTAGGCTAGCTTGGAACACACAGCAACCCTTTGGCTTCGGTCTTCCAAGAGCTGGGATTACAGGCATAAACTACAGGACTCTTTGTTAACATGCTGTAAATGTATGCAGGTTGGAAAGAGAGTTCAGTCACTAATATGCTTATCTTATAAGCATGAGGACTTGAGTTCAATCCCTGGGATTTACCTTCAAAGACAAAAAGGGGCTAGGTATGAAAAAAGTTAAGATCTGATCATGCATTTGTAATCTCAGAGCAAGGAGGATCTGGGGCTTGCTGAATAGTGAGCCCAGTTTACTTGGTAGGTTTCAAGCCAGTGAAAGGCCTGAATCCAAGAAAAAAAACAACAACAAAAAAACAACTCAAGGTTGTCCTCTGTCCTATATGCATAGCTATGTACATATGCGCGCGCGCGCGCGCACACACACACACACACACACACACACAGAATAAATATAAGAAAATTTGCCCTCAGACTAAGAGCCTCTAAGCATTTAGCTAGGAGTGTTAGTTCATAGGTTCCAGGTCAGTTTGGGTCTGCATAGTAATTTCCAGGCTAACCATGCCTACATGGTGAGACCCTGCCTCAAAACAACAAAACAAAAGAACAATAAGCAACAAAACAAAAACACAAAGAATTTTTCTGGGCAGATGACTCAACAGTTGAGAACACTTGCTGCTCTTGCAGAGGACCTGGGTTGGTTTGGTACCAGAACCCATATGCTGGCTCACAACTATCTGGAACTCCAGTTCAGGCAATTTGATGCCCTTTTCTGGCCTCTGCAGCCACCAGGCATGCACATGGTACACATATACACATGCAGGCACACAGTCATACATGTAAATTGAAAACAAAACAATCCTCCCCTCCAAAGCCCATTGCTTCACCTATTGCATGCATTACTTGGAAGCTGTGAATGAGAGTGTGTGTGTGTTTCAATATGTTGGCCGGTCCTCAGCAACTACAATACTGATCTTATTTTGGTTGCAATACAGACAACACCAGCAGATTAGGTTTACACAATCAAAAGGTAGCTGACATATGTGAACTAAATATCTGCACCCAACTAATCAACAGGACATGTACCGGGTAACTCTGGGTCAAGGCAAAGACAGACACCGGTGGTTTGCTCTAAATGTATTGCTCAACATTATACCTTGCCAGCCTTTGACCACTTTACCCTTTTAAAAAATTGTCTCTATGTAGGTCAAATGTTCAAAAAGGACAAAGAGCAAGAGGAGCAGATAGCAGGAGGTGGTGGCTCACACCTTTAATCCCAGCACTCTGAAGCAAAGACAGGTGTATCTCTCTCTAAGTTCGAGGCCAGCTTGGTCTACAGAGCAAGTTCCAGGACAGCCAGGATACAGGAAGAAACCCTGTGTCAAAAAACAAAAACAGCTGGGCGTTGGTGGCGCACGCCTTTAATCCCAGCACTCGGGAGGCAGAGGCAGGTGGATCTCTGTGAGTTTTCGAGACCAGCCTGGACTACCAAGCGAGTTCCAGGACAGCCTCCAAAACCACAGAGAAACCCAGTCTCGAAAAACCAAAAAAAAAAAAAAAAAAAAAACAAAAACAAAAACAAAAACAAAAACAACAAAAAACAAAAACAAACACAAACCAACCAACCGACCAAAGTGGGGGTATGAGAGAAAAAAAAAACACCGGGGGAGGGGGAGGAAGGAGAGAATAAATAACATATTTCCTAAGTTCCTAATCTGTCTCAGCACAGCAAAGTCAAGGCAGAGGGACACTGAGACTTAGGGGAGTGCTCTGGAAGTGGGAAGGATGCCTATTCTGGTGAGCAGCCGCATGACGAGGACAGAAGGGGCAGAATGAAAGGAAAGCCCCAGCCACTGGCTCTGGAGACAGGTGGAAGACAGAGCTGCAAAGGACAAAAGTGAGTTCCCCACTTTTAGTTCAGTTTCTCACTGTCCTCTATGGCCTTTTCTTTCCACAAATAATACACGGTGCCTCCCTAGACTGCTGATTTAATACGACCTTCAACAGGGACAACCGAGTTAGAAATGCCTCAAAAAATCACATTTCCTTATTTTTAGCTGTGAACTAATGGCAAGTCCACTTTTTCTAACAGTGTGTTGAAACAGATTTCCCCCAGGGCTGGCAAGAGATGACTCACGGGTAAGGGTTCCTGCTTCTTAGCCTGACAATCTTTGGAGTCTGATATTTGGAACCCACACGGAAGAAGGAGAGAATCCACTTTGTCCTGACCTCCACATGCATGCTGTGGCATGTACACACACACACTCCAGAAGATTCACGTGTATCTATTTAAGCTACAATGTAAGCTTGGGCTAGATATTGTGGTATGACTTTTTTCTCCCTAGCATTTGAGAAGCTGAGGCAGGAGGACGGCTGTGAGTTCAAGGCAATCTGGGCTATGTAGCAAGTCTCTACGTATTAAAGAAAACTAAAACACCCAAACCAACCAACAGCAAAATCTTAAAAGCTTTAATTACAGAGCACAGCTATTATTCGTGTAAAAACTGTCAGGTACATTTTAGAATGATTACGTTTCTGAGTCTGCTGACTACATGGAAGAGAAATTCATTTATTTACCTGTGCAGATCCAGTTCCACATAGGGAAGAATGAGTTTTTCTTTAATCAGTTCCCAAATGATTCGTGTCATTTCATCTCCTTGCATCTCCACCACAGAGCCGCCATGAATTTTTTTGGACATTTTTACTTCAATAACCCTTAAAAAAAAAGATATGTGTCTTGTCATGGTATAGAATAGAAATGAAGTACCATGATTTGGTGACTATTAAAAAAGGATCATTTATAATGGCAGTTATATAGATAACAATTACATAAAATAACAATTACCAGTAGTAGAACTGACAACGTCTCTGTGTGAAACACCATGCAACAATGCTTACATGTAGCTTCTGAGTCAGCACTATAAGACAACCCTGTAAGAAATTATTTTCCAACTTGAGAGAAAAATAGCTTTGCCAAGGCCATCTTGGCCATCTGTGGTGGAACCTGACCCCAAAACATGCCCTTAATAATGTAATCATTATTCTCGACTATTAGTTGTCTTACAAGAATATATCTGTTATTTGTAAAGATGATTCAACTAACTGGTTCTTACGACCCATATTAAGGGGGACTCCAATAGCAGACAATAAAGGATTCTTTGTAGAATTAGGCTTTACTATAGTACCCATGCTTGACCAAGTCATGTTCCTTGGTATCTCAGATCCTGCACTGCTCCTCTGGCTCTTCAGGGGCAAGAGCAGCTGTCTGTAGGATGGGACACCACGTTGTTCTAACAAGACATATTACTTCAAAAAGTATTAATTTATCTGATTCCAATAGAGCCTAAAGGTGGACTGTTTGGAAAAAGAGAAACTTCCAGGCTTTAGAGAACCCTGTGCTTGTTGCTCAGGAGGCAAAGGGGTCCCTCAGCCCTGTGAAAGTATCTATTCCTTCTAATGACACCGCTGTGTAACAGTTTCCTCCAGCATTGAAACATTTCCTCCTGTACCAAGCTCTTTAACAGGCAGGTAAACAACTCAAACAGCTCAGGATATCCCCAAAACTGACCAGATTCACTATGTCCCTCCCCACCAGGGTAACCAATAAATGCTGAAACTCTCAGACTAGGGAAGGCAAGCTTTGAGGACTCTTGAGATTAGACCAGCTTCCTGGGGAGAGGTATATACCAACTATGTCACTTGGAAAGGATGCTCTCCAATCTGTTGAGCTGCCTGCAGGCTGTGCAGTGTGCTCCAGGCTCCCAGCTTTTGTGAGTGGTTACCCATGCTGAGGTAGGCTTTGGTGATGCAACTGTCCTTGGATCATTTCTGATTCTGTATGTAACCTCTAACACATACATATTTCTGTGACCCCAATAATACTCATTGGTTCACCAAGTTGGGGTTTTGTGATATCCTTAATTTGATCTGTTGTGGAAACTCTATCTGGGGTGACTAAATATTTCCCCAGGAAAAGTCTTGTCACACACAACAGATACTTGGGAGCTTGCTTTCCAGAAATGCAATTGCAGATTTCTCTCAGTTATAGCTAAGAACTAGGAAAGTCAGGGCACTTTAAAGCAATTATTAGATAACAGCCTAAAGTCATCTTGAAAAGTATAGGTAAACTAATTGGACCCCTAAGTTAAATTTAAAAAAAAAGTAATGATTATTAGACAGTAGGTCTCAACTCCTTACAAGAAGCCAGGAATATTTTCTCAGTTCAAGTCCCATTTTAACTTATTAGGTTTGCAATTCTAGAATCCTACTTCCAGTCCTGGGGTACCCTTAGTCCACTACCAGAGAAGTTTCTGGAAGGCAATTAGAAGAAATCAACAAACTGGTGTGGGTGAACCAATACTACCTGTCAGATATAAGTTAAAAGATTAACTTACAGTAGAGCATAAAGCCCACAATTAATCCCATTTTCACCATGACCGAGCTTTAAAGACAAACAATGTCAAACAAGACAGCAAACTTATCTTTGTTTCAATACTACATTTTTCATGGCCATGTTCCTACACAGCATTACACAACAGCTATGACTAGGCTATTTTCCCGTGATGGCAAATGCAGCTAATAAAAGATCACAATGCCTGGGATGTCTGCCATTTTTGTTTTGCTTTGCTATTTCCTCCTTGGTGAATATGTACTCTGCCATAATCTTATATCTCAGAATACAATAATGATATGTCAGATTTCCCCCATTCTATTCTTTTTGTTTGTTTGTTTTTAAATACACACTAACTAAAAAAAGTGAAGCTATACTGTGACTATTATTGCACTCTGAATTTGCTTTCCATCGGACACGGGCTCTAGGTATCCCTGGATTCCATGTATTATTGGGTCTTAATTTTCTGAATCCACCAATCCCAGCCTTTGAAGGAAACTGTGATCCAAGGCCATCAGCCACCAGCTCATTTATACAATCTGAAGACAGCTGAATTCCAATCTCTTGACATGCTTGTACAATTCCAGAAAAAAAAAACTTAATAATAACAAACTAGTTGAAGCAATAGGAGCCCTTTACCATACTTAATTTCCATAAATCTCAAACTTCTATTTTGAGCCAATTTTTTTCCATCGAGTTCAAGTTGCAAAACATATGGGTTGCAGCATATCGTTATTACGTTCCTGCTTCCCTCTTCTGCAGTATTTGCACTTGCACCCATGCCCAATTAACTGTACAGTGCGGCCACATTAAAGAAAGCAAGTTGACGGGCTAAGGTGCTAGTTATCACCTTGGTGGTGAATGGACTCCCAGTTATAACAAGGCCTCTCAATTTTGCTGACTCAAATGACTGTAGCTTCAATTTCTCTTCCAAAACAAAGCAAACTCGGGAATAGAAAGTCTTAACATACAAGCACCCCTGCCAGGAGGATTTAGTTGGTTTTAATACCAGCCTGACAGCCCAGTTTATCTGGTTTAAAGTACAGTGCTGACTGTATCTGGAGGGGCAAAGGACAGTTTCTCTGCACAGGAGCCTTCCAAATAAAAGTCAAGACTACAAAAATCCATGCATGCACATGGAGGGTGAATCCCAGAGCAAGCGCCTTGCTCCTGGGCCTCTGGTTTGCTCGACCTCGGGTGACACTGTGAGCCAGCAGAAAACCTTGTGGCCGTTTTGCAAGAGGTCTAAAACTGAAGTTGACTCGGTTCCTTCTTCCAGATCCTCACGCCTGTCCTATCTCTCAGCGGTGCCAGGACCTTTTAATACCAGGTTCACCCAGCTGGCTGCAGAACTCCTCCAAGCACTCCAGAAGGAGCGGGGAAGAAGGGGAAAGGCCCCTTCCCAATCCTCAGGGCGCCCCCAGGTGGCTAAGCAAACACTCCAGATTGAAGCTGGAGGCCCGCCCACTCTTATCCCCTCCCTCACGGACGCTCTCAATAGCACTTCTCCCGTCTCAAGGCAGGTCCCTCCCCGTCTCCCCCCGAACATTGATGGAGTGCTCAGTACACGCCTACAGTTCCCGGCTCACACCCTTTCTGCAACCCGTTCCCTGAGGTCGCATACTTTCCTCCTCTGACACCCAAGACTCAGAGTTCTGTGCGTTCTCCCCACAGCTAGATTCTCCTCCGCGGGTGCAGATCTGCTTTGGCACTTGTCACAACAAGTGATTTCCCTGCCGCTCAGATCTTACGATCCCACCCTCGGGAGCGCCCTTCTTTACAGAAAGGCATGCAGCACTCAGCTACCCCCACTTCCCTTCCCTAAGCCCGAACTCTGGGAAGTGTCCGTCGGTGCACTAGGGCCTTTGCACTGAGTTCACCTCTGCACAGCCTACAGCTGAATTTTCTTCCTTTTCCCTCACCCCAGCCTTCTAGCGAACAGCCTAACAGTGAGGGGAGGCGGCTGCCGAGCCTAGCCTGGGGGCACCAGCAGGGAGGCGAAGGCGCACTCGCTTGCAGTCCGGGACGCCCCGGCTACTCACCCGCTCACGTCCGTACGCACACCAACTGTCCCAACTCAGCCGCTGCTAGCTCAGCATCCGCCACAACCTTCGCACCGGCGACCAGGGGCAGAGTCAAGGCTTTTTAACTCTTCCCGGCTTTGTCTCCTCCCAGGCCCCACCCCCTCAGCCCACCTCCCGTAGCCCCGCCCCCTCTGCGACGCCATTCGTCGCGCGCGGACTTTCTGGGATGGGCGGGGCCGTGGTGTGAGAGCCGGGCCGTAGCCGCCCGTGTGTTCCAGGTGGGGGATGGGGGCTGCCACGCCACCGGGATTCCTCGGGGACACCCTGCCGCTGAGGAGCGAGGATGCCACCTACTGACAGGCTCCAGAACACTCGCTGTCTTGGTTCTCACCCTCGGAGAGCTCCTTAGACTGGATTTTGGCAGGTTCCCTTCGTGGCGTTTCCGGATGCCTCTTAAGCTGGAATGTGCCTTTTGAAGAATATGCCTTTGGGGGCCTCAAACGTGGGAGCGACTATAGACGATGCTAGAATGCAAAGGCTGAACCGGCCGCCATATCACCTCAATAATTCCCTCCACTACCAATGATCTGTATTCCCAACTGCTACCATTTCTAAATAAAGCCCCATTCACCATTTGCCATGGAAGACTAGCGAAGCTTATTTTCTAGGTTCCTTTGAAGCCGCACTTAGAGATCCGGAGTCCAGTATCTTAGAATTCTCAAGAGTGGGTTAAAAATATTCCTCTCTCTCCAGAGATTCCTTTTCTGTCTGTGTTCCTTGAAAACAAGAATATTATGACTTGTAGGACAATAGATCCTTGGTTGATCAAGGTTCAATGTTCCAAAATTCACTTCTTGTTTGTTTGTTTGTTTTGTTTTTTGAGACAGGGTTTCTCACTTGTAAAGCATCCAACATTGTACTGTAAAGGTTAGCAAGATGCATTTTGGACGTTAGAGGGAGCTAGTATTTCCAAGGTGGAAAAGGAAATGTATGTCAAGTGGATTAACTAGCGGCCACTTCTATTTATTCTTTTTGTTTGCTTGTTTCGAGACAGGGTTTCTCTGTATTGCTTTGGAGACTGTCCTGAAACTCGCTCTGGAGACCAGGGTGGCCTCGAATTCACAGAGATCCACCTGCCTCTGCCTCTCGAGTGCTGGGATTAAAGGCTTGTGCCACCAACGCCCCGCCACTTCCATTTATTCTTATGAAATTAGAGAGGTGAGTTTATACTTTCTCCTCTAATTGCATCATACCATAAATCACATGAGATTGTAAATGTTACTCCCTACTGTAACAGGCTTATACTGTTTATTAATAAAAGCATTCATATCCATTCTTGTTCTAGAAAGCATTCTAAAATAAATCCAGGAAACACAGAATATAACACAATAAGAAATATTGATTATATGTGACAGAAATGGTAAAAATAATGCACAGGATATCATACAGAACAAAGGTAAGTATAAGCATAAACCTCTTCCATTAAGTTCTAAATATTTGCTAGGCATGGGCTGAACGACTATAAGACATTGAGATAGGAAATATGGCACTTATGCACATGTCACCATCTGAAACCATGTTTTTCAGGGTTATAGTGCATGAACTGATATATAATTGAAAGAGGATATTTCTAGATGCCTAGAATTGGCTTACATTAAGATATTACAAAATAACCAGTGCAGTAGTGCATATTTGTCTATCTAATGAGGTCCAGGTCAGTCAAACCCCATTTCAAAATAAAAAACAAACAATACCCTGCCCACAAATAAATATATGGGTAAAACCATACATATGTGCATGCTGAAGCTCTTATAGGATCATAAAATAATACATTTATAGTCCAAATGACTGGAGGAAAATTACAGAAAATTTTTTTTTCAAGGCAGGATTTCTCTGTGGCTTTGGAGGCTGTCCTGGAACTCGCTCTTGTAGACCAGGCTGGCCTCCAACTCATAGGGATCCACCTACCTCTGCCTCCCCAATGCTGGGATTAAAGGCGTGTGCCGCCACCACCCGGCTGCAGAACATTTTTAAACATGATTATTTGTGCGTGACATGTGAGTGTGGGAATGTCCACGCCACAACAGGGATGTGGAGGAGAGAGGACAGCATTATGAGAGTTGCAGGTTCCAGAGATGGAGCCGGTCAAAAGGCTCTCAGGACAAGAGCTTTGACCCTACTGCCCCCCTCTAGCCTCACAAAACAGGACCTCACCATATCAGTAACAATCAGATTTTACATTACTGCTGAAAATACGGTTATGAAGTTCTCTGCTTATATTCACTTAGATCACTGCATTTCTCTTCACATGTCTTGCTACCGTTTGTTTTCATTTACTCAATAAAAGAATCTATTTTTGAATTGTCTTGGTGCAAAACACTACTGCAAGCATCAATGGAAACCTGGGTCAGAAAATGCCTTTTAGCATCTGTTTGGCTATGAGACACTCATCTGGATAATGGGATTCCTATAAGATTTTGGTGAGTTAAAACCAACCAAACAAACGAGGTAGTGGGCTGAGAAGATGGTTCACTAGGTCAAGGCATTTTCTTCCAAAATGAATATTTTGAGTTCAGTCGCCAGTACCCACATGGTAGGGGATAACTGATTCTTACAAGTTGTCCTCCGACCTCCACATTTGTGCTGTGTCATGCATAAGTACAAAGGTACTTGCATACATACATATGCAGATAAGCTAAATAAAGGGAAGTAAGGGACTTGATCACTTCTGTCTTGGGGTTTTTATTGCTGTGAAGAGATACCGTGGCCACGGCAACTCTTACAAGGAAAACATTTAATTGGGTTGACTGGCTTACAGTTTCAGAGACTCAGTCTATTATCATCACGGCAGGGAGCATGGCAGTGTGTGTCATGCTGGCTGCACCTTGGTTTGCAGGGAACAGGGAGTCAATTGACACACTGGGCGGTATCCTGAGCAGAGGACATCTCAAAGCCCACCCCCACAGTGACATTCTTCCTCCAACAAAGTCATCCCCACTCCAACAAAGCCCACACCTCCTAGTAGTACTACTCTCTGTGAGATTATGGGGGCCGATTACGTTCAAATGACCGCAACTACTTATCCATGGAGGTTATGGGCAAGAGAACAGCGAAGTCACTGCTGCACTTGGGATTTGAGTGACAGAACACCCTTCAACATGGAAGGGTCATGGATTGGATGGCCAAGATAATGAGTCAAATTCTGGGATTGTTAAATGTGAACGTCTGTGGGACAGGAAAATGGGGGTGTCCAGGAGGCAGGTGGTCACATGCATCAGGCAGCTGGGCAGGGGATGTGAACCTGGATTTCTTTAGTGTCTGCTGCTAGCACTGAAGACAGTATATGAGCTCATTGAGAAGTGCAGTCAGGAGAAAAGCCTACCAGCAAGGACCCTGAGGCATATTAACATCTTTAAGGATCAGGTGGGAGATAAGAGCCTCCTACCCCAAAGAGAATGAAGAACTAGGGTAGGAGAATCTCAGAGTCTGATATGATAGAAGCCAATAATCCAGAACATTTTCAAAAAAGGAAGAAGTACTAAAAAAGATAAAGAAAAGACAGAGCCTGGAAATAACTTGGGAAGTAGGAAGACCTCATTGAAGCACTTTTAGTAGGATGATTAGGACAGGAGCCATGATGCAAGAGACCGAATTGTGAATGACAGATATTGAAAGGGAGAAAAGAAAGATGATTGCGATGAAAACACTTTTTAATAAGGATTGTCTCAGAGTCTAGTGTAGCATTGAATTTGCTAGGTAGCTGAGACTAGCCTAGAACTCCTGATCTTCTTGCCTCTACATCCCCCAAGTGTTGGGGTTACAGGCATGATACCTGGTTAGAAAACATAATTTTGATGATTACACACTTGGCATACTTGCAGACCATTTGTCCTAAGCAGAGTAGATCTGCTTCTGTTACTTTGGGGTCATTTGTGTTGGCTGTTTCTGTTTTATTTCCATGTTGTATCAATAACAATGTAACAACACATCTTTATCTTGCTTGTTAAAAATCCTTGTATCAATTCGTTATGCTAGATTAGTGGAACTGGAAGTACTGGATCAAGGAATATAAATATTTTAAAGGTATGTGTTAAATCCACCAAATCATCTTTTTTTTTTTTTTTTTTTTTTTTTTTTTTTTTGGTTTTTTGAGACAGGGTTTCTCTGTGGCTTTGGAGGCTGTCCTGGAACTCGCTTGGTAGTCCAGGCTGGTCTCGAACTCACAGAGATCCGCCTGCCTCTGCCTCCCGAGTGCTGGGATTAAAGGCGTGCGCCACCAACGCCCGGCTCCACCAAATCATCTTGCTGGAAGCATATACACATTTATATTTCCACATACAGTATGAAAGAGTGATAATTTCATTCTATCTTGAAGTGAGTCTTACAAGGGAACAAAACAAAATCTGTTCAATGAATGTTATGGGAAAAACTGAATACTCACTTGTACAAGAATGAAATTAGTTTCATATCTCATACTGTATTAAAAATCCACTCAAGCTGGATTAAATATCTGTGGTGGTTTGGAAGAAAGTGACCCTCAAAGGGAATGTCACTATTGGGAGGTGTGACTTTGTTCGAGAAGTGTGTCACAGTGGAGAAGGGCCTTAAGGTCTTCTGCTTAAACTTCACTCAGTGTTACAGGTGACTTCCATTGCCTGTAAGATGTAGGACTCTCAGTACTACTCCAGCACCACATCTGCGTGAATTCCACCACCCCAGTTAGAGTTTTCTCTCTAAGACTTTCCATGGTCATGTCTCCTTACAGCAATAAAAAAGCAAACTGAGACAATATCTAAATGTCAGACCTGAAGATGAAATTAGTAGAGGAAAACACAAGTGAAAAGCCTCATGATACTGGCCTGGGTAGCGATTTTTATTTGTAGTTTGTATAACTCAAAAGTTTAGGTAAGAAAAGCAAAACATACAAATAGGATTATATAAAATGAAATGGTCTAAAAAGCTGGAAAAAGAACACTGAAGAGACACTCTACAGAATGGAAAAGAATATTTACAAAACATACATCTGATAAGGTGCCATTATCCAGTGTGTACAAAGAACTCAATAGTGAAAAACACAAAGTTATAAACCAGAAAAAGGGTAGGAAAAAGCAAACACTCCTGAGACACTTAAAAAAAAAAAGCTGGGCGTTTGTGGCACGCGCCTTTAATCCCAGCACTGCGGATGCAGACGCAGGTGGATCTCTGTGAGTTCGAGACCAGCCTGGTCTACAAGAGCTAGTTTGAGGACAGTCTCCAAAGCCACAGAGAAACCATGTCTCAAACAACCAAAAAAAAAAAAAAGATAAACATCACTAGCTATCAGAAAAATGTAAATTTAAACCACACAGAGATATCATAGCCTTATAGCCTTACATCTATCTGAATGGCTATTATTACAACAAGTTTAGACATGGGAATGGAGAGAAGGACACTAATGCATATTGTTGGTGGGGACTGACAGTGGGGCAGCTGTTTGGGAAACAATATTCAAGTTCCTCAAAAACTAGAACTTCCATATGATTCAGTGATTCTGCATATATATATGAGACGAGTGTGTGCAGTGACAGATATATGCACTCCTATTTTAATTGTAGAATGACCCACGGCAGTCACGATGCATAACTAACCCAAGTACCCATCTCTGGAGGAATGGGTAAAGAAAAATGTGACATATTTACATAACATAATACTTGTCATCTTAAAAAAAAAACCCGGAGGACACTATATTAAGTGTAATACATCACAAAGAAAAAATACTGGAAGCCAGAGTGTGTAGAGTTTAAAAAGGCTAATCTTAGAAAGAAAAAGAGCTAGGTGGTGGTGTTGCAAACCTTTAATCCCAGCACTCAGGAGGAAGAGGCAGGCGGATGTCTGTGAGTTCAAGACTGGCCTGGTCTACAGAGTGAGTGCCAGGACAGGCTCCAAAGCTACAGAGAAGCCCTGTCTTGAAAAACAAACAAACAAACAACCTCCCAAAAGAAAAAGAAAGTAGAAAGGTGGATCTTAGAGGGTGGGGAGCAGATATAAGAGGAAAAATACAAAATGGAAATCAAATACTCAAATACACCCAGGAGTTTTTATGAGGGGCTCCAACTGGCCAAATCAGGGGCAACTTCATTAACTGAACAGTGACAGCACTGAATTATGGCACTACAGGAAGAAAAAGAAAAGTTGATATTAATACTTGATTGTTGGGGAAGTCTTATGTCAATAAAGCACTGTTGAGCCAATAGGGAACCAAGATAGGAGGTACTAGGAGTCCAGAAGGACTCTGGGTAGGAGAAAGAGAGGGAGTCAAGATGTAACACCATGGGGTAGGAAGCCCGGAAACTTCTCTGGTAAGAGACTTACTTAGATTAACAATTATGGGGTAATTACTTAAGTCAGAGCTAGCCAGTAAGAAACAAGCAAGGCCAACAGCTTCATAATTAATATAGCCTCCTGTGTGTTTATTTGGGACTGATGCGGCTCTGGAACCAGGCTGGCCGGAAGGCTCCTCTCAAAGAAAAAGCTTCTCTTTACACTTGATATAAAGAGAAGGAAAACTGAATTTTTAGTAAAGTGTAATTATATGTGACTATACACTAGCTCAGCAAGAGTAAGTTCTTGGAGGAAGCTGTGAGGGGAGAATAGTTACAGACATGCACAAAATGTCTCAACACATGAAACATACTTGAAATTAAGTTTTAATATCTAATATGAGGTAAGAACCAAACTTTTTTTTCCCAAAAGAGAAAACAAGTTTTCCATAGAAATTAAAGTGCATGTTAATGAAGATACAGGATTGTAAACTTCTGGGGAACACGGCTGCAGCTTCTTTCTTACCAGCGTACCTCTGCAGCATGTGAATTGCTGGTCCAATTCATGACTCAGAAAATGTTCGTTGAGGAGTGGGAGAGATGGCTGGATAGTACAAGCACATACTGCTTTTGCAGAGGACCCAAGTTTGATTCCTAGCACCCTCATTTGGGGGCTCACTACCTCCTATAACTCCAACTTCAGAGGAATCTGACTACTCTGGCCTTCCTGGCCATCTGTACAGAACACACACACACACACACACACACACACACACACACACACACACACACACACACTGTGCTATCCTGTTGGATGAATAATCTATGGTGTTCTCCATCTATTTTATAAGCATCTGAGACATAAGCATCTGGTCGACTCAGTTAAGAAACTTTTTCTTTTAAAAAGGAAGATGCATAAGCATGCTTATGAGTCGAGGAAGAAGTTATTGGGAAGGATCTGGCTGAGGAGACGTTGCAAGCCCCCAGGGATACAAGGCTGGACTGATTAAACTGAGAAAGCCATGGTCTATGGAGGGAGGCAGACCCAGCACATGTTGCAGATAGATGTGTGGTGGCGTTGATGGCTAAGGTTGCACCTATGATAGACCATGGTATAGATGGAATTCTCCGGGGTAAACGACAGCCCGGGAGTGGAGGGGTACAGCAATAATGAACACCAAATGCGGCTGCGAGTGGGCGTTGAGGACACAAAGGTTCCATCCAGTTAAGGATGGCGACCAGGAGCTGCAGCGGCCCCTGGCTTCAGGTTTTAAACGGTGGTACTTTCCGGGGTTGAAAAGAGTGACTCCGGAAAGCTGGGTGGGATGTGCCCAAATTCTTGAGGAACAGGATCTGCAGAATCGAAGTCAAATAACGCCACCCTTCAGATCCCTTTCAAAGCTCCCCTGCACAGCCGTACGTTTACAGTGAGCAGGCTTTAACTTGTTTTCTCCTTTTAACTGCACAGCCCTTTTTAGCAGGACAAACATAACGGGTCATGATCATACTAAGCTGAGCAAGTCAAGGCTTGATAACTTTATCTGCAACACAAAACCCTAGAGTCAACATGACTTGGATCAGGCTCTGTGCCGACTGCTTTACACGCACTGTTTTCCCTGACCCTCAAAAGAACAACAACAAACAAAAAACGTGGAGTGAATGATGTCTTTAGTTAGCCTGCCTTTGCCCGCCAGAGCATGAGGCCCAGAGTACAAGCAATTTGCCCGAAGTTGCTTTTAGCGGAGTCCTGACTGTATCCTGAAAGCTATCAGCTCTTCTCCCTGGGTTTCTCAGTTGGACGTCGGTCCAAGAGAACCAGGAGAGCGGTCCCATATTGCGAGTGCTCACAGTGTTGAAGACATACGGTAACGGCCGTCTGGCTGACGTCGGCTGTCCAGCGCGCCACCCTGTGACGCACGCGTGATGCTCACGTGCACTGTCCTCCCTGCTTCCTTCGGGAAGGCTGAGGCAGCCTTAGATCCTAAGGCGGGGTGGGGTGGGCGGTGGACACGGGGACCGGGCTTAGGACGATACTCTCTGGGTTGGATTCCTTCTGCCTGAACACCTGATCGGAAGGTCGGGAGGGCGGGGAGGGGTGGGCGGAGCCGGACCTCAGGGAAGGTCGCGGATTGGCTGGTAGGGGATAGGGCGGAGCCTTGCAGGGGTGGGCGGAAGCGAGAAGCCGCAGCTACCGCGTAAACCCCTTGGCTTCTTGGAGCCGCCGCTTGCCGCCTGAGGAAGCCTCAGGCCGAGCGGGGTGAAGCGGACACCCGGGTGGCGGAGGCCGGCGGGGCCGGGGCGGGAGGCGAAGGTAAGGGAGGCGGCGTGGCATGGGCCGCCGGGACCCGCAGTGGGAGGATGGCCGGCGCGGGTCGCCGAGCACGGCGGGAGGGATGGCGAGGGCCCGCGGCTCTTCGGCCGAGGCTCGGAAGACCTGACGGGGACCGGCTGCCGCCTGGATGCCTGCCGGCCCTGTGTGGTGGGGCAGGCGGCAGCTGGCTGGGCCACTCCTGCGGAGGCTTCCTCGACGCCATGGAAGTTCTCTTGCCCCTCTGTTCCCCTGATGCCCGCACTTATTTCCGAGGGGGGACCGCCTTGTCGTCCTCCGAGCTGGTGCGGCGCTAGCCTGGAAAAGAAAGTTCTGTTCCTCAGAAACCATTCCAGACTTGGCGTGCGTCCATCAGCTGAAACGCTCGTTTCTGATTTTTTTTTTTTTTGAGGAAGAGACCTGATGTCCCAACAGTCGATCTCCCTTTCCCAAGAAAGAATGGGAATGAAACTTGATGGAGACATTTGGAATTTGGGGTCTTCTGTCCTATTTAGGTTCTTAAGACATTCAGACCCTTAAGCCATTCTGTACACAGCAGGTTATTGCTGTGTGTCTTGTGTGTTACGAGTTAAATGAGCACGGCTGATTCATTTGGTGTATTTTGTCCTGGTACGGTATTGACAGTAGAGTTAGGCGCCTAGCAAATCACACCGTCCTGTTTCCCTTATATTTGAATCGTTCTGCTCCAGTACTCCCGCTTTTCCTCTCCCTCCTCCCCCAGGAGGAGAGAGGGTGGGAGGGATGGAGGGAAGGTTTCTTAGGGTTTTTTTTTCCCCCCCTGTTAGGTTCAGGCTTGTGACAGAGACAAAGGTCAGGCTTTTTTTTTTCTTTTCTTTTTTCTTTCTCCTTTTATTTTTCAGAAGAAGTTACAGGAATCACACAGTGGTTTTTCCTCTAGTCTTTCTGTTGTGTATGGGTCAAAAATGAACAAAACCCCTTTCTTAATGGAAGCGAACATTACTTGTATTCAGCTGTCCTGTATTAATAGGTAACATTTGAGAATTGTACTTAAGGAAAAAAAAAAACAAAAACAAAAAACTGACCCCAGAAAACGACTAGGCTGACACTCGGATTTTCACCTAAAGATTCCATGTGGGCTGATGCATTAAGTTATATAAAACTCTTTAATAGTGGATTTGTATTCTAGTTTGCTTCACCAAGATACTGTGTAGCAAGTCTGCATACAACATGCTTTCCTAGGAATAAAAAAGACAAACAGTTGGTGATACTGCAGAAGTCGTTGGATAAGTAGGTTAATATTTCTAATTATGTATGCAGAGGAGCCATGCTTTACAGCATAAATAGTTATTATGCTGCTAAAAAATCAGAGTTGTAATTTCTTCTTGGATGCTGGTGGCATGTAATTGTTGAGATTAGTTCTATGTGATTGTATCTATGTTTTAGAGACAGCACTTGCTCTGTGCTTACACACTCACTTTTACCTTCATATTTCCAAAGCTTAATGAACGTTCTGGCCATAGACTGCCTTTAGAAGTAATTTTAAGACTCTTTGGGCAGATTGGTCACTGTGCTTTTGTTGGTACCTTTGTGGAATTGGAATAGGTTGTGTTTATAAACTTGAGGGTTTTTATTGCTATCACAGTTTCTCTCTGGTGGTATTTAAGACAAAACAGAACAAAAGTTTGAGTTTTTTCCTCATCAGTCACCATCTTAACCCTCTATGCTGGAGTATCAATTATCATGATGGTTTGATGCCATCAATTATCATGATGGTTTGATGCCAACTTGACACAAGCTAGAGTCTTCAGAGAGGAGGGATCCTCAGTTGAGAAACTGCCTCCCTAAGATGGGCCTTAGGTAAGCCTGTATGTAGCATTTCGAGTGATTGCTGGGCTGGTGGTCCTGAGTTCGGCTAGAAAGCAGGCTAAGCAGGCTGAGCAAGCCATGGTGAGAACAAGTAAACTGTTCTCCCCCATGCCTCTGCATCAGTTCCTGCCCTCCAGGCACCTGTCCTGCTGGAGTTTCTATGCTGACCACCTTTGATAATGAACAGTGATGTGGAACCTTTCCTCCCCAAGTTACTGAGTGCATCATTGCAAAAGTAATTCTCCCCAGTGGAGCATGAAGTCCTCCTTCCGTCTTTCCCTACACCAGTGCCTATCTCTACTCTTTTCCCCCTGGGGCATCCCTTCCAACAAAATCCCATCCATGCCAGTGTTTTCACTTCTGCTTTAATTCACTAGTCAGTGACATTACTAACGGGAAAATCTGAGCATTACAGGAACACAGCTAGAATCGGAAGTCCTTGAAGAGCTAAAAAATTATTTTGATTAGTACACACTGTTGAGAATTTTGTGGCAAGACTTGGAGTACAGTCACAAGTCTATTACTTACTCTCTGTGATCAACCCAAGGAAAATTGTTTTAGGTTCAGTGTACCTCAGTTGCCACAGCTGTTAAACATAGGAATAAGTCTTACTTATATGACTTCCAAGAGTATTAAGAAAATAAAATGAGCCTGGCGTTGGTGGCGCACGCCTTTAATCCCAGCACTTGGGAGGCAGAGGCAGGTGGATCTCTGTGAGTTTGAGGCCAGCCTGGTCTACAAGAGTGAGTTCCAGGACAGCCTCCAAAGCCACAGAGAAACCTTGTCTCGAAAAACAAAAACAAAAACAAAAAAAACAAACCCCCCCCCCAAAAAAGAAAATGAACGGATAGATATGATTTTGAAGAAGAAAACCTTTTTAGAGGTGTGTAATGTCCATCTTTGTACAGTATAGATTACAAGCTGTAGCATCAATATGACTAACACACCAGAGGTTACTTCCGTTTAAATGATCAGTCTAAAGGGAAAGCTTCAGTGCCTTTCTGTAATATTTATTTGGTGATTAGATTTATTGCTTTGCCCAATTATGTTTTTTGGTTATTTAGAGACAAAAGTATCTTTAAGAAGGTCATTACCTTAATATCTGATGAGTTTATGCTTAAAGAGGGGTGGCTTATAGAAATCCCAAATTCATACCATAGAGGAAAGAACAGACAGCTTGTTGGTTTGAATACTTGTCACAGGCTCTGCCAAAAGCTAATTGCTCAGATTGCAGAGACATGTCATAAAAAGTGACTGAATTTCTTTTCTTAATCACTGAGCCATCTCTCCAGCCCCCCGAATTTTTTTTTTTGGAGATGCATTAGTAAAATAAGGCTCAGTAGTTTATGCTATATAAAGTCAGTTTCCCCTGTAACTTTAAAAGGCTATGAAGTATTGCCCCCCCAAAAAACTTTGTACACAAATGTATGATATAAATATTGGGAAAACATTTTGTCTGCTCACATTTATGCCTTACCTGCAAATTTTTAATTAACTTTAATTGCAAAAATAATTAGGATAGTAATATTTAAAATTAGCTTGGCTACGTAGCTATAGTTTTAAGTGTTGAGGTTTTTTTTCATCTGGACTTCAGTGTTTTAAAGCCTGAATTTGAGTATGTAAAAATAGATTTCCTTATTCTTTGGTGTTTATTGCTATGAATTGTCACACCGTTGGGTTGTGCGGAGACTCGCCTGTTCTTCAGATGGCTTCTAAGGAACCTCTTTCATTGTTTTCCTCTTTCTAGACTCATGAAATGGCCACAGATGATAAGAGTTCCCCGACATTGGACCCTGCTAATGATTTGCCTCGCTCTCCCACGAGTCCTTCTCATCTCACCCACTTTAAACCTTTGACTCCCGACCAGGATGAGCCCCCCTTCAAGTCAGCATATAGTTCATTTGTAAATCTTTTTCGGTTTAACAAAGGTAAGATTTATTTCTAAAAAATCAGAAAATGCAGTTTTGATTCTCTGCCTTCAGTGTTGCAAGGAAGTGAAATATTAACAAGGTGGCAGCTTTAATCATAGGTCACTAAGTCTTTAGGAGGGAAAGGTAGCATTTCATTGCAATCTGACTAATTATTTGTTTGAATTGAATTTAAAATGGTTAAGGAGGTCCTTTTTAAAGAGAAAGCAGTTTTCCCACATTTTTTCTATTAATATGATTCAACTTACTATGTTTACAGAATTTATTTTGAGGGAGGTATTAAAAACAAAAAGATTTTAATTAAAGCAATAAAATTAAACTGAGCAGTACATGGCTTATCATTTAAAAAATTAGAAGCTGTTAGCATGCCTGTTGAGATTTAATGATAATTAGGATTAAGTTGTAAATAATATCAAATGAACAAATAATTTAAACCTTTGACTTCTGACAAATAATTAAAAAACAAGTTCTTGAATGGTATATTATTTGTTTTTTAAGTAGGAAGCATTAAAAAACAAGCCACATCTTGCCCTTAATTTGCCTTTTTTGAGACAAAGAGTTCAGTTTTCATGCCAGCCTGAAACTCACTATGTAGTCCAAGCTAGCCTTGGTCATGAGGGCTAGGATTATAGGCATGAGTTACCATGCCTAATTTATTTGTCTTCATTGTGTGAAATGTATTAGGAGAGCAGTTCTTAACATGTTCTTAACATGTGGGTTGTGACCCCTTTTTAGGTTTGCATATCAGATATCCTGCATGTCAGATATTTACATTATAATTCATGACAGTAGCAAAATTACAGTTATGAAGTAGCAACAAAATAATTTTATGGTTGGGGGTCACCACAACTCAAGGAACTATATTAAAAGGTCTTAGCATTGTGAAAGTTGAGGACCACTGTGTTCGAAGGTAATCACCATTGTAAGGAATTTGATGAAGTTTGATAGTTTCACTCAGTAGGATTTTTCTTTTCTTTTTCTTTCTTTTTTTTTTTTTTTCCAGAGATAGGGTCTGTAGACAAGGCTGGCCTCAGACTCATAAAGATCTGCCTGCCTCTACCTCTGGAGTACTGGGAGTAAAGGTGTGTGCCATCACACTTGGTGTTCAATATAAATTTTAATAGTATGAGCTAAATTTTATTAACAGTTTTGTTTAAAGTGGTGTTAGCACATTTTAAAAGATAGTGATGTTTTCATTTTAAAAAAGTAAGCTTTACTTTTTAAGAATAGGTCTAGAGTTATAGAAAAATTGAGAAGATAGTTGTGTTCCTATATGTCCCATACTGTTTCTTCTAGTATTGATACCCAACATTAGCATGGTGATTTGTTATAATTAATGAACCATTGTTAATGTATTTTGTTAGCCATTGTATGTATTCAGATTTTTTTAGATTTTGCATAACGGATTCCATCCAAGACAGTATTTTACATTTACTTGTCATAACAGAATAAATAATCTTTATTTATTTAGGAAGGTTTAATAAGCACCTGCTATGCAGTTGGTTTTGTATGAGGCTTATATTGTTTTCTTTAGTATGTTCACAAAGTATCAAATGAAAAGCAGAGCCTGTAGTTCATGTATACAAAAAGTATAATTATTGGAATGTAATTCCATTCTGGTTTCTTACCTTTAAAATATTTAAAAGTTAAAAAGAATGATTTTTATTGTGTATTCTTGTGTGTTGTGTCCACGTGTGAGCACTGAGGAGGTGAGAAGACTGTAGTTACAGGTGCTTGTGAGCTGCCTGACAGGGGAGTTGGCAACTGAACCAAGGGTCCTTTGCAAGAGCAGGATGCACTCAGTTATAAATATGATACATGAACATACTGGCTGAAGTGTTTTATCTGTCACCTTCTCCTTGTTGAGCTCCGACCCTTAGCTTTTCAAGTAATATCAGGTTTCCTTTGTCACAGAGAGAGGAGAAGGGGGCCAAGGAGAGCAGCAGGCTCCTGGTGCAAGTTGGTCCAGCCCTCAGATCCCTTCGAGGACACAGTCTGTGAGGTCGCCCATACCTTACAAAAAGCAGCTTAATGAGGAGCTCCAGCGGCGTTCCTCAGTGTTAGGTAAAGCAGCTGTCTTATCCTCTTTGTGTGTGAATTTTCATCATGTGTTTCTAGGCTAGATACTGACAATTTTCTTTGTACTCGGAATAGTCAAGTACTCTTTAGGGTAAGTAAAACTTACTTAGGTAATAAAAGAATTTTCAATACCTGAAACATTCTTCACCATGTCATTAAACTTTGATTATGCAAGCACTGATGTCTTGACTGAATTTTGATTAATTGCTTGCTTGGGTTTCAGCAGAGAACACTTTGCCACATCCCCAGGAGAGCACAGGTTAGTTCCAATTTCACAGGTGGACCCTGCACCTGTTCTTGGGATGCTAGTGAGATGTGGTGTGCATGCCATTGGCTGCAGAACGCTGTCAAACTCCATTCATGGCTGCCGACTGCTCTCGGGCTGTCTGTGTGGGGTGCACACTTGAGTGTGGCTGGGAACACGGCTCCTCTTGCCTGCTTGTCTTCCACCTTGTTCCACCATGTAGTCACCTCACTCATTTTCATGCTCTTCTGATGGCTGTGGGCTGGGAATCTGTGTCTCGGTTGAGGGACTAAAGGGGGCTTATGTTTTATTTCTGTTAGATTGTTAAGCTCAGTGAAGTGGTTTGCTTAACTCAGGGTGATAGAAGAAGGGCAGTGGCAATGATTCCATAGAGAGGAGAGATTGTAGCATTGGGAATCAAGTGTCCCTAAACCCCATGTCTGTCCTGTCTGGCCACAGACTTCCATGAGATGCATGAGTGAACACTAGCTGTGTAATGGTGGTTGGCAGAAGGACGTTTATTGCTTGTTGAGACTGGGAAGTGGGGGAAACAGAAGTAGAGGAAGAGCTTTTGCTAAAGGGCTAGAGCAGAGCTGGCTGTGTCATACCCACAGGTTTTCCAGGGCAGCCACCTTTGCCCAGTTTACATCATTTTGAAAAGAAGAGTTGGGTGATGGGGGCAGAGGATTTTTTTCTCATCCCAAAGCACCTAAGTTTAACCTTAACCTTATTAAAATCTCCTTAAACCTGACCCATGGCTTAGGAGGATGTGGCAGGAGGATTGTAAGTTCAAAGCCAGCCAGGAAATAATAGCAGATTCTAGACCAGTATAGGCTCTATAGGAGACCCTGGCTTAGGGGAAGAAGCAAAAACAAGCTACAGCAACAAAACCTGACCCATGGCAACACTGTGCTATATTTGAGCACACTCTTCTGATCAGATTCTATGCTGAATTAAACATTGTCTGGCCGGGCAGTGGTGGCACATGCCTTTAGTCCCCACACTTGGGAGGAAGAGGCAGGGGGATCTCTGAGTTTCAGGCCAGACTGATCTACAGATTGAGTTTGAGGACAGCCAAGACTACACAGAGAAACCCTGTCTCAGAAAACAAAACAAAAACAAAAACAAACAACCAAAAAAAACCAACCCCCCAAAAAACCCTCAACAACAACAACAACAACAACAACAACAATAAAAACATTATTGTCTGAAAGCTTTCACTGATTTCCTTCTTGTTGAACTCAGCGTTTAGTTTTTCACATAATGCCAAGCTATCCTTTGCTGCAGAGAGAGGAACAATGAGCCAAAGAGCAGTCTCTGAATTTCTTCACTTGTGAAATTGTGGAATTGGACTAGAATCCTTGTAGTCTTGTAAGGGTTGTAGAGTTGTAGCTTGCCAAATTTGCTTTTGTTATGATAAATTTGAACTACTCGTCTATAGGCAGAGCTTGGATGACCTTTACTGTGGTTCTCATGTTCCTTACTGTCCACTTGCTTCTTGGATTTTACCTTGGAGGCCTTTGAACTTCAGAAGCTCAAATAAGTTTTTCCCTCACTACACGTCAAATTCTACAGTTTGATAGTTTTCTTATCTTAGCAAAGTTATTTGATTTTCTAGGATCTATTTTGCAGAAGCAGCAGCTGAAGGAATTTATCTAAGGGCAAACATCTCTTTCACCAAGGCCAAGCAGAGTCTCACTGCTCATTCTTTCCCAGTGGAGGCTATTGATATTATTTTCTTTTCAAGCAACTAAATGCAAAGGACATCACAACTTATTGCCTGTGCCAGGGAGCACTGCCATTATGATTCTTTTTTTTTTATTATGATTCTTACAGCTTTGTGTCTTCTTTTAGAATTTATAGTCATGGAGAGCAGGTTGTGGTGGTGCACTCCCATAGGATTTGCTGAAGGAGGCAGAGGCAGGAGAATCAAAGTTCTTGGCCAGCCTGGACTACACATTTTTTGGGCTGGAGAGATGGCTCAACTGTTAAAGGCTAGGCTCACAATCAAAAATACAATCATGGAGAGTTTTTTAATGGTTGTTTGAGACTCAGGAAAATTTAGTTGTTGTAATACATGTTAGTAACAGCATATCCTGATCTCTATGCTGCAATTAAGTTAGGTGCAGTTTAGATGAGGTGCTATTTTAGTGGTTTAACTGCCTTAAATTCTTGATTTGTTTGGAGTTATTTATACAGCAAAATCTCATTCTTTGCAATCCTTGTCCCCCCCCCCCCCAAAATTGAGTAGAAAACCAGCAAATGATGAGATAGATTCAGGATAGGGTATTTTCTATTTTATAGTAATTTACTTTCCCTGTAGGTCATACCTTCCAGATCCCCAAGTAGATACCTAAAGTCATAGTTTCAAAGCCATAATATATGTTTTTTTCATGGTGCATTGAAGCCTATGATAAAGTTTAGTTTATAAATTAGACCAAGAGATTAATAATACTAATGCTAAACTATCACAGTTGTAACAATGAAGTCGTGAATGTGTTCTACGCTAAGACAGATGTTATTATTTTCAGACTACATGACTTGAGGGTAACTAAAACCCTGGGAAGTAAAACTGAGATAGGGAGGAATTATGTAAATTGTAGGCACTACCCTGGTTGTTAGGTTAATGTTCTTAAGCTAACAAGGATGTTGTTCTTTTTTTTTTTTGTCAAACCACCTTCATTTTCCCTTGAGTTTTTGAAGCTGATGTAGCCAGGAATAGATAGAAACTTCACTTGTGATTTTTGTCTAAAATAAGGATAGGTGGCAGTTATGGTAGTCATACTCCATTCTGGCCACAAAGATAGAGTTTGGGCTTGTTTTATTATCAGTAGATCTGGTTTCATGTTGTTATTTCAAACGTAAGTGATTCCTTGCAGTGTGGAATTGAAGGGTTGATGAGGTGGCGGGTGTGGGTATGGGCTCAGGGAGAGTAGGGTTGACGCTTTGGCTGTTAATCTGCTTGGACCTTGGTCATATTTTGTCATCCTGGCTGGTCTATAAAATTTCTTTCTTATGTTGTGCTACAGAACAGAGAAGTTTGATCCTATTGCTTACTTAGGTGACTTTCAGACCAAGTTAGATTAACTCTCTGGGATTACTTTTTCTTCTGCTCAATGTCTACTGGGTGTTTGTTATTTATTTGGCTGGGAAAAATGTGCAAGAAATCAATCGTTAATGAATTCTGGACATGTAAGTGATACTTCCCATTTCAACCCTCAAAACTATCAATCATTTCATAATGTACTTAGCTACATTAAAATAGTATAGTACTACATTAAAATGTGTAATAAGACATATTTGAAACAACTTATTACTCTTGATAAAGATCACTTTTAATTCTAATCACTATTAATGGCTAGAACAACACATGTACGCTAACAATAGGGGATGCTTTGTATTATATCTCATACACACACACACAATGTTTGATATAGTTACTAGAAACTATATAACAATTTCTTTCTTTTTTTTTTTTAATTTGACTCAGACTCAAGAAGGAAAGTAGAACCAGCCTTTGGAGGTCATGACCCACGTACAGCTGTTCAGCTTCGAAGCCTCAGTACAGTATTGAAGCGCCTCAAAGAGATCATGGAAGGGAAAAGCCAGGTACTAGAGAGGCCTTGGGAGAATTTTATTAAGCATTCATGAAGATCATGCCATAACCTCTGACAATGGCATAATGTCACTTAAATGAAAGTTTATTACTTTCTTTGATTCTGAAACCAGAGTTTTACACATAAATTCATAATTTTTTTCTATTTATTTGTTTGTTTGTTTGTTTGTCAAGACAGAGTTTCTCTGTATCGCTTTGGAGCATATCCTGGCACTCACTCTGTAGACCAGGCTGGCCTTGAACTCACAGAGATCCATCTGCCTCTGCCTCCCTAGTGCTGGGATTAAAGGTGTGTACCACCAATGCCCGGCTTTTTTTGTTTTGTTTTGTTTTTTGCTTTTAGTGTAGTCTATTTCTTCTTATTTGCCCTTTTTATATTTGTTTCAGTGTTTGCTTTTTAGTTAGGTGAGGTTAGTACATAATATCACCTGTGGTTTTGTCAGCAAGTTTTATTATTCTTTTTCAAAAATAGGCTTCAAGTTTCCTTTTGTCCCTATGGGTGTCTAGTAGGACCTAGTACATTGTTTTTAGAAAGCCCTTCCTTCAGTAGTTGTAGTATAACTCATGGTAAATTTATACACTGGGTGTGTGAGCATGGCGCTCTTTTCTGTACTATGGTCCTTTTTTTTTTTGGTGTCCTTGTACTAATACTGTCTAGAGTTATTGCAGCTTTAAAAAGTAAGTTCTGATAGCAGGTGATGTAAGTACTTCAATTTTTCTTCTTCAAGATTGTCTTGGTTATTTTAACCTTTTTACATTCCATCTGAATTTTAGAACTAGTTTGTTATCTGCAAAAGACAACTTCTAAGATTTCATTAATCATTATAACTTAAAGTTCACATTTTCAAGAAGTTGTCACATATTTTTGTTATTGTAGGACAGTGACTTGAAGCAATACTGGATGCCAGATAGCCAGTGTAAAGAGTGCTATGATTGCAGTGAAAAATTTACAACCTTTAGGCGCAGACACCATTGCAGATTGTGTGGGCAGATTTTCTGCAGTCGTTGTTGTAATCAAGAAATTCCTGGAAAATTTATGGGCTATACAGGTAAGTGTATTTCCACAATAGTATCATATTTAAAAGTCAAGTTATGAGATAGTTAAGTAGAAGGCTAATATAAAGCCATTTTATAATTTTGGGCTTTCTATTTATGGTAGTAGTAAGAAAGAGAGACCACTTTGATTTTAAGAACTTTATGTTTGAATAGTAAAAAAGGTGAGTGTTCATAAATAAAGTAAAAATATAGATACTGTAAAAATCTACAGCTGTGCGGGGCATTGGTGGCACATGCCTTTAATTCCAGTATTCGGAAGGGAGAGGCAGGTGGATCTCTGTGAGTTTGAGACTAGCCTGGTCTATAATAGCTAGTTCCAGGACAGCCTCCAAAGTCACAGAGAAACCCTGTCTCGAAAAAACCAAAAAAAAATTTTTATAGCTGTGTTAGAGATTATTAGATAAATAGATTTCTAAGTTAAATATTTCTATAGAATTTTTATTCACAAAGTAAAGGTTGCCCTTGATTTAATGATAGTGTACTTTGGGAAATTATTATTTAGGAAATCATATTATTTCATTGATAATGTAGTGAAATTGTAGTAATGGAGAAAGTTCAAAGACATGGAACCATGATGAGTGGATTTAAACAGTGATTTGGGAATGGAAGGGAGGGACTGTTTTATTTATTTTACTTTTTACTAGTCTTGATCTTACATTATTGTGGTCTTAGCCATTCAAGTTCTGGGTGTACAGAGATACATCACCACCCTGGCAGTTCAAATTTTTATTTACTTATTTGTGTGTTTGTTTATCGTGCTGGGTATCAAACCTAGAACCTTTTGCATGTTAGGTAATCACCGTACCACTGAGTTGTATCCCCAACTAAAGAGAACACTCTTAGCATGTTTCTCATGTTATGTTAGGTGTTGTAAAGATCTTCCTTATCATATGCATTGGTATTTTACCTTCATGTGTGTCTGTGTGAGGTGTCGGATCCCCTGGAACTGGAGTCACAGACAGTTGAAAGCTCCCAGTGGATGCTAGGAATCAAAGCCTGGTTGTCTGAAAGAGCAGTCAGTGCTCTTAACTGCCGAGCCATTCCTCTGGCCCAATCTTCCTTATTTTTATATCCGTCTTCATAAGCAATTCTCTTAACTCTGTGTTCTTATCCACCTACTTGAAGTTTGAGACTCTTGGCAATCTTAGCTTATTAAGCACCAAGGTGACAGAAAAATAAGTGTTTCTTCCTGTACAGTTTTTTTTTTTTTTAAATTATTGCCTGGGGATCGAATCCAGGGCCTTGTACATAGCTACATCCCTAGCCAATTTGTATAGTTCATAGTTCATAAGCTGGAAATTTGAATCCTTTTTTTTTTTTTTTTTTTGGTTTTTCAAGACAGGGTTTCTTTGTATTGTTTTGGGGGCTGTCCTGGAACTCGCTCTGTAGACCAGGCTGGCCTTGAACTCACAGAGATCTGCCTGCCTCTGCCTCCCGAGTGCTGGGATTAAAGGCGTGCACCACCAACACCCAGCGGAGTTTGAAATCCTTAAGCTCACCCTTTTTCCTACTTTGTTTTTTACATTTAGGAGCAACAAACTAATTTCATACTTGTTATTTTAACAGGAGGTTTGTCAAGTATTAACCTGAGCACTGTCAGTGTTGTATTAAGAAGACCTAGTGTTATTATCTTGCAAGTCTTTATTGCCCTAACACTTTTGTCAGTGTTCTTTTTTACTATTGGAAATATTCACTAGTGTTTTTATTTTTCTTTAAATTTTTTTAGATTTATTTATTTTTTTATTTTGTGTGTGAGTGTTTTGTCTGCAGGTATGATGTATGTTCACTGTGGGTATGCCTAGTGTTCACTAAAGTCAGAAGAGGGCATTGGATCCCCTGGAACTGGAGTCATGGATGGTGCTGGGATTTGAACTAGGGTTGTCCTCAAGAGCAACAAGTGCTCTTAACTACCGAACAGTCTTTCCAGCCCTTTTATTAATGCTTTTGAATTGAATCTAATTAGAGAGCCAGTTTCAGAAACTTTAGAAGCCAATTCCGAAAACTTATCCCTAAGATACTGGTTCTATAAAACTGTTCTTGTGCTGAATCTGTATAGTCAAGTTTCTCTAGAGAAGTGGACCCAATGTGTGGGTGACATGTTTACCTGTAGTCAAGGAATTGGCTCAAGTACTTGTGAAGCCACTAAGTCTAAGTTATCAGGTTAGTCAGCAGGGTGGAAACTAGAATTTCCATCTTTCATTGATGAGACTGAATTCCTTTTGCTTTTGGATACTTTCATCTTTTTACTTGAGGCCCCAGTTGATTAGGATAAGGCAAAACCATGGATGGTAACCTGCCTTAAAGTCAGCCGTAAGTGTTAATAACATTGGAAAATCAACAAAACTAAATGAACTTCAACTTTAGTGTTTGTCAGTTTGCTTAGTCAAATTGAGCCTTAAGAAATGAAAAAAATGTATGTCGGACACAATTATACTCGAAGACCCTAGCTATATGTAAAATAACTAGATTATTGATATATAGAAAAATCAGTGAATTGGCCTGGTGTGGTGGCACATGCCTTTAAGCCCAGCACTCAAAAAGCAGAGATAGGTCTCTCAGTTCAAAGCCAGCTTTGTCTGTACAGTGAGACATTGTCTCAAAAAATAGAAGGAAAATCAATGAATTTTATACAGAATCATTGAGAATTAAGCTGTAATATCTGCATTTATCATGCAGTTTTTAAATTACATATGTGCCACTTGCCTCCCGTAAACTATGAATTCTGTAATGGCAGGGACATGTCTTGTCAATCTGTGTCTGCCATTGAGTCTAGGTATATGTGTTCCTCCTTTGCTGATGAGCAAGCATTTTTCATGGAATGAAAGCTTTTGTGGTTAGGTGTGGCTCTGTTTCTTGATTTGATAATTTTAGTTTTGATAGTTGACTGGTTAAGGGACTTTACCCTTTATAGTCTAAGCTAGTCTTTGTTGTGGTAACAATTGAAGTAATCTCACTTCCTTAATGTAGTGAAGTTTTGGTCAGTAGCAGTGATTATCAGATCACTTTTATTTGTCTAGACTGAAGTACACCTTGTTATTGTTTACTGAGTACTGATTGAAATGGATGTATTTGTCTTTTTTGAGTTTTATATATATTTGATCTTCTAAATTATAATGTTAGTAATTAGTAAACTAGTGACATTTTGTTTTGACTAATATACATACATAATTTGATAAAACAGAATTATATAAGTTACCTTAAAATGAGACAATAAAAGTAGCTTAGTATACTTGTTAGTAATTTATGGTAAAACACAGTATATTAAACTTTTAGAAATATTTTGATTCACTTCAGATTTTTGATATTAATGATAAAGTATAACTGAAGTAAAATTATTAAATAACATGCTATTTAGTCTTGCTACTTAGTGGTAGGCTAAGTTCCGAGAAATGTATTCTTAGGAATTTTTGTTCTTGTGCGAACATCATAAAGTATACTTAGGATTAGCTACAGAGTAAGTTGCCTCCAGTGAACTATAAATTTTGTAATGGCAGGGAATGGTCAGCTCCTTAGTATTAGAACTAAAATTATCAAGTCAAGAAACAGAGCCAAGCTGACCACAAATGCTTTCATTCATTGAAGGATGTCCACCAGACATGCCCTTCCTTCTGGTTTTTGAGCCCCAGTACCATATAGCCCAGGTTAGTTCTGAAAGCCTTATCTTGTCTCCACCTACCAGAAGGCCTTATCTTCCTGCCTCCATGTACCAAGTGTGTGCTACTATGTGCAACTTTCCTTTTAAGATGGAGTCACTATGTTGCCCATGCTGCCCTTGTGTAGTTTTTCCAACTTAGTCTTCCAAATACTAACATAGCCCCTCAAAACAATAAACTCTTACTTTGATAAGTAGAAAAAATGATAAAAAATACAACATAGTAAAGATGGAAACCAGTGACATAGTTGTTTAGCACCAAGTGCTTTTATGTTCATGTATCAGTTTTTTATGATTATGTGCTTTATAGTTTCATGACTTACAGATCAGTAAGTTTATTTTAATCATCCTCAGCAAAAATGTGAATAATATGCTATCCTATAATATTATGATGGCTGTTAGACCAGGCAATACGAATGTTTTAGCTCCACTATAATCTTACAAGAACATTGTTGTATTATGTGGTCTGTTGTTAACTGAAATGTCATATGGTACATGGTGTATTTCGCCTCTTAGTACACCAAATTGTTATGGAGTCACATCAAACAGTATTTTATAAAAATAGAGTAGAAATGAAACTTATTTTGAAACAGGGCTGTGTCCTAAAATAAAGGTTTAAAAGTATTAAGAAACTCTGTCCTAGGAGCTATTTCTGTAGTGTTATGAATTGAACTCAGCCTTATACATCACTGTATCACTAAGCCACACTCTTAGCTAGACCATTTCATTCTTGTTTCAATACAAACATTTCTTTCAGTTTAATCCTATATATTATATTGTATGTAAGACCACTTTCCATTAGTTTTAGAAACTGTGCATTAGTAGATGGAGGAAATCTTTTAAAACCCTATGCCTAGATGAAGAACTACATGGCTGCTGAGAGAGGGACAGTCAGTGACAGGCCCCTGATAGGTTATTCAGTCCCAAGCGGTCAGCCCACACATACAGGCTGTATTTTTGTGCACATGTGCATGTATATATAACAAACATTACAGAAGAGCTCATGAATATGAGAGGGAGTTGGGGGACATGGGATGAATTGAAGTGGGGAAAGGGAGGTGTGGACATGATGTAACTATAGTACTTACCTATGAAATTCTTGAGAGTTTTTTTTTAGTTAAAACGATGTGCTCCATTCTGGATACCATTCGTCAGGGCTTCGTGATAGAGACCCTAGTATTATTTCCTCTGTACTTGTTGCCTCGGGACAATAAGTTGTTCCTGTTGTGTTGGTTATTTACTATATTGAAATATTTTCTATTTGAAAGTCCTACCTTTGATAGATCCCTCATTGTATTATTATAATTTTGAAAAAAATATTCTTGCAGCCATGATTTTCAGTTATTATTATTGGGTCAATTTTTCTTACCTGTTACAGATACTTGAAGTAATTGGGATACTTGGATGAATTTATCATAATAATAAGCCTAACATGTGCAGCAGATCCAGCCAAGCTTTTCACTTATTTAAAATGTCTTTTGGTAGTCTTTACTTGAAGATTTAAAATATTTTATTAAATAATGTATTACTGATACCTTTCCATATTATTTTTCCTTCTAGGAGACCTCCGAGCATGTACATACTGTAGAAAAATAGCCTTAAGTTATGCTCATTCCACAGACAGTAATTCCATTGGGGAAGACTTGAATGCCCTTTCAGATTCAACTTGCTCTGTGTCTATCCTTGATCCAAGCGAACCACGGACACCTGTTGGGAGTAGAAAAGCCAGTCGTAACATATTTTTAGAGGATGATTTAGCCTGGCAAAGGTATTGTCACTTGAATATAACTTGATTTGAACTTGAGAAATGCTTAGTTCTGTAACCTGTATTTTTTATTAACATTTATTTCTTTTTGTTATCTGCAAATTTATCATTTTTTCTAGCTCATGTACAGAAGGATCATAGATATGTATGGATAGTGATTATATTACCATTGAAACATAAGCACATGAGAGGAGAGTTTTTATACCTGTTGTGTTTTATATACTATTCTACTATTGAAACCAAGAACGATGCATGATTCTTGCAATAGTTGTTGATTAGGCAGCAGAAGTCATTGATAATAATTCCTGATGTGGTCTTAGAGAAAGGAGACTGCTCCTAAGATCTGGATTTGTTTTCAAATTCAGTTAGTTTTTTTTCTTCTTCTGAAAGAGTATTTGATGTGTTTATGTCTGGAGATGCTTTGCTGGCAGGTTGTATGTAAACAAACTTCCTTGGAAATTACCTAGAGTTGGTTGTTTACATTGGAATCCAAGGTTCATCACTTATTTTCTTCAGGAGAATAATCTTCTTACACATGATTCCTAATTTTTCCATGTCAAGGAGCTTAGAGTTTTAAGTAACTTTTTTTCTGTTTGAGACTGAGATAGGGTCTCCCTATATAATAGTCCTGGCTGTCCTGGAACTCACTCTAGACCAGGCTAGCCTCCAACTCAGAGATACACATGCCTCTGCCTCCCAAGTATTGGCATGAAAGGTGTGTGTGAACCACCATACCTGGTTTAACTAACATTTTTCTGATGAGTAGTTTTCTTAGTTACTTCTTAACAAAGAGAAGAATTAGTATATTGTATGTTTAAGAAAAAATGAATTACAGCTACATTCACCATTTGTGAATCCAGAGACATAAGTAGAAAAGCAATTCACAAATCATATATGCACAAAGATTCTAGTTATATATTGTTCAGAAATATAAGTGAAGATAAATGCCCAGGGATACAAATGCTATAATTTGAAGATGGCTGTTTCTGTCCTGCCTGGTCCCACAGCCGCTTTGTTCCAAATAAACACACACAATTTTATATTAAGTATAAAATGTTTGACCAATGGCTCAAGCTTCTTATTGGCTAGCTCTGTTTTAATTATTAACCTATTTCTATTTATGTAGTGCCATGAGGCTGTGACTTATACACAATTCAATGGGCAGCATGGCCTCTCTTAGTGGCCCCTCTCTGCCTTTCTCTCCCCAGCCTTCTCCTGGTCTGGTTGCCCCGTCTATGCTTCCTGCCTGGCTACTGGCCAATCAGTGTTTCATTCGTCAACCAATAAGAGAAACATATATTCAGAAGGTCATCCCCCAACAGTATTTATTAGTTACTTGTCTCATTACTGTAACAAAATCCCTAACAAAAGCAATTTATAGCCGGGCAATGGTTGCGCACGCCTTTATTCCCAGCACTGGAGAGGCAGAGGCAGGCGGATCTCTGTGAGTTCGAGGCCGGGCTGGACCGATAGCCTCCAAAACAATACAGAGAAACCTGTCTCGTAAACCCCCCCCCCAAAAAAAAGCAACTTATAGAAGAAAGGATTTATTTTGGCTTACAATTTTAGGGGATGCAGTCTATCATGGCAGAGGCAGTGTGGCAGAAAGAGGAGGAGGTGGCTAGTGTGTCCACAGTCAAGAGACAGCTGTGAATGCCTGTGCTCAGTTCCATTTCCCCCTTTTATTCAGTAGGGGGCCCCACTGTATGAAGTGCTACTGCCCACATTTACAGTGGGTCTTCCCACCTCAAATGAACAAATTTAGATAATCTTTCATAGACATGCCTGGAGAGTGTTTCAGTGGTGGTTGACATGTAAGGTTAATCGTAACAGTGTTAAAAATAAAAATTTTAATAATGGTTTCATTGGGATTAGGGAAAACGATGGTACTGGGTAGGGGGACACAGACTCTTCAAAATAGTGGTTAATTGAGTCTTCTTTTTAAGTTGTTTGATGGGTCTTTTGATGTTTGTAGCATCATAGTTATACCTTATATACATTTTATAAACATAGTTGATTCTATATTTACTAAAACAATATGAAGATTACATTCTTTAGCTTTTTTATTACTTTAATTAGCAATGTTTATTATTTGTGTGTGTTCCAATTGAGTGATCTCAGAATTGGCAAGTATGATTTAGTAAAGCATCATGAGAGGCAGAAGATAGACCTCAGAGATAGAGTAATAGTTTAGTTTTAAGAAGATAGACCTCAGAGATAGAGTAATAGTTTAGTTTTAAGAAGATAGACCTCAGAGATAGAGTAATAGTTTAGTTTTAAGAAGATAGACCTCAGAGATAGAGTAATAGTTTAGTTTTAAGAAGATAGACCTCAGAGATAGAGTAATAGTTTAGTTTTAAGCTCTGTGTTAACAGTTTCATGTTCCAGTCTCCTTTAGTATCACATCTTTTTGGTAGGAAATATTTTCTTTTCTTTTCTTTTTTTTTTTTGCCAAGAGAACAAGACTTTATTGACGTTCAATGCGCAAAACCAAACTGCCAGCTGAACATTAGGATAAAGAAATGACTTTATAAACATTCAGAATTAAAAGTTAATCCTATTGGCTAGTGAGGAAATCCAGTGGGAGAGGACCCTGGTGCAATTCCTGTCCCCCCCCCTTTATGAGAGATTTTAGATAATTAACACTCAAATAATTCTGGCTGAGACAGCCCAGGAATAGATCTCAGGTGTTGTCACTCACACCAAGGCAGAGTTCCCACTCTAGCTGGAACTAGCATTAACTAATGTCTGGAGGGTTAGTGAACACTCTAGGAAAGGACAGGGGCATGTCTGGGAGTGGTGCTCCCAGGGAGGAAATATTTTCTTTTTTTGACAGATGTTGGTGCAAAAGTTCAAAAAGGTTAAGTAGTGAATTTGAGGTCACACAGCTAGTAAGAGATAGGCCCTTTTCTTGAACCTTGGTTTGTCTGACTCTTTGGTGCTATACAAGCTGTGGGGACTAAGACTAGATTTGGAACACAGATTTTTATTTTTTTTAATGAAAATTACTTTTATCATGTATATGTGATATGAGAATGAGTTTTATAAATCACTTATCCAAGGTGGGCAATGGTGGCGTATGCCTTTAATCCCAGCGCTTAGGAGGCAGAGACAGGTGGATCTCTATGAGTTTAAGGCCAGCCTGGTCTACAGAGCCAGTTCCAGGACAGGTAGGGCTGTTACACAGAGAAACCCTGTCTCAACCCCTCCTCCATCCCCCCCCCAAATAAATCACCTACCCAACCAGATTTGATGTTTTATTGATATTCAATTCAGTACATTAAAAACATTATCAACTTTTGATGCTAGAGATGAAACTGCACTTTTTTGTCTTAAGTGTTTGAGACAGGGTTTCTCTATAGCCCTGGCTCTTCTGGAACTTGATCTATAGACCAGAATGAGACCTCTTATGCCTCCTGAGTGCTGAGTGCTGAGTGCTGACTGTGCACTTTTTGTCTCAAATAAAATAAGAACAAAAATGAACTGTATATAATCTCTTTGTTGTAGAGAAAAACACTTAATTTGCGTTAAAATTTTAAACCATCTGATTGCAACCCCAAGTGACCCCAGTATTTTCATTATCTTCATAGTTTGATTCATCCAGATTCCTCAAATAGTGCTCTTTCAACAAGACTTGTATCTGTTCAAGAGGATGCAGGGAAGTCTCCTGCTCGAAACAGGTAAACTGTCAATAAAAGCTACTCTGATTTTTGTTTATGTCCCTAGTAATGGGAACAGACAAATGAAAAAGTGAGATGGCATCAGGGCTCTGTTGTGTGATCCTTTCTTTGCTTGGTAGTTCCTCTTTCAGCTAGTCTTTGGTTATTTCAGATATTGGGACCTGTCTTCTGTGTTCTAGTTTAGTATAATTGTCTGAAGAATGTGAGAAAGTGAGGCAGGTAGGCATTCTGTGAAAATGTGTACCAAGGAACCAGAATGGCAGATGCTCAAGAGGGAGCACATCTGGTAGGAATATGAGAGGTCCTGTGTGCTGCAGTAGACTGTCTCGGAATGAGTGAGTGGAAAGGATGCTGTAATCTAGTCTCAGATGAGCTATTGGAGCTAAAAACATTTTTTAAAATTGCTTTGTAAAGCTTGAAAATAGTAAATGGCTTTTTAAGATTAGGGAAATAAATGCCCATATATTCTGCATTAAGACATACTTACATTTTGTCTATTTATTTTGTCACTATTTATGTAATACACACTTTTAAAGAAGCCATTCAAGAGTAATGCCATCATTTTCTAATTTGTTCAGTTAATAGGCTCAATAATGTTTTTTATGTTTGAGACAGGATTTTGCTGGCCTCCAACTCACTGTGTCGCCCAGGCTTGCTTCTAACTCACAGTCTAATTCAGTTCGACAGGTGCTGGGATTGTTGGCATGAACTGCTTAATCCCAGCTGAGAATTCTTTTTGTTCTTTTAGTAGCAGTTTTGGCTTCATAGCAAAAGTGAGCAGAGAGTTGGAATAATATAACGTGTATATAGAAATAATGATTTCTTTCAGTTAGAATGTATACTTAAGTTTCTTCAATATCTTCTTATGACTTTCTACATTTTTTTGTTGCTAAGCAATATTCTAGTTTCTAGATGTGTCATAATTTACATGACTTCACCTTCTCAAAGACATCTTGGCGGTTTTCATGTTTTGGCAGTTATATAGAAGGCCATGAACATCTGTGTGCAATTGTTTTTCTTTTAAGTGCGACTCCTCTCATTATGTTGCTGTCTACTCTGGAACTCACAGAAATCTATCTGCTGATATCTTCTGAGTGCTGAGATTAAAGATGCATGCCATCATACTCCTCTATGTAATTTTGTTGTGTGTGTGGATGTTGTTTTAAGTTCATTTGAGTAAATATCAAGAAGCATGATTGTGGGATTAGATAGAAAGAACATGTTTAATTTTGTAAGGGATTACCAAACTGTCTTCCAAAACTGGCATTGCCATTTTGCATTTCCACAGGCAGCGCAGGAGAGTTCCTCTTCCACACCATTTCCACCATTGGAGTTGCCAGTGTTTTGTAATAGTGTACTAGTATAATGGTGTTGCATTTGTTTAAAGTTGCCATTTCCTGAGATGAATTAAACTTCTTTTCATTTGTTTGCTTACCATGCATATATCTTCCTTGTAAAGGAGTCCATTTCATAATTACAGCTTCATTTTTTTCCACTGTTGAGTTTTTATACACATACACACACAGTTTTTTTAAAATAAGAATTCTTTCTTAGGTGATGGTGGCACACACCTTTAATTGCAGTACTTGGGAGGCAGAGGCAGGTGGATCTCTTGAGTTCAAGGCCAGCCTGGTCTGTAGAGTGAGTTCCAGAACAGCTAGGGTTTCACAGTGAGACCCTGTCTTAACCAAACCAAACCAAACCAAACCAAACCAAACCAAACCAAACCAAACCAAACCAAACCAAACCAAATCCTTATTAAATGTATCATTTGTAAATGTTCTTTCCTGGTGGCTTGTCTTTTCATATTTTGACATTGTTGCTTATGGAGCATAAGTACTTAATTTTAATTGGAGGTGCCTTTGGTGTTATATGTAAGTAGCTATCACTATATCCATGGTCATCTAGGTTTTCTCTTCTGTTATATTCTAGGTGTTTTGTAGTTTGCATTTTATGCTTTGGTTTGTGATACATTTTAAGTTATTTTTGTGATAGAAATAGCTATATTTCTTTTTGTATGTGTTTATCCATTTGATCCAGTATCCTTTATTGAAAAAAAAATCATCTTTGCTTTTTTTGTTGTTGTTTGTCTGTCAGTGGTCATTTATTATTATGTATATAGTGTTCTGCCTGCTTGTATACTTGTACACCAGAAGAGGGTGCCAGATTTCATTACAGATGGTTGTGAGCTACCATGTGGTTTCTGGGAATTGAACTCAGGACCACTGGAAGAACTGCTAGTACTCTTAACTCCTGAGATATTTCTCTAGCCTCTAGATAAATTTCTTTATACCCGATTCTTGATTTAAAAATTGTTTTATGTAGGGCATTTGTGGTGCATGCCTTTAATCTTAGCACTTGGGAGGCAGAAGCAGGTAGATCTCGAGTTTGAAGCCAGCCTGGTCTACAAAGTAAATTCCAGGATAGCCAGGGCAAACAGAGAAACACTGTCTTGAAAACCTCAATCAAAACAAAATGAAATCCCAAAATATTACCATTTATGTATTTATTATTATTGTATGTATATATGCACATGTCATAGCATGCATGAAGATTCTCATTCTACAAGTGGGTTCTAAGGTTTGAATTTGGGTAATCAGGTTTGGTGGCAAACGCCCCTATCCACTGATTCACCCTGGTTCTTGATTTTTTTTTTTCCTAACCTGTAAAATGGAGCTAGTAACACCTGCTCCATAGGATGTGTGAGTATTAAGTGAAGAAATATGTAGATTACCCCAGAAATGAGTTATGTAGTGTCAGGTAAAGTTTCTTTTCATCCTTTCTGTTTTAAGCTGAAGTTAGGTTTCATTTTTTATTGTAGATGATAACTAAAATTTCACTTAAATTAAAAATAAGTAAAAGTTGGGCATTATTGATACTTATAAGTAATATAATAACTGAACAGAGGCAAAGTTAAAGATATATGAGAATGCTTACACATAACCAGAGAAACACATTAACACATTTTTTATAACTTTTTTTATTGAGGAAATAGGTGTGTGTGTGTGTGTGTGTGTGTGTGTGTGTGTGTGTGTGTGTGTGTGTGTTTAGAGACAGGATTTCTCTGAGTAGCCCCGGCTTTCCTTGAACTCACTTTGTAGACCAGGCTGACTTCGAACTCAGAGATATTCCTGCCTCTGCCTTCCAAGTGTTGGGATTAAAGGCATGTGCCACCACTACCTGATTCATATAATAATATATGAACATAGTATTTTCAATACAGGCCTACTAATGAGAAGGAACACGATTAGTGTTCCTATCATCAGATTCATTGCAGGATATTCAATTATAAACTGATTCTTCTTAATTCCCGGTCTGTAGAAAAAAAGGGGCATGTAGGCCATACTTCTTTTTTAATTATTATTTTAATTTTAAATAGCTTATTTTACGTGTCAATCCCAGTTCCCTCTCCCTCCCCTCCTCCCGCACCCCTCCACCACTCCCCCCAGGCTCCCACCCTATTGCCAATTCCTAGGGGATATCTAGAGTCTGTCATTTCACTCAGGGTAGGGTCCAGGCACTCCCCTAAGAGTCCAGGCTGAGAGAGTATACCTCTCTGTGTTATGGACACACGATGTCTTTATTCCAGGGATAAACACTGGTCCACTGCTCAGGGCCCCATACGTTGCCCAGGCCTCCTCACCACATTTGGGGGGTCTGGATCAGTCCCATGCCGGCCTCCCAGCTGTCGGTCTGGGGTCCAAGAGCTCTCCCCTGTTCAGATCAGCTTTCTCTGCTGGTTTTGCCAGCCCATTCTTTGCCAATTTGCTTATCGCTCCTCTCTCTCTGTCACTGGGTTCCTTGAGTTCAGTTCAGTGTTTAACTGTAGGTGTTTGCCTCTGCTTCCATCAGTCACTGGATGAAGGCTCCAGGATGGTTATAGACATCAAGTTCATTATCAGGAATGGGCATTCAAGGTGGTCTCTCCACTATTGCTTAGCTTGCTAATTGGTGACATCTCTTTAGATCACTAGAGGTCACACTGGTGCCTGATCTGTCTTCTAACCTATGATTTCCTCTTCCCCCTATTCTACCCCCCCACTCAACCTTCATGTTCCCCCATGACCTACTCTCTCTTCCTCTTCTCCCCCTCATTTCTTTCCAGCTCCCACTCCCCCCTACCCCTCACCGTGTTCCCCATCTGTTCAGAGGATCTTGCCTCATTCCTCTTCTCTTGGGTATCATGTATATATCTTAGGTTCTTTCCTGTTTCCCTGCCTCTCTGTCAGTGGAAGTGCAGACTGGCACTATCTTGATCCATGTCTAAAATCCATATATGAGTCAGTACATACCATGTTTGTCTTTTTGTGACTGGGTTACCTTACTCAGGATGGTTTATTCCAGTGCTATCCATTTACCTGCGAATTTCAAGATTCCACTGTTTTTTTTTTCTGCTAATACTCCATTGTGTAAATGTACCACATTTTCTCTATCCACTCTTCAGTTGAGGGGCATCTAGGTTGCTTCCAGGTTCTGGCTATTAAAAATAATGCTGCTATGAACATAGTGGAGCAGATGCCCTTGTTGTATGAATTTGCCTCTTTTGGATATATGCCTAAGAGTGGAATTGCTGGGTCTTGTGGTAGATTGATTCCCATTTTCCTGAGGAATATGCATACTGATTTCCAAAGTGGCTGTACGAGTTGGCACTCCCACCAGCAGTGGAGTAGAGTTCCCCTTTCTCCACATCTTCTCCAGCATAAATTGTCTTCGGTGTTTTAGCCATTCTGACAGGAGTAAGATGGTATCTCAAAGTTGTTTTGATTTGCATTTCCCTGATGGCTAAGGGTGTTGAACACTTTCTTAAGTGTCTCTTGGCCATTTTAGCCTCCTCTATTGAGAATTCTCTATTTAGTTCTGTACTGCACCTTTTAATTGGATCCTTTGGTGTTTTGGAGACTTGCTTCTTGAGTTCTTTGTAAATTTTGGAGATTAGCCCTCTGTCAGATGTGGGGTTAGTGAATATCTTTTCCCATTCTGTGGCCTGCCTTTTTGTCTTGTTGACTGTGTCCTTTGCCTTACAGAAGCTTTTTAGTTTCAGGAGGTCCCATTTGTTAATTGTTGATCTCAGTGTCTGTGCCACTGGTGTTATGTTCAGGAAGTGGTCTCTGTACCAACTCGTTGAAGAGTATCTCCCACTTTCTCTTCTAAAAGTTTCAGTGTGGCTGGATTTATGTTGAGATCTTTGATCCATTTAGACTTAAGTTTTCTACAAGGCGATAAACATGGGCCTATCTGCAGTCTTCTGCATACCAGTACCCAGTTATGCCAGCACCATTTGTTGAAGATGCTTTCTTTTTTCCATTGTACAGTTTTAGCTTCTTTGTCAAAAATCAAGTGTTCATAGGTGTGTGGGTTAAAATCAGGGTTTTCAATTCAGTTCCATTGGTCTACCTGCCTATTTTTGTGCCAATACCAAGCTGTTTTCAGGACTATAGCTCTATAATAGAGCTTGAAGTCAGGTATGGTGATGCCTCCTGAAGTTCCTTTATTGTATAGGGTTGTTTTGGCTATCCTGGGTCTTTTGTTTTTCCATATAAAGTGGATTATTGTTCTTTCCAGGTCTGTGAAGAATTGTGCTGGAATTTTGATAGGGATCGCATTGAATCTGTAGACTGCTTTTGGCAAGATTGCCATTTTTATTATGTTGATCCTACCAATCCAAGAGCATGGGAGATCTTTCCATTTTCTGGTATCCTCTTTGATTTCTTTCTTTAAAGACTCAAAGTTCGTGATATACAGGTCTTTCACTTCCTTGGTTAACATTATCCCCAGATATTTGATGCTGTTTTTGGCTATTGTTTCTCTGATTTCTTTCTCAGTCACTTCATCATCTGTATATAATAGGGCCACTGATATTTTTGAGTTTACCTTGCATCCTGCCACTTTGCTGAAGGTGTTTATCAGCTCTAGGAGTTCTCTTGCGGAGTTTTTCCGGTCACTTATGTAAACTATCATATCATCTGCAAATAGTGAAAGTTTGACTTCTTCTTTTCCTATTTGTATCCCCTTTATGTCCTTTTGTTGTCATATTGCTGTAGCTAGAACTTCAAGTACAATATTGAAGAGATATGGAGAGAGTGGACAGCCTTGTCTTGTTCCTGATTTTAGAGGAATTGCTTTGAGTTTCTCTCCATTTAGTTTGATGTTAGCTGTTGGTTTACTGTATATTGCTTTTATTGTATTCAGGTACGTTCCTGTTATCCCTGATCTCTCTAGGACCTTTATCATGAAGGGGTGCTGGATTTTGTCAAAGGCTTTTTCAGCATCTAGTGAGATGATCATGTGGTTTTTCTTTCACAGATTGTTAATATGGTTGATTACATTGATAGATTTTCTAATGTTGAACCATCCCTGCATTCCTGGGATGAAGCCTACTTGATCATGGTGGATGATTTTTCTGATGTGTTCTTGAATCTTGTTTGCGAGTATTTTATTGAGTATTTTTGCATCAATGTTCATGAGGGAAATTGGTCTATAGTTCTCTTTCTTAGTTGTGTCTTTGTGTGGCTTGGGTATCAAGGTAATTGTGGCCTCATAGAAAGAGTTTGGCAGTGAGCCTCCTGCTTCTATTGTGTGGAATACTTTGAGGAGTATTGGAATTAGCTCTTGTTTGAATTTCTGGTAGAATTCTGCACTGAAGCCATCTGGGCCTGGGCTTTTTTTCTTTGGGAGACTTTTGATGACTGCTTCTATTTCATTAGGGGTTATAGGTCTGTTTAGATTGTTTATCTGTTCTTGATTTAGTTTTGGCAAGTGATATCTATCCAGGAAATTGTCCATTTCCTTTAAATTTTCAAATTTTGTGGAGTACAGATTTTCAAAATATGCCCTGATGATTCTCTGGATTTCCTCAGAGTCTATTGTTATGTCCCCTTTTTCATCCCTGATTTTGTTAATTAGCATGCTCTCCCTCTGTCTTTTGGTTAGTTTGGACAGAGGTTTATCTATTTTGTTGATTTTCTCAAAGAACCAACTCTTTGTTTCATTGATTCTTCTCAATGTTTTTCTGGTTTCTACTTGATTGATTTCAGCCCTCAATTTGATTATTTCCTGGCGTCTGCTCCTCCTGGGTGAGTTTGCTTCTTTTTGTTCTAGAACATTCAGCTGTGCTATTAATTCTCTAGTATGACTGTTCTCTAGTTTCTTGATGTGGGCACTTAGTGCTATGAACTTTCCTCTCAGCACTGCTTTCAAAGTGTCCCATAAGTTTGCGTATGTTGTGTTTTCATTCTCATTGAATTCGAGGAAGTCTTTAATTTCTTTTTTTATTTCTTCCTTTACTCAGGGATGGTGCAATTGTGCATTGTTCTATTTCTGTGAGTTTGTAGGGTTTCTGCAATTTGTGTTATTGTTGAATTCTAATTTTAATGCATGGTGGTCTGATAAGATGCAGGGGGTTATTCCAATTTTTTTGTATCTGTGGAGATTTGCTATGTTTCCTATTATGTGGTCAATTTTAGAGAAGGTTCCATGTGGCGCTGAGAAGAAGGTATATCCTTTTGTGTTTGGGTGGAATGTTCTATAGATGTCTGTTAAACCCAGTTGGGTCATAACTTCTATTAGTTCTTTTGTTTCTTTGTTACATTTCTGTCTGGAGGTCCTGTCTAGCGGTGAGAGCGGAGTGTTGAAGTCTCCTACTATTAGTGTGTGAGATTTTATGTGCAATTTGAGCTTTAGTAATGTTTCTTTCACGAATGTAGGTGCCTTTGTATTTGGAGCGTAGATGTTTAAAATTGAGACTTCATCTTGATGGACTTTTCCTTTGATGAATATGAAATGTCTTTCTTCATCTCTCTTGATTGATTTTAATTTGAAGTCTAGTTTGTTAGATATTAGGATTGCTACACCTGCTTGTTTCTTGGATCTGTTTGATTGGAAAATCATTTCTCAACCCTTTACTCTGAGGTAACGTCTGTTTTTGATGTTGAGATGTGTTTCTTGTATGCAGCAGAAGGATGGGTTCTGTCTTCGTATCCATTCTGCTAGTCTGTGTCTTTTTATAGGCAAGTTGAGGCCGTTGACATTGAGGGATATTAATTACCAATGATTGATGATTCTTGTTTGTGCTTGATTTATTGGTAGTGAAGTTATTTTGTGTAGTTTATCCTCCCTTTTTCTTTTGGTGTTTTGTAAAGTGGGATTATATATTGCTTGTATCTGTGTGAGTGTAGTTATCTTCCTTGGATCTAGGTTTTCCTTCTAGCACTTTCTGTAGAGCTGGATTCATGGATACGTATTGTTTAAGTCTGGTTTTGTCATGGACTATTTTGTTTTCTCCATCTATGGTAATTGAAAGCTTTGCTGGATATAGTAGTCTGGGCTGGCATCCTTGTTCCGTTAGCGTTTGTAGGACATCTGTCCAGGATCTTCTGGCTTTCATTGTTTCCATTGAGAAATCAGGTGTAATTTGGATAGGTCTGCCTTTATATGTTACTTGGCCTTTTTCTTTAGCTGCTCTTAATATTTTCTCTTTATTCTGTAGGTTTGATGTTTTGATTATTATATGGCGAGGTGACTTCTTTTTCTGGTCCAGCCTATTTGGTGTTCTATAAGATTCTTGTATTTTCATAGGCATATCCTTCTGTAGGTTAGGGAAGTTTTCTTCTATGATTTTGTTGAATATGTTTTCTGTACCTTTGAGCTGTATTTCTTCGCCTTCTTCTATACCTATTATTCTCAGGTTTGGCTTCTTCACGGTGTCCCATATTTCCTGGATATTTGTGTTAGGGGTTTGTTGATTTGTTGGTTTTGAGATTTTCTTTGGTTGATGACTGTATATCCTCTAATGAGTCTTCAACACCTGAGATTCTCTCTTCTATCTCTTGTATTCTATTGGTGATACTTGCATCTGTAGTTCCTGATCGTTTACCCAGCTTTTCTATTTCCAGCATCCTCTTGTTTTATGTTTTCTTTATTGTTTCTATTTCAGCTTTCAATCCTTCAACTGTTTGAGTTGTTTCCTTCATTTGTTTGGTTGTTTTTTCTTGGTACTCTTTAGATTCTTTGAGAGATTTGTTTATTTCTTGAATTTTTTCCCCCATTTCATGGATTTTTTTTGTTTGTGTTTTCTTCTATTTCTTTAAGGGATTTCCTCGTTTCTTCTTTGAGGGTCTCTATCATCTTCATAAAATGATTTTTAAGGTCTGTCTCCTCTGCTTCATCTATGTAGTGCTTTTCAGGTCTTGCTGGCATTGGTTCCCTAGATTCTGGTAGAGTCATGTTGGTCTTTTTATTGCTGAGTGAGCTCTTATTCTGTCTTCTTCCCATCTCTTCTTCCAGTGGGTGCTGGTAGGGTCTTTCCATCTCCACTGGTCTCCTTCCTTCCTGAAGCTGAAGCTGGGGACGCTGACACTGAAGCTTAAGCTGAAGCTGGGGTCGCCGGAGGTTGGGGCCTGGAAGGTCTGATGTCTTTCCTATGTGTGCAAGTCTTCTGGATGCCAGGAGCGGCCCCCGGAAGCTCGAGGGGATGGGTGTTGGGCAGGGGATGGGGAGTGTCCCCCCCCCCCGAGACCCAAGCTCACCTGAAGCTGGGATCGCCAGAGTTTGGGGCCTGGAAGGGCTGATGTCTTTCCTGTGTCCCATACTTCTTTTAACACAGATACTCAAAGTTATTGCATAGAGTTATTTCTTATTGAAAAACGAATTTCCAGTACTTTTTACAAGCAGACTTTGTATATGTTTCCTTTGAAATACTAATATACAAACTGTATGATTGTTTTCCTGTAGTATTTAAAACTTTTCACATTTTAATTTTATTCAAACAGTAGTTTCTGGTGTCCTTCCCTACTTTTCTCCAGTGATAGCCTGCATAGCCATTGTAATTTTATTGTTCTTCTAGCAATGGCACCTAAATGTGTGAACTTCACTTAACTCTGGTCACAGGTGAGCTTAAAGTTATGATTTTACTTTTTGTTTTTATTTCCAGATCAGCCAGCATTACTAATCTGTCACTGGATCGATCTGGTTCTCCTATGGTTCCTTCATATGAGACATCTGTCAGTCCCCAGGCTAACCGAACCTATGTTAGGACAGAGACTACTGAGGATGAACGCAAAATTCTTCTGGTACCAGTCCAGCATCTAACCTGTTGCTAGTTTTGGGCATAAAAATGATGACTTTTTGTTCCCTTAAAGAAACACATACAAGAAAGTCATCTGGGCTTGGAATACATACCTGTACTCCTGTGTTGGGAAGGCTGTGGCAGGAGGATCTTGAGTTTGAGACCAACTTGAGCTAAGTGGGATGTTGTCCTAACTTTTTATTTACTAGCATTACCAGAGAAATTGGGTGAATACTCTTTCTATACTCATTGTATTACTATTTTCTTTCCCCTTTCATTTGGCAAAATCAGAATTCATTTATCTAATATAAGAATTGAACTCGAAGCTGGGCGTTAGTGGTGCACGCCTTTAATCCCAGCACTCCGGAGGCAGAGGCAGGCAGATCTCTGTGAGTTTGAGGCCACCCTGGTCTACAGAGCAAGTTCCAGGAAAGCCTCCAAAACAATACAGAGAAACCCTGTCTCAAAACCAAAAAAAACAAAAAAGAAAAAATATTGAACTTGAAGTAAGTTTAAACATTGAGACATCATTCTTACATACATGGAAAACTCTCAGAAGCTTAATTCCAACTATGTTTATATGACATAACAACTGGTTCTTTCTTTAGTTTACATTTGCCTAATCCTAAGAACAAGCTAAAGCATCAGCTTGCTTATTTCCTTCTGTAGTAAGACCAGAGAGGTTAGAATGCTTGAGTATGAAAAATAGACAATGGATGCATATGGGTATTAAACAGTAGTTGTATAGTTCCTGTAGTAGTGGAAGCATAACAGAATGTGAACACAGTTAAAACAGTGTCTATTGCTGGAAATAATCCTACAGCAAAGTTATAATATGAAATGATGTTTAAGGTTTATGAACTAACCATAATAGGTGAATCAAAGCTGTCAGTTCTACCTGTAGGGCTGAAGAAAAAGAATTAATAGATTAATGAATATCTGTACCATGAATCCCTCCTATACCTTTTGATGACCCATCAATAAAATATCTATCTGCCTGTGGAATGGGAGAGTGTTGAATATGTTTTATAATCACATTCAGTTTGTTGAGAAAGTTCTATTGCTTACCAGCTGTGTCATGATTTCCTATCCTCCATAGTAATCTGTAAGTGAAGTTTGAAAAATCCGTAGAGTTCTGTAATGCTCTTAAAAACTGATTGTTAGCTAAGGGTAATATAATACAGCAAGGATCAAATCAATATAATTTATTAATTGAGAGCAAGAAGAGTAAGGTAAGCAGTATTTTCTGGCTCTTACAATATAAATAAATCCATTCCAAAGGTTTATCCTCTTGTTATAATATCTGTAGGAGACAATTAAGTGGGGAAATTAAGTAAGTTTAAAGGAGGAAGGGTCTATACAGTAACACAAATGCTTCTTCTTTCTCCTCCTTTTTTTTTTTTTTTTTTTTTTTTTTTTTGATTTTTCAAGACAGGGTGGTTTCTCTGTGACTTCGGAGGCTGTCCTGGAGCTAGCTCTTATAGACCAGGCTGGTCTTGAACTCACAGAGATCTGCCTGCCTCTGCTTTCCGAGTGCTGGGATTAAAGCTTCTTTAGTCTAGATTCAGATAGCTGCAGTTCTTTTCTTGCTTCTTAACATCATATATAAGGACTGTCCAGTGCCCTCTTTCCTTTTTGAGAGCTCCTCCCTGGTTTCTGCCTCATTATTCTCACTCACCTCCTCCTGTGAGGGTCTCTGCTCTCTTGTCTCATAGCCAACTTCAGGTCCCTGTTCCCGGCATCACTTCTTTACCTCTTCAGTTGGTGGTGGGACTTGGTAGAATGGAGCCAATAAACAATGCAGACTAAAGTCTCATGTAATAGCCAACTTTGTTCCCAGCATCAAACAATTTATGCTCTGAGGGTTAAGAGGAGTTACATGAGTAAAATGTACAATCACAAGACCAAGCCTTGTGGCAAAAACATGTTTTTCCATAGTGTCATCTAAATAAATAACAATAGCCAGTGTTAATGAACAATCTGAAATAAACTCACTGCTATGTGCTACATCTGGGTGGAACACAAGAACACATCCTAAGAACAATTCTGTGTTTTAAAGAAACTGAGGTCACCGGGCGGTGGTGGCGCACGCCTTTAATCCCAGCACTCGGGAGGCAGAGTCAGGTGGATCTCTGTGAGTTCGAGGCTGGGCTGGACCGACAGCCTCCAAAACAATACAGAGAAACCGTGTCTCGTAAAAACCAAAAAAAAAAAAAAAGAAACTGAGGTCATAAGACTCTTTTTTTTTTTGAGTTTAGATTTGAACTTGTAGCTGGTTAGCTTCATTGAAAGTTTTCTTGAATAGGAAGTTATTTAGCAAAGATTTTCCTTTAGAAACATTTACTGGGCAGTTGAGAATAATGCCTAGAATCTCTGGAGTGGAGGCAATTATAATTAGTTTAGTGTAATTGAGTATCACCTTTGTCTATTTTGACTTGGCTCCAAAGACTATATTTTACACTTAACTAAATGACAAGTAATATGTGCCATTGACTGAAAAAGAAGGAGCACTTGGGAAACTTTTGTTTTGAAGAGAAAAAACTATGCTTGGAATTCACTAGTCAAATTCAAGCTGTTTCCATGTATGTGCCATTATGTTGAATAACTTATCACACTTAGCTACTGTGAAGAAATCTAAACTGGGATTCCTCTTGAGATCTCAGAACTATATTGAAACATCTAAACAGGTGATATCCAGCATCCCTTTTAGGGGCAACTAATTGTCTTTGATGTGATTGCAGGACAGTGTTCAGTTAAAGGATCTGTGGAAAAAAATTTGCCATCACAGCAGCGGGATGGAATTTCAGGATCACCGTTACTGGTTGAGAACACATCCCAACTGCATTGTAGGAAAGGAATTAGTCAACTGGCTAATCAGAAATGGACACATTGCTACGAGGTATTATAATTTTAAGATGTTTTGAAGTTATTCATTAATTTATTTTTATTCATGATTAGGGTGTATATTTGAAGATATAATGGTGTATATTTGAAGACGTTAGGGTGCTATTTTAAGCATTTGATGGTTTCAGGAACAAGTTTTTCAGCTTCCTGCATCTGATGAGAATGTTTGCAGGGAACCTGATTGGGGTCACATTTACCATATTAAAAACAGGGACTGGTGGCTGGTGAGATGAATCAGTGGGTAAATACATTTGTTCTCAGCTTGAAGATCTGCTTGGACTTCCTGAACCTACATGCTATAAGAGGAGGACTAACATGGTGAAAAGCTCCATGGAAAAACTGGGTGCAGCAGTGCATTCCTATAATTCAGCACTGGGGAGGCAGAGGCCAGAGGGTTCAGCTGGTGAGCTAAGTGCAATTGATGAACTTCAAGTTCAGTGAGACACCCTCCAAAGATGGGTGGAGATCAATTGAGGAAGATATTCCATGTTGATCTCTGTCTTCCCACTACTCCCTTGACCATGTGAGCATCCAGGTGCACAAAAAAACACAGATCTAAAAACCCTGAAGCATACAGTAATTCTTCAAATGGATCTCTAGGGAAGCTGGATAAGAGAATGTAGCTAGAGTCTAAGGTCAGAGTATTTTCTTGCCACTATTCTGTAATCTAGACATTGCAACCTGGATTGAGAATTGAATCCATAGTTCATGTCTGGAGGGACCTAGTCTGTCTCATAGATCACATATAAAACAAATGGCAGACAGGATCTATTGCTGTTTGTGTTAGCTTCCTTTCTGTTGCTGTGATACAATACTATGTCCAAGGAAATTTACAGAAGAAAGAATTTATTTTTGCTTAAGGTTACAGAGGGTTAGGGTTAGAGTACATAATGATGGGTATGTTAAGGTTTCTATTGCTGTGATAAAACACCATACATGCATGTAACAACAACAAAAGAGGCCATGAATGGGAAGGCTTGGAGGAGGGAAGGGGAGGGAGATATGATGTCATTATAATCTCAAGCAAATGAAGAAATAATTAAAAACAAAACACAACTCCATGACCAAAAACAACTTGGAGGGGAAAGGGTTTGTTTCAGCTTACACTCTCAGGTCATACTCTATCACTGAGGGAATGTTAGTCAAGGAACTTAAGTCACGTTATGGAGGCAGGAACTGAAGCAGAAGCCTTGAGTAATGCTGCTCACTGACTTGCTCCTATAGGCTTGCTCGGCCTCTTTATTACACACCCACCACCACCTGCCGTGGGGTGGGACCACCTACAGTATGCTGGGTCTTCCCAAATCAGTCGTTAATCAAGAAAATGCTCCAAAGGTTTGACCACAGGCCGCTCTAGTAGGGACATTTTCCCAGTTAAGGGTTTGTCTTTTCAAATGATTATAGCTTGTTTCAGTTGTCAGAAACAAAAACAAAACAAACAAAACACCAAATGGGACAGCAATAGTAGCATTCCAGCAGGCAGCAGGCATGGTGATAGGAACAGGATGCTCAGAGCTCACATCTTGAACCACGCTAGAAGGGCAAGAGGTTTTCACTGTGAAAATTGGCCTCCAGCAAATAATTCCTCCAGCAAAGCTTCATCTCTTAAATCTCCCCAAATACCACCACCAACTGGGAACCAAGTGTAATATGGGAGCTGTCTCAGTCACTGTTGTATTGCTGTGAAGAGACCAGAGCAACTCTTATAAAAGGAAACATTTAATTGAGGCTGGCTTACAGTTGCAGGTTTAGTCCATTAACTTCATGGTGGCATGCAGGGAGATAAGGATGCTGGAGAAGAAGGTAAGAGTTCTTGATCAGCAGGCAGCTGGAGGAGACTGTGTACCGCATGGGGCATAGCTTGAGCATATGAGACCTCTAAGCCAGCCTCCACAGTGACACATTTCCTCTAACAAGGCCACACTCTGAATAGTGCCAATCCCTATGGGCCTTTCAAGCATTCAAGCACATGAGTCTATGGAGGCCATTCCTTTTCAAACCACCACAAGGAACATTCTCATTCAAACCCTGTACCTTTCAAGTTAAGCTATCTCCTAGTGTATGATACTCTTTTCATGAGAAGGAACAAGAAAGAAGGAGCTGTAAACAGGGAACCTCTGGGTCCTAATATGACTGTAACTCTTTTTACTTTTGTGTCTTTAGTCAAAATTTTCAGTCTTTGAGACTTGGACCCCTTAGTGCCAATGTAGGGGAATGATTTAGTATTGCAAATAAGCTATGGGTATTGAGCAAAATAATGTTGACTGAGTGCTTTATAAATATGTGAAAATTTGTATACTATAATGTGTTATATCCATTTCATTCATATATTTCATATCTATAATATTTGTGTTGTCTTTTCATCGAGACTGTAAGCTGTTTTAGTATAGGGCCATGCCATTCTCAGTCTTTTTTTTTTTTAATTTTATTTTCCAGTTTAAATTTAGATAAGAATCAAGGTTGCTTCACAAGTCAGTTCCAGGTCCCTCTCCCATTCCCTCCCTTCCTCCCGTACCCTCCCCCCCCCGTTATCCTCTCATTTCTCCAGGGAGGGTGAGGCCCTCCATGGGGGTGCCCATAGTGTGTCATTTCATATAGGGCAGGGCCTAGACCCTTTCCCAAGAGTTCTGGGTGAGAGTGCACCTCACATTGTTCTATGGGAGTCCAAAGTCCGTGTGTATACTTGGGATGGGTACTGATCTGCTGCCCAAGGCTCAATAGATTCCCTAGGCCTCTTCACTGACACCCAGATTCAGGGGGTCTTGATCAGTCCCATGCTGGATTCCCAGGCTGATGCCTGGGATTCAAGAGTTAACCTTTGTCAGGTCAGCTGTTTCTGGGGGTTAAACCAGCCCAGTCTTAATCCCTTTGGTCATCAGTCCTCCCTCTCTGTTACTGGCTTTCTTGAGTTCAGCTCAGTACTTAACCAAGGGAGTCTGCCTCTTCTTCGATCAGCCACTAAATAAAGTTTCTGTTTCCCAGACTCTCTGGCCATAGGATTGTAGGCTGGCACTCCCCAGATCTATGTCTAAAATCCATATATGAGAGAGTACATGCCATGTTTCTCTTTTTGTGACTGGGTTACCTCACTCAGGATGGTTTCTTCTAGTGTCATCCATTTGCCTGCGAATCTCATGATTCCATTATTTTTTTCTGCTGAATAGTACTCCATTGTGTAGATGTACCACATTTTCTCTATCCACTCTTCAGGTGAGGGACATCTAGGTTGCTTCCACGTTCTGGCAATTACAAATAAAGCTGCTATGAACATAGTGGAACAGACATCTTTGTTGTATGAATGGGCATCTTTTGGATATATGCCTAAGAGTGGAGTTGCTGGGTCTTGTGGTAGGTTTATTCCCATTTTTCTGAGGAATCTCCACACTGATTTCCAAAGTGGCTGAACCAGTTGGCACTCCCACCAGCAATGGAGGAGTGTCCCCCTTTCACCACATCCTCTCCAGCATAAATTGTCATTGGTGTTTTTGATTTTAGCCATTCTGACAGGGGTGAGATGGTATCTGAGAGTTGTTTTGATTTGCATTTCCCGGATGGCTAAGGATGTTGAGCACTTTCTCAAGTGCCTCTCAGCCATTTTAGACTCCTCTATTGAAAACTCTCTATTTAGTTCTGCAGCCCACTTTTTAATAGGGTCCTTTGGTGTTTTGGAGACTTGCTTCTTGAGTTCTTTGTAAATTTTGGAGATCAACCCTCTGTCAGATGTGGGATTAGTGAATATTTTTTCCCATTCTGTGGGCTGCCTTTTTGTCTTGCTGACTGTGTCCTTTGCCTTACAGAAGCTTCTCAGTTTCAGTAGGTCCCATTTATTAATTGTTGATCTTACTGCCTGTGCTACTGGTGTTATGTTCAGGAAGCTGTCTCCTGTACCAATTGTTCAAGGGTACCACCCACTTTCTCTTCTAAGAGGTTCAGTGTGGCTGGATTTATGTTGAGGTCTTTGATCCATTTGGACTTAAGTTTTGTGCATGGCGATAGACATGGATCGATCTGCATTCTTCTACATGCCAGTCTCCAATTATGTCAGCACCATTTGTTGAAGATGCTTTCTTTATTCCATTGTATATTTTTAGCTTCTTTGTCAAAGATCAGATGTTCGTACGTGTGTGGGTTAATACCCGGGTTTTCAATTCGATTCCATTGGTCTACCTGTCTATTTTTGTGCCAATACCAAGCTGTTTTCAGGACTATAGCTCTATAATAGAGCTTGAGGTCAGGGATGGTGATGCCTCCGGACGTTGCCTTGTGGAACAGGGTTGTTTTGGCTATCCTGGGTCTTTTGTTTTTCCATACAAAATTGATTATTGTTCTTTCAAGGTCTGTGAAGAACTGTGCTGGGATTTTAATGGGGATTGCATTGAATCTGTAGATTGCTTTTGGCAGGATTGCCATTTTTACTACATTGATCCTACCTATCCAAGAGCATGGAAGATCTTTCCATTTTCTGAGGGCTTCTTTAATTTCTTTCTTTAAAGATTCAAAGTTCTTACGATACAGGTCTTTCACTTGTTTGGTTAGCGTTACCCCAAGGTATTTTATGTTGTTTGTGGCAATTGTAAAGGGTGATGTTTCTCTGATTTCTCTTTCAGCCCTTTTATCATCTGTATATAGTAGGGCTACTGATTTTCTTGAGTTAATCTTGTAGCCTGCCACTTTGCTGAAGGTGTTAATCAGCTGTAAGAGTTCCCTGGTAGAGTTCTTTGGGTCATTGATGTAAACTATCATATCGTCTGCAAACAGTGAAAGTTTGACCTCTTCCTTCCCAATTTGTATCCCCTTGATCCCCCTTTGTTGTCGTATGGCAATAGCTAGAACTTCAAGTACCATGTTGAAAAGGTATGGAGAGAGTGGACAGCCTTGTTTTGTTCCTGATTTTAGAGGAATTGCGTTGAGTTTCTGTCCATTTAGTTTGATGTTGGCTGTTGGTTTACTGTATATAGCTTTTATTATGTTTAAGTATGTCCCTGTTATCCCAGATCTCTCCAAGACCTTTATCATGAAGGGGTGTTGGATTTTGTCAAAGGCTTTTTCAGCATCTAGTGAGATGATCATGTGATTTTTGTTTTTCAGCTTGTTTATATGGTGGATTACGTTGATGGATTTTCGTATGTTGAACCATCCCTGCATTCCTGGGATGAAACCTACTTGATCGTGGTGAATGATTGTTTTGATGTGTTCTTGGATCCGATTTGCCAGTATTTTATTGAGTATTTTTGCATCAATGTTCATGAGGGATATTGGTCTGAAGTTCTCTTTCTTAGTTGTATCTTTGTGTGGCTTGGGGATCAAGGTTATTGAAGCCTCATAGAAAGAGTTTGGCAAAGACCCTTCTGCTTCTATTGTGTGGAACACTTTGAGAAGAATTGGTATAAGCTGTTCTTTGAATTTCTGGTAGAATTCTGCACTGAGGCCATCTGGACCTGGGCTTTTTTTGGTTGGGAGACTTTTGATGACAGCTTCTATTTCCATAGGGGTTATAGGTCTATTTAAATTGCTTATCTGTTCTTGATTTAGTTTTGGCAATTGATAGCTGTCCAGGAAGTCATCCATTTCCTTTAAATTTTCGAATTTTGTGGAGTACAGGTTTTCAAAGTATGACCTAATGATTCTCTGGATTTCCTCAGAGTCTGTTGTTATGTCCCCCTTTTCATTTCTAATTTTGTTAATTTGCGTGTTCACTCTCTGCTGTTTGGTAAGTTTGGACAAAGGTTTGTCTATCTTGTTGATTTTCTCAAAGAACCAACTCTTCGTTGCGTTGATTCTTTGTATTGTTTTCCTGGTTTCTACTTTATTGATTTCAGCCCTCAATTTGATTATTTCCTGGCGTCTACTCCTCCTGGGGAGTGTGCTTCTTTGTGTTCTAGAGCTTTCAGCTGTGATGTTAATTCTCTGGTATAACTGTTCTCCTGTTTCTTCATGTGAGCATTTAGCGCTATGAACTTCCCCGTAGCACTGCTTTCAAAGTGTCCCATAGGTTTGGGTATGTTGTGTCTTCATTCTCATTGAATTCGAGGAAGTCTTTAATTTCTTTTTTTATTTCCTCTTTGACCCAGGGATGGTGCAGTTGAGCATTATTCAATTTCCATGAGTTTGTAGGTTTTCTGCAATTTGTGTTGTTGTTGAATTCTAATTTTAAAGCATGGTGGTCTGATAAGATGCATGGAGTTATTCCAATTTTTTTGTAGCTGCTGAGGTTTGATATGTTGCCAAGTATGTGGTCGATTTTTGAGAAGGTTCCATGTGGTGGTGAGAAGAAGGTATATTCTTTTTTATGTGGATGAAATGTTCTATAGATATCTGTTAATCCCAGTTGGGTCATTACTTCTATTAGCCCTTTTGCTTCTTTGTTGAGTTTCTGTTTGGTATTCCTGTCTAGTGGTGAGAGTGGTGTGTTGAAATCTCCCACTATAACTGTGTGGGGCTTTAGATGAGATTTAAGTTCTAATAATGTTTTTTTAACGAATGTGGATGCCTTTGTATTTGGGGCATAGATGTTCAGAATAGACACTTCCTCTTGGTGGGTTTCACCTGTGATGAGTATGTAATGACCTCCTTCATCTCTTTTGATTGATTTTATTTTAAAGTCTAGTTTGTTAGATATTAGGATTGCTACCCCGGCTTGTTTCTTGGGTCCATTCGATTGAAAAGTTTTTTCCCAACCTTTAATTCTCAGGTAATGTCTGTCTTTAAGGGTGAGGTGTGTTTCCTGTATGCAGCAGAAGGAAGGGTTCTGTCTTCGAATCCAATCTGCTAGTCTGTGTCTTTTTATGGGTGAGTTAAGGCCATTAATATTGAGGGATATTAATGACCAATGATTGCTCATCCTTCTTCGATTTGCGATGGTTGTTGTTGGTGGAATTATGTGTGGAATTTCACCCCTTTGTTCTTTTGGCTGTTGGTAGAGAGAGATTCTCTAATGCTTATGTTTTTCTGGTTGTAGTTAGCTTCCTTGGGTTGGAGTTTTCCTTCCAAAATTTTCTGTAGGGCTGGGTTAGTGGACACATATTGCTTGAATCTAGTTTTGTCATGGAATATCTTGTTTTCTCCGTCTATAGTGATTGAGAGCTTTGCCGGGTATAGTAGTCTGGGCTGGCATCCGTGGTCTCTTAGTGTAGGTAGAATATCTATCCAGGACCTTCTGGCTTTCAGCGTTTCCATGGAGAAATCAGGTGTAATTCTGATAGGTCTGCCTTTATATGTTACTTGACCTTTTTCCTTAGCTGCTCTTAATATTCTTTCTTTATTCTGTATGTTTGGGGTCTTGATTATTATGTGGCGAGGGGATTTTTTTTTGTGGTCCACTCTATTTGGTGTTCTGTAGGCTTCTTGTACCTTCATTGGCATGTCTTTCTTAAGGTTGGGAAAGTTTTCTTCTATGATTTTGTTGAATATGCCTTCTGCCCCTTTGAGGTGGATTTCTTCTCCTTCTTCTATACCTATTATTCTTAGGTTTGGTCTTTTCATGGTGTCCCATATTTCCTGGATGTTTTGTGTTAAGGATTTGTTGGATTTAAGGTTTTCTTTGGTTGATAAATCCATTTCTCCTAGCGTATCTTCAACACTTGAGATTCTCTCTTCCATCTCTTCTATTCTGTTGGTAATGCTTGTATTGGTAGTGCCTGTCTGTTTGTCCAGCTTTTCTATTTTCTGCCTTTCTTCAGATTGTGTTTTTTTTAATGACTCTATTTCAGTTTTCAACCCTTGCAGTGTTTGCATTGCTTCTTGCAATTTTTTGTTTATCTGTTCGTCCGTTTGTAGCCTTTAATGAATGTTTTGGTTTGTTCTTTCTTCCATTTCTTGCATTTTTTGGTTTGTTTTTTGTTCCATTTTTTTCATTTTTTGCTTTGTTTTTTCTACCATTTCTTGCATTTTTTGCTTTGTTTCTTCTTCCATTTCCTGTCTTTTTTGGTATGATTCTTCTTCCAATTCTTGCATTTTTTGCTTTGTTTTTTCTTCCATTTCTTGCATTTTTTGCTTCATTTCTTCTTCCATTTTCTGCCTTTTTTGGTTTGTTTTTTCTTCCAATTCTTGCATTTTTTGGTTTGTTTTTTCTTCCATTTCTTTGAGGGATTTTCCAATATCCTCTTTTAGGGCCTCTATCATTCTCATGAAAGTGCTTTTAAGGTCGTTCTCTTCTGCTTCGTCCGCATTGGAATGTTGGGGTCTTGCTGGTGTGGAGTCTCTAGAATCTGGCGGTGTCATATTTGTTTTTCTGTTGCTGACTGTGTTTTTGTATTGTCTCTTTCCCATCTCTTCTTCTAGTGGGTACAGAAAGAGCCCCTTACTGGTCTGGGGACCAGAGTTCCCTTTTGGTGGGTGGTAGCAAGTCCAATAATCTGGTGGTTCTTCTATTCCTTGTCCGAATGCTGGTCCCGTGGGAGGAGAAGAAGAACAGGAATCTGGGGCGCTTATCCTCTTACCTGGTCCCCTGGACCCTATGCTGGGTCCTGTTGTACTTGATCCAGAACAGCTACTCCCCTGGTCTCCCTGGGTCCTCTGGTTTCCTGGTCTCGTTGGTGGGAGAGAAGACCTGGGGTCTGGGTGCTTGGCTCCCGCCGGGATTGGGAGCTCTGTGCAGGTCCCAGGGGATCTGCAGGCACTGGAGCACAGGCCGGGAAGCCGGCCTGTTTACCTGATGCTGCTGAAAGAACCGCCGCTTCCCTGGACTCCCAGCCTCCTCTCCTTTCCTGGTCTTGTTGGTGTGAGCGAAGATCGGGAGTCTGGGGTGCTTGGCTCCTGCCGGGATTGGGAGCTCTGTGCAGGTCCCAGGGGATCTGCAGGCACTGGGGCACAGGCCGGGAAGCCGGCTTGTTTACCTGATGCTGCTGGAAGAACCGCCGCTTCCCTGGACTCCCAGCCTCCTCTCTCTCAGTCTTTTTTATTTTGTTAAGGATGGGTATGTATGCGTTGTATACTCAGTGCATGCTTAAGCTTGTTTTTAGGGCTACCTTACTAGTAGGTTCTCCTTTGTTGCGGTACCTAGAAGAGTTTAATTTGTTTCAGGTTGTTATTTGAAAAGAAATGAAAATGGAAAAAAAAGTGTTTTATCATGTGCCCAACGTGTATACTCTGTATGACCTTTTAAAATTTCATTTTTCTTGGTCTTAATTTAGGGCACAAGCTATAGCAATTGGACAAGCAATGGTTGATGGACGTTGGTTGGATTGTGTCAGTCATCATGACCAGCTCTTCAGGGATGAGTATGCGCTGTATAGACCACTGCAGGTAATTCACTAGTGATACTGCTGATAAGAATGTAATAACTCGTTTTGAAGTTGTGTTTTCATTAGTGGGAATAAAAAGTAGTTGAATCTCCTAAAGACTGTTTCCAATACTTAATAGATTCAGTGCTAGGGAAGTGTTCTACTACTGAGTTCTCTCCTTGTAGGATCAAGCACTGCTTTTGTACCATGGCTTTGCTCAAACTTGGCTTCTGGTACTTAGTTACTTGTCATTTCATTTTAATGCTTTTCTGTTTTATTCTCTGTATTTTAGAACTAAGAGGGAATGAAGTATATATAATAAAAATGATTTGAAAATTTGATACTATCTATTGAGATAGATTTTGACTCTTTGTATACAAATTGTTCACTAATGACCAAATGCTACAATCTATTTTATTTTATTTTATTTTTGTTTGTCGAGACAGGGTTTCCTGTATTGCTTTGGAGCCTGTCCTAGCACTCATTCTGTAGACCAGTCTGGCCTCGAATTCAAAGAGATCCACCTGCCTCTGCCTCCCAAGTGCTGGGATTAAAGGTATGCATCACTAATGCCTGGCTTACAATTTATTTTATAAGAATTATTTATAGATATTTTTTGAGACAGGGTTTCTCTGTGTAGCCCTGGCTTTCCTGTAACTCCCCTAGACCTGGCTGTCCTCGAACTCAGAGATCTGCCTGCCTCCACTGCACAGCTATAGATAAGGTTTTAAAAAAGATACAATTCTTTTTGGCTTGTGTAAAAGATTACACACACACACACACACACACACTCATGCACATGTCCATATGATAAAACTGTAAGAAGCTTGCAGACTGAGATTTGTAAACTGATACTAGAAGCTCCATAGTTAGAAATGACCAATGGCCCCATAAAGTGGTGTGGTATAGTTTGTTAAAATTGGATTATTTTTCTAGGGGGTTCTAGAATTGCCAGTGTTAGACTACATTTTATGGTATCTTCACTCAGAACTAAGGAATGAAGTGAAACACTGCCAAATACATATAAAAGAAATGTTCATTTGTAAAATTCTACATATGCTTTACCGTTAGTGAAACTTATAATTTAAGAGTGGTTATCAGTATGATATTGTTTTGCACCTCTTTTTTGTTATGTAGTTATGTGAACTTAATTGAGTTGTTAAAGAAATATAGGCCACAACTTCCTTATTATATACTGGTGTTGTCACTGAAGGTCAGTTGCTTGGTTTGCTTTATTCCTTTCAGAGTACCGAATTTTCTGAAACACCTTCTCCAGATAGTGACTCAGTGAATTCTGTGGAAGGACACTCTGAACCATCCTGGTTTAAAGACATAAAATTTGATGATAGTGACACAGAACAGATTGCTGAAGAAGGTGACGATAATTTGGCTAGTAAGTTTGACTTTCTAATGTTTTAGTTTTTATGGCTTACTGCTGTGCTGGTATGATGAAATGATTGTCTTGTTTATGATTTATGGTTCCCACTTCATGTCAAGATCTGATGGTAGTGATCCTTGCTTAGATACAGTATTTTCTTACACTAGCTTGTTAGTCAGCTGACATTTCTGGATGTTGCCATGGTCTCTAGTTTGCAGCAGCTTAAAAATAACTCTTGGGCTAATATCGCAGCAGGCAACTTTCTTATCTCTTCACTGTGGTATCAAACTCTCTCTGTGCAGAACCTCCAATATATTTCCTCTTTTAAACATTCATTTTCAATTTAACATGCTTTAATTTTATTAAGTCTACCCAGAAGTACATGAAAATACTGTATCCATTTTGGTATTGCACATTGGGCTTGTGTATTAAAGTTTTTTTCCTTTCCTCCAATGCCCTGATAAAACCCATTTTTACTCCCCTCTCCCTATATTTCTTTCCCCTTGCCAACACTAAAAGATTCTGCCAGTCCTAGCAAGCGCACGTCAGTCAGCAGTTTCCAGTCCACAGTGGACAGTGACTCAGCCGCTTCTATCAGCTTGAACGTGGAGCTGGACAACGTGAACTTCCATATCAAGAAGCCCTCCAAGTACCCACATGTGCCCCCTCACCCTGCTGACCAGAAAGGTAGGAGGCAGTCATCACCCGGATTCCAAGCAGGCCAAAGAACTGGGCCTTCGGGTCTCATTACAGCCTGTCCTCTGCCTTCCTTTGTCCCATAAGGCTGATTCCCATAAGTGGGTTTTATTCCACCATTTCTGATTCCCCCCTGTACTCCTCCCCACACCTTTTTTGGTTGATTCTTTTTATTTCTTATTTTCTCCCTTTGCACTACCATGCCCACTTTGAATCATATAGTCTTTAAAAGGAACTATATCTGACTGCTCTTCCCATAATGTGCAACTTCCAAGGTGGCAATTCTTTGCATTTATAACATGGATGTTCTGCTCTTTTCTTTTGTCTTTTCTTCATTTAACATTACAAAGCCTCTTTGCCTGTGCTATTCTGCAGCAACTGTTTCTTAAGGCTGTTCAGATGCTTGAGCTTAGATGGGGAAACCTTTCATTTATGTCTGTTACATTTATTTTAAAATTTCTTCGCTAGTAAAAAATGAGTTCTTTTGTAATTTTAGCTGTCTTTTTTGATGCTTTGGTTTGCAAACTCAAAAATACTAATGGCCACATTAAAAATAAAAATCCCCCCAAACAAAAACAAGATGTAAAGGGAAAGGTAGAGAACAGTTTCTACTATGTAACACAGCAGCATGGATGGATTGCTCCTCTTTAAAAATGAAGGATGAGTTGTATGTTACTAGATGCAATTAAAAGCTAATTTCAAGAGTAAGCTTAATTTACCATTTTTTCAAAGAAAATAAAATAAGAAATTATGGGAGTCCATTACAATAACCCAAACATCTTTATTATAAATAAGGCACTTAATTCCATGTTTTTATCCAGTGTTTGAGTTTTAGACATTTAACTCTCTAAAACTGAATTGCTTCTGAAGTGCTTGCCTAATTCTTTGCTACTCTTTACTTTGAACTTAAAAATAACACAAAGAATATATAGAATCTAAAGGTTTATAATAATATAATTTGAAACATTTACATTCCCTCAACAAATTTCTCCTAATTGTTGATATAAACTGTTGTCAAGATGTGATAAAATGTCAATTAAGGTAATCATGATAATAAAAAGTGCTTTTTATTAAAAAAATAAGGTACTGAGAGAGACTGAGAAAGATTTGACTGTAAGTGAATATAAAATCCACACGGTGATGGGGATCCTCAGTACAGAAGTTTGAAACATGATGGAGAACATTTGAATGTGTGAAGGGCAGTGTGGCAGATCTGACCCTTAGGAAAATCCACTGTATACTGCAGTTACAAGAGATTAGGCTTTTAATAGAGATGTGCTCAGCATGACTCTGTCATGACATGACGTCTGTCCTCCAAACATGTATGCTAGCAATTGCATTTTGCTGAAAGCAGAGTATAAAGTAGCTGCTGTGCTGGTGATTTTGCTTCTTGGAATGTTAAGGATGTCCTAAAAATTTTGAAAAAAGTAACCTTTCATCATAGAATTCCTACTGGCAAAGGGTGTACCCTTGAGCCAGCACACCTTTACTTTGGGAAACAACTCAGGATGTTTGGTGAAGAACAGAACTGGAGGCTTCAAAAGTGATGTTTTTTTTTTTTTTCTTGCCAATCCCGTTGTAACTCCCTGGAGAATAAAAAGAGTCGAAAAGCCCATGAATCTTCTTGGAAAGTGTCTGGTTTTAAATCTTTTAAAAAATTGTAAAAGTTGTGAGTAGCAACTGTCATGTGATGATAAATCTGAAAGGAGGTTATATATTTGTTAAGAAAAATGACAAGATTGCAAAAATACGTATTGTACCAAAGTTGGAGGTCAAGGATATCTGAGAACAGAGTCCATTTATCGTGGAAAAAAATCAGCCAAGTTATTAGAGAAGTAGATGTATTTATCTGTCAAAATTAATGTTACCAGAAAAGATACATAGATAAGGGAAATGAAGTCTGAGAAAACAAAGAACCTGAGAGTTCGTGGTTAGTCTAAATAACTGGTCAGATCTTGGCAGACTGTTTGCCAGCTTAATAACAGAAGTTATCTGTGGTCATGGAGCTAGAGTCTACTGTCTTTGAAGACTTCTACAGAATAGGACGCTAGCTGACTGTATTGTTAGGTGGCACGACTTTTTTTTTTTAAGTGTTTTTTTGATATGGCTTTGGAAGGTAACAAAATTATAAGAAGTTGACTGAGTAAAGTATACTATGGTATTTCAAAAGGATTTGTGTAGACTGGGTCCCTGCGTTGGTTAGCTAAAGTCACTTTGAAATAAAACTTTTTCTATCTTAATGGTGATAAGAAGTTATTCTTATCTTCTTCTTATTATTTTGATGTTGCTAAAGCATTAACTTTGTTGGCAAAGATGACAATGAAATGTGTAAAAGAGATAGTTGAAGCCAGTGGTCATATATACAGAAGGACAACACCATCAGTCATAGGTATTTCTTAAAGTCATAGACTGCTGTGCTTGTCTGGGAGATGGCTCAGTAAGTAAAGGTGTTTGTCACCAAGCCTGATGACCTGGGTTCTATATGGAATAAAACAAGAACCAGCTCATGGAGGTTGCCTTCTGGCTTCAACGTGTTAAGGCATAGGTATGTGCCACTCCCCTCCTCAAATATATAACTAAATGTAAGAAAATATAGGACAGCTCAGGCTATGGAGTTGGATTACCTTTATAATAATCTGTTTGATGTCAGTAGGCAAAGGATGTTCTAAATCTTTACTTACCCATAGTCAAGATTGTTCAACACTTACTGGTGTAGATTAATAGTATAGACTAATAGGTTTTATTGTTATTTTCACATATTCATAAATTACATTCGTATTAGTTATATGGTACAAAGTGATGCAGTGACATATGTATATAAAGGAATGAGTCAGTAAAACCAGTTAACATTTGCCATTGCAGTAACCGCCCATTTTTTTTTATCACAAGAACCTTCAAAATTTACTTTCTTAGTAATTTTGAAATATCTACTACACTTTATTAAATTGCAATCATTATGCTATAAAGTAGATTTCAGTTCCCCTATGTAACTGAAACTTCCTACCCTAGACCAATACTTCCCTATTCTTCTTGGTCTCTGACGCCTACTATTCTGCCCACTGTGAATTTTATTTTTGTATGGAAACACGCAAAGCATAGTGTGTTTGGTAAGTGTAGGAGTTCAGCAGTGCTGTTATTAATATTGACATATAGTTGTGTAACTTGCTTGAATGATCGTACAAAATATTGAAATGATCATTATCAGTTTGATACCAGCAGGAAGAAGAGCCTCCTAGCTAGATTTTGTTAGAGGGCTTGTCATGCTTATAGTCAGTTTATTCATTTGTTCAACACTTTGTGTAGGGGTTATGGGGCATATGCTTATATGAGGTATGGTGTGTGTGTGTGTGTGTGTGTGTCTGTGTGTGTCTGTGTGTGTCTGTGTCTGTCTGTCTGTCTGTATGTATGTATGGAGGAGCCAAAGGTCAACATTGGATGTCTCCATCCAATTTGCTCTTTACCTGGAACTTACTGATTTGGTTAGATTACCTGGCCAACAGGCCCCAGGGGTCCTGTTTCACTTCCTCAGTGCTGGGATTACAGGCGTGTGGTGCTCATCCCGACTCCTTTAAATGAGTACTTGGGATCTAGATTTACGTTCTCATGCTTGTGTGGCTAGCAGACTGAGTTATCTCCTCAGTTTCTGTTCAGTACTTTATAAACATTTTTCATTTACATTTTCCTGTGTTTTGCTTTGTTTTTTTTTTTTTTTTGAGACAGGGCTTCTCTGTGTAGCTTTGGAGCCTGTCCTAGCACATACTTTAATGTATATTGGTGTTTTGTTTGCATGTATGTATGTATACCATGTGTATGCCTGGTGCCTGCAGAAGCCAGAAGAGGCCAGTGGATTTACTAGAATTAGAGATGGTTGTGAGCCATCATGTGGGTGCTGGGAATTGAACCCAGATCCTTTGGAAGAGCAGTCAGTGCTCTTAACCACTGACCCAACTCTTCAGTCCCTGTTCATTAGTTTTTGTAAGTGTGTAGTAACTGTCTAGAATAATGAGTTTCATTGTGATACTTCCATATATGCATATACTTTGATTGTATTTTTTAAAAATAGTTCTAAGAAAGTGAACTAGCTCAGTGAGTAAAGGCATTTCCTCACAAGCCTGAGGACTCAACTTCAATCCCTGGCCCCACATGGTAGATGGAGATAATCAATTTCCTCAAATTGTCTACTGATTTCTAGATATGCACTGATACACACACACACACACACACACACAATACAAAAATGTAAAAGTATTGAATTATTCATCATTGTGGCAGGGTGTGATCAACAACTTTTTTGGATCTACGTTTTTTTGTGTTTTTCAAATCCACACATCTTTAAGTCTAGAAGGCATGGCTAACATTACATAGCAGAATTGGAATTTAAAATTTTTTCTTAAGTGATAGGTTGACCTTAAGATGAAATTCAATATATTCAAAATAAAACAATGTAGTTAGACATAACATGCTTTACTATGAATGCTGTAGAGAAAGCCATTTTGGTGATTTATGTGAAAAAGGACTAAAGTTTTTACATTGTACATCAATTGGCCAGGATTGATTTATTCAGTAAATGGGCATGAGAAGAGATGATTATAAATTTTGTTTTGTTTTTTCAAGGCAGGGTTTCTCTGTATTGTTTTGGAGGCTGTCCTGGAACTCGCTTGGTAGACCAAGCTAGTCTCGAATCCATAGAGATCCGCCTGCCTCTGCCTCCTGAGTCCTGGGATTAAAGGTGTGCACCACCAATGCCTGGCGAGATGATTATAAATTTTAATTATCTGAAGATTCATTTATGTAGCAAAAGTTCTCTCCTTTCCTGTCCTAATGCAATGTATTTCTTTAACAGCAATGAAGTGACTGGTGTTGTGGTCCAGTGTAAACTTTGGGATCTGTTCTGATGGGTGAAATAGAGCTGGCTTGGCAGGATCCTATGCTAGTTGAAAACTTCATTGTATTAAGAGTAAGGGGAGCTGGACTATTTAAAATGGAGAAATGAAGCCTTAATGCCATTGTCGCTAAGGTATCTGAAGACTATCTGAAAGGAAAGATGTGAATTTTGTATGGAAGAGTCAAGTACAGTAGTCAGGGACAGTGAGCCTCTGTCACTTGGCTTTGGAGGTATTCAGTTTGAGTCTGGATGTCCACCTGTCAGGGTTATGGAGGACAGATGCTAACATCTGGTGAGACAATAGGTGAATTTAATGTTCTTCAGGTTTTCTTTTAGCTCCAAATCTGTGAAATGAAAATGTGGCCTTAGAAGTTTAAAGTTATGAGAGCAATCCTTTAGCTCAAAGACAATTGAGAAGTAACCACTAGAAAGAAGGTGGATCTGATTGGTTGTTTCAGCCTTGATAGTCTTAGCTTGTAATGTGAAGACTTAAAGCCTCTACCTGCACTTGCCTTCACAGTTCCCTCTCACTAGCCTTTATTGTACTAATGAGAATTCCTGTTTTGTCTTGTGAAGCTGAAATAGGAAGCATTTTACTCTGTGGTAGTTAATTTGAACACTGACTGTTAACAAGTAGATTGCCAGAGTAACCTAGAGTTTTGTGAAGGAATAGAGTTCTTCTGCCTATGCAAGCAGGGATGGCTGACTTTATCTTTCCATGAGGTGAAAGCCAACTTATTAGTTCTTTTCTGGTGGATTGCCCTTTATTTCGTCTGTCTGTCTGTCTGTCTGTCTGTCTGTCTGTCTATCTATCTTATGCATCTGAGTGCTCTATCTGCATGTATGTCTGCATGCCAAAAGAGGACATCAGGTCCCATTAGAGAACTCAGGACCTCAGGAAGAACAGCCAGTGAGTGCTCTTAACTACTGAGCCATCTTTGTAGCCCAGCCCTTTATTTATTTCTTATGAAATTTGGATTTTTAAATTTTTAAAACTGTGTGAATCCATCTTTGTGGGGCTACAATCGCATCCAGCTTACTTGCCCCAGGTTTGTACCCGAGAGGGGGAGTATGGATTGAGAAAGGGCAGGTAAAGATACTTAAAAAGGCAGAGACACAGGATAGAGTCAGAAGGGTAATCCAGTGAATACTGAAGCCCCAAGTTTATTATTCACCATTCTTAAATACATTAACCAAAAAGGGAACATAGTATCATGTACACGGAGCAGGCGTTCTTTCTCAATTCTCCAAGAATTCTGTAACCACACCTTAGATTCAATTTCTCGTTATCTGGCCTTGAGGGTCAAGAGTAACCACAACTCAAACCAAGTCTGTTGTTATTTAGATAAGACACCCAAGGACAAGATCAAACATCCTACTGTAGCCACGCCTTAGACCTTTAGGTCTTATGACTTACTAAGGGCAGTTTTGAACTCTGACCTTGAGCCAGGATGAAGTGGAGCCATCTTTATGGGTCCCTGACATAAAACGACTGAAATATTCATACTCTTGATTTTTATATTATGTAAGAAAGCCCCAAAAGTTCACAAAACTTAGTGTACTTTCTGGTTTAGCAATTTTTCACTTTTTTTTGAAGATTTGTATTATTAAAATATACTTTGTGTTGCAAGCAGGATTCTGAATCATTCTTAGAAAGTTAGTAACTAGACCTTGACATAGGTGAAAGCCATGGCTCTGTAAGCCCTTTGAATGGATTTCCTATGCATAGAAAACATGAGATTAAGGAGCAAGTTAAGCATACCATGGAGAAACACTGGATCAGATCTAGAATGTAGGACATTGTATAGGACATTTGCCTGGTTCTGTCAAAATTCATTATTGTGAAAAGAAAGTAGATGAAAAGAGAATGAGGAGGCATGGCAAGAAAATTCCATGTATGAACCTTATAGGATCCAATTTCCAAGGATATGTCTATGAAAGATACCATGCAAATAGATAAATTTGAATATAGATCACTTCTGTGATTATTACAGTATTGTATGTTTTCATAAGTATGTAAATAATATGGTAGCTATAGAGAGAGAGACATACTGAGATGTTACTTGAAAAGTGTTGTGTGTAACTTGAAATAATTGGAATAACTTGCATTTAAAAACTTTTCTATTTACATATATGTGTATATGTCTGTGAGTATAGGTGTCAGGTACTGTAGAACTGGAATTACAGACAGTTGTGAGCCACATGTGGGTGCTGGGAATTGAACCCAGGTCCTCTGGAAAAACAGCAGATGTTCTTAACCCCTGAACCATTTCTCTAGCCCCAGGGTAACTTTAAAAGCATGTGCAGATATGTAGAAGAAACAGATATGACAAGTCTTACTTGTAACAAGTTTTATAGTTACTGAATCTAGGTGGACAGTATATAGGACTTTTTGTGTATTTGAATTTTTCCATAATGTGAGGAGTAAACCATCATTTCTAGAATTTGATATTTAAGTTTTAGTATGAGAAGTAGGGCTTTTAAACAACAATTCATTAGTTGAACTAACAGGATTTAGCATTGGTTATTTCTACCAAGAATAAAGTATAGAACAAATTAGATCTATCTACATTCCTGATTTATTATATGATGCAGTTCAGTTTTTTAAATAAAATATTTTCTCTGCTTCCTTGCTGGAAGGGTGAATATATTGGCTTGAAAATGAACTGAAAAAATTTTTGTGGAGAATATTCACTTTAAAATAGTTGATGCCTTGTGGTTTAATTTGCATATTAGAAAGCACTCCTCTGAGCCGTGCTTAGAAGAAAGTTCACTTAGAGAGTGTCTCTTGTAGAAAAGTGTTTAGATTTTAAATGTTTTGAAAGCATTCGGAGTGTATTCATCAGTTATCTTCTGGTAAAGATTTGGTAGTCTTAAAAAACCAAAAACTGATTTTAAAATTTAACAACAAAAATTCCTTGAATTATATCTATATCCCCTGCCATATGAATTTATTTCATTGCATATATTCTGATGTTAAAAGCTTTTGTACTGTTTTCTTAGGTGTCATCTTCTACAAAATACTCTATATAGTTTTTATTCATTAAATAATGCAGTAATACATAAGGAAAGTGGTGTAATATTTTAAGGCTTATCATATATTCACTAAAGACCTTTGTTTTTTCTGTGTTTTTTTTTTTAAAGGAACAGGAGAGTTTATTCTGGAGCCATTTTGAGTGACTGTGGCCCAGGAACACAGATTTAGGTTACCCCAATTTCCATGTTTCAACATGGAAGCAGTTTTTAAAATTAGTTCTGTTTTGGCAACTAAACATCATTTGAAAAAATATCTGCTAAAATGTCTGACATTTGAACCAAGGCAAATTGTTTAATGGTTCTATTGTCAACTTAAGTCTACTGAAATTAGTTTAGTAGGAAATATATAGAACATGTGTAAAGAGGCATTTTTAGTAAAACTGTTTCTTAAATATGTTGGACAGTGATGAGTTTCATAGGAGTAATACACACTGTGTGTAGGTGTTTTGCTGCATAATTATGCTGGCATATTGAAGTCATATGTCTTTCCTTCCTCTTCTCTCTTCTCTTCCTGGTTTGCAGAGTATTTGGTTTCTGACACCGGAGGACAACAGCTCTCAATAAGCGATGCCTTCATCAAAGGTAATTTTTACAAACAACTGTGCTCAGAATGATATCTGTTTCATGGTGGTGTGCTTGAGGTTTCAGCACATAGACTGACAGAAAGCTCTGAAAGTATATTTAATTATTGTAGTATCAAAGGAGCATGGTTTTAAATGTATAGAATGGCTTTTGAGTATGTTGGAAGTCAAGAATATAAATTTGGTCTTGGTTTGAGAGGAAGCCTTTGACTTAAATATGATTGTTTAAATTTTGAATAGTATTTTATTCTTTTGAAGGCATTATATAATAACAAATATTGGTATACATATTGTCAAGGATTGCCTCTTTGCTAACGAGCTCACAAGTGAGCTTGTCACTTGAATTTGATGTTTGTCTCATAGAGTAGGAAAGAGAAGTAAGCAAGGAGAATAAAGCACTGAATCTAATCAGTTTCACTGGGACTAAAAAAGAGTAAATGAATATAAACCTCTCTTATCACAGATACCTTGCCCAGCCTAGACACTGGAGGGAGGGCCTTGGTCCTGCCTTAAGGGATGTGACAGACCCTGATTACTCCCCATGGGAAGCTTCACCTTCTCTGAGTGGATCGGGGTAGAGTGGGGGGCAGGAGGATGGGAAGGAGAGAGAACTGGGATTGATATATAGAATAAGATTGTTTAAAAAATAAAAAACAAAATAAAACAAACCTCTCCTATGTTTACTTAAACTCCCATGGAGAAAAGACAAAGGGAGAAAAGGAGCCTTCTCTGGTGATCTTAGTTCTTGGGGTTTTAGAAAAGGGCAGAGGTGGGCTAAGTTGGGACAAGGGAGGCCCAGTGGCAGCTGATCTGGCTTGACAGTCTATCTAAACTCATCTCCTAACATCTGGTTCAACTAGAAGTTTCTAGACTGGTTGTTCATGTAATTGAAAAGTGCCAGTCTTGTGCCTCATGTATACAAGCTTTATAGAAGTTGGTTTGCTTTAAAAGAGAAGGTATTAGAATTTCCTTTCTTTCCATTTGTTCAGTCATATGATTATTTAATGAGCACATGTTTTGTAAAACATTATTTTTTAACTTTTTGCAATCCATTTTCTCTTTTAGGAATTACTATTTTTATTTTTTAAAGTCATGTACAAGAATGTGTGTCTACATGTGTTTATGTGCATGTGAGTGCAGGCACCTGCAGGAACCTGAGGTGCTGGATCACCTGGAGATGGAGTTGCAGATGGTTGTGAGCTGCCTAATGTGGATGTTGGGAACTGAACTCCAGTCTTCTGGAAGAGAGCAAATGCTCTTAACATAAGGACCATCTTCCCAGCTCCCAAAGCAATGTAGACCAGGCTGGCCTCAAGTTTATAGAGATCTGTCCTTTGTTGCCTGAGTTCTAGGATTAAAGGTGTGCACCACCACACCTAATCATTTCACCCTTTATAAAAATTTAAAGACTTCAAAATCTTATGTAAATTACTTTTATTTAATATAATTTAAGGTTTTTTTTTTAGTCTACTTTGATAAAGTTTTGTTTTAAAGCCTATTGTAAAATGCAGTGGAGGATTGTGTCAAGAGACTATACTGTCATCTGGGGCTGTGTAGATTTACTGCCCCACCTGGTCCCTAAGCAGTGATGGGCTGGGGAAGTCCATGAGAGTTTCTCTTGAGAATGCAGTGTGCATGTGACTCTATGTCATTGTCACCATTTTGATTTCAGTTGAATGTGGTTTTCAGTTTATGATTTTATGTGCAAAATCTGCATGCTTATTAACTCTTTAAAACAAACAGGATACAAAAATACTATTCTGTTTGTCTTTCAGAATTGATGTTGATACTCTTGGCTGAGAGTCTTTGTTCCTTAAGTCAAGTTGCTTTTCATAACTGTGCTCTGATTTTGGCTGGTGACAGTTGTTTCTGGGTTCCCCCCACCATGCAGAGTCTTGCACATTCTAGAGAAGTGCTATGCCTCAAGCCCTGTTTCTGCATTTTAGTGTATTGATGTATGTATGAGTGCATATTTAGTACGTATTTTAATTGTGTGTTGGTTACAGGCCTTTGCCATTAGTAATAATAATTTATATCTGCCAACTTAAGACACTTTTATTTTCTAAGTGTATGAATTGATGGTGTAAAACATAACAATGTAGTACTAATTTATTGTTTTGTGTTTAGAATCCTTATTTAATCGGCGAGTAGAGGAAAAATCCAAAGAGCTGCCTTTCACACCTTTGGGCTGGCATCATAACAACCTGGAGCTCTTAAGGGAGGAGAATGAGGAGAAGCAAGCCATGGAAAGACTGCTGTAAGGCACTACATTTTTATTTTCCAGTGACTTGGGCATATGCATAATTCATCTTCCTGATCAAGTGGAAAATACTAATAGAAAGTGTATTCTGACTTCTGATGAAGTGTCTCATAAAGCAGAGTCCCAAGCTGATTGTCTCCATTTTAATTTATGTGTTAGAATTTTAATTTAGTGGTTAGAAGTGATTTGTTAGTTTGAAGGTATTCACAGATTTCATTTATGTGCAGAGGCATTATAGTGAAGATATATTGAAAGAGTAAAAGTGACATGGAAGATCTTACCCGTGAGCCATAATTGGAACGTTTATTTCTTTGTAGAGTGCTTCTTGTATCTTTAGTACTATCTGTGCAAATTGGTTTTTGTAACATTTTGTAGTTCAGCTAATCATAACCACATGATGGCACTACTTCAGCAGTTGCTTCATAACGAGTCATTGTCATCATCTTGGAGGGACATCATTGTGTCACTAGTCTGCCAGGTTGTTCAGACAGTCCGACCTGACGTCAAGCACCAGGATGATGACATGGATATCCGCCAGTTTGTTCACATCAAGAAGGTGAGTTCTGCTAATGTTTGCTGATGCTGGAAACTGATGGGGCAGGTCTTATAGTCATTTATCTCTTATTGGTGTCTGAAAGAAGCCCTTGCCGTTAGGCTGTCTGCTCTGTTAACAAGTAGAGGTCTTGGTAGCCACTCATGAGGTGAGAGGTGCATGGAAAGAGTGAGTTATGTGTGTGGTGAAGACAAAAATAAATATAGTTTCTTCCTTTTTTAATTCTGCTTCTTGGAAAGTCATTTATGAGAAAGTCTGTTTTCATAGACTACTGTCACTGTCATGAGGAAAAGCAGTGGGTAGTTATGTTATTTAGATAATACTAAGTTCTGAATATATGTTTTACTTGTAATATTTAATGTTAAAAATAGTGCCAAGAACTCCAGCTTATTCAGTCAGTGCATATTTTAGAGTAGCATATATGATGTTAGAGAGTAGAGGGCAGAAAAACAAAGAGTCATGGTGAGATAATCATGAGATGACATAAAAACTATATTCTGGACCTTTCTGCCTTTATTATATTAGTTTTGTTAACAGTTCAAAGATGTGAAGACATAATAAATAATAGTCACCTGATGAAGTCTGGGGATACATCATTGGTTTTTATTTTTTTTCTTCTTTTATTAGATTCCAGGTGGAAAGAAATTTGATTCTGTGGTTGTCAATGGCTTTGTTTGTACCAAGAACATTGCTCATAAAAAGGTAACAAGTTTCAGTTCAACAGTGAAATTCACCAGGCTATGGCTATGTGCTAAGCTCATAAGTTGGGATTTCTTAATTATGGAAGAAAAGGAAATGTTGAAAGGTACCTAGCCATGTGTTTCGTAGAGGTGAAAGTTTGGAGGTTCCAGGAAGATCTTCCAGAGCTGATGATGAGTTGGAAGTTGAATATGGGAATTCACAAGGCAGAAGAAAGAAGATGGGAAGTCAGGTTTCTAGACCATCCAGGGAGAGTTTTTCTGAAAGACTGCATTCCTTCAAATGGTTTTGTTTTCTATAACTGGTCTACTTACAGAGCTATCATTATTGCTTTTATATGCTTCTCACACATTATATCTCTACCTTCAGCTCCAAGACATTTTTTGAGCACTAGCACAAAGAAAGGTTAGGTTAGATACTGAATGTTTGGGAATCTCTAGATTCAAAAGTGTAAAATGTTGCAATGTCAGACAATACTAAAGGAAGCAGGCAATGTCTGTGTGTCCCACCAAAGGTTTTGAGCTTCTAAGGGCTTTTGATTCTCAAAGTACAGTGTGTGTCAAGATTTTCTGGGCTCTATAACTTAAGCACTGAGCCGAACTCCTGGAGTCCAGTCGTAGAAAGGGAGGAGTGGTGAGCAAAGGGGTCAAGACCATGATGGGAAAACCCACAGAAATAGCTGATCTGAGCAAGTGGGAGCTCACAGACCCCAGCCAGACAGCTGGGGAACCAGCATAAGACCGAATCAGGCTCCCTGAATGTGGGTGACAGTTAGGAGGTCTGGGAAGTCTATGGGGTCTCTGGCAATTATTCCTAGTGCACGGATGGACTTTGGTACCCTATTCCCCCATGGAGGGTACTCTCTCAGCCTAGATACACAAGGGGAAGACCTCAGTCCTGCCCCAAATGATGTGACAAACTTTGATGATCCCCCATGGAAGACCTCATTCTCCCTGGGGAGTGGATGGGGAATGGGATGGTGGGTCAGTGGGGGGCATGGGGAGATGGGAGGGAGAGGGAACTGGGATTGATACATAGACTAAGATTGTTTCTAATTTAAATAAAAACAAAACAAAATTTAAAAAAACAAAAAAGATTTTTCTGGGCTCTTCACTAAGTATGTGGACCCCTATACTTAAACTTTCTCACTTAGTAGGGTTAAGGGAGTAGGAAAGGGTGGATAAGTGAGGCAGAGGATAGTATTGCATTGAAAGTGGGCACACAGATTTTCAGTGTCATCTCTTGGTCATCACATTAAAATACATTTTTACCGATTTATTTTCTGTGTGTGTTTTACATGCATGTATGTCTGTATACTATGTGTGTGCCTGGTGCCCATGGAGGTCAGAAGAGGGCATTGGATCCCCTGGAACTGGAGTTGCAGATGTTTGTGAGCTGCTATGGGTGCTGGGAATTGTACACTAAGTGCTCTTAACTGCTGAGCCATCTCTTCAGCACCCTGGTCTTTACATTTTGAGAAACTATAGCAGCATTCTCAGACCTTGTTTTACTTCACCATCATTAAGGAGACTTTTTAAACTAGGAATACCTTGGCCTCATCACAGGAGACATTGATTTTACCCCTGGAAAAGTTGAGACAGCCATTCTAGTCTGAGATAGTAGATGGTTGAACTTTAGTCCAGTTTTTATTCTTTTCTAAGTATAGACTAATACAGTTGTCTCTGAGGTGTTGCAGGTTATTGGTTCCAGGGTCTCAAGGGAATGCTGACATCTAGGGTACTCAAGTTCTTTATGTGAGATGGTTTAGCATTTGCATATAAGCTATTAAGTACTTTCCTATAGACTTTTAATCATCTCTACATGACTTAATGTGGTTACTATAATATAAATGTTGTATAAATAGTTGCTATTTTACAGTATTTAGGCCCTCATAAATTATAATGATAGAAAAAGATACTTTGTGCATGCTTGGGACACACAGTCAGCCTCTCCTAATCAGTCTTGCAGGTATTTTCTATCTGCAATAGGTCAAATCCAGGATATGGAAATTATGGGTATGGAGGGCTGACTTTAAGACATTTAGCCTTTAGAAAATTGTTAATGAGCCGGGAGTTGGTGGCGCACGCCTTTAATCCCAGCGCTCGGGAGGCAGAGGCAGGCGGATCTCTGTGAGTTTGAGGCCAGCCTGGTCTACAGAGTGAGTTCCAGGACAGCCTCCAAAACAATACAGAGAAACCCTGTCTCGAAAAACCAAAAAAAAAAAAAAAAAAAAAAAAAAAAAGAAAAAAGAAAATTGTTAATGATAAATTATAAATAATGCTGGTTGGTATTCAAAATTATTTCTTAGGCATGGTCCAGAATCACTGGGTGTTTACATATGTAATGTTTTTTTTTGTTTTTTTTTTTTTGTTTTTTGAGACAGAGTTTCTCTGTGTAACAATCCTAGCTGTCCTGGAACTGTCTCTGTAGACCAGGCTGTTCTTGAATTCACAGAGATCCGCCTGCCTCTGCCTCGCAAGTGTTGGCATTAAAGTCATGTGCCACCACCTCTTGACATACATATACAATCTTATAAATCAATATATTACCCTTTTAAGACAGAATGTCAAACCAAAATAAGTGAGTGACGTGTATTGAATTAAGAGTAAGTGTGTTAGTTGGGTGGTGGTGGCCCACGCCTTTAATCCCAGCACTAGAGAGGCAGAGGCAGGCAGATCTCTGTGAGTTCGAAGCTACCCTGGTCTACAGAGAAACCTGTCTCCCGGGCAAAAAAACCAAAAGACTAAGACTGTTATGTCTTTTTTGGAGTTGGAAGAAAATCATGTAGGAGAGGTAGAAATATGTCCATGAATTATTGGTTTACCTCACTGATCATATGTAAAAGCAGTCTTTAATTTTAGAGCCTGAATATATTTCTTTAGCTAGTTACTATCCTTAGAATGAGGATAGTTTGCCAGTTTGGGCTGTGTGAGTTTGGTCAAACTGACAGCTTGGTGGCAGGACCCAGGCTATTTTGCATGTGGCTTCTTTTGCATGATTGGAGTGTTGGCAAGAATTTCTGCTTTTGAAAATAATTTAGTGTTTTCTCTTTTAATTTCACATTATCTAGCTCAGCTGGCCAATTTAAGATTGTTGGGGAATATATTCTATTAGAAGAATGTTGAAGTGCCATTAATTTTTTTCTTCCTTTTCTACTTTTGAAGTTTAGAAAGACTAAAATATACTTTCAACATTGCTGATCTATAGTGTGTGAAATAGTGTACATATAATACCCATCACCACCTAGGGCATGTTATTTCTTCTTACAGCATGAAAAATTAAAACATGAAAACATAATAGTATATGCTTTAGTATATAGTATATAGTAAACATAAGAGTATAGAGGAATAGATAAGAAAAAGTTGTTTTCAAAGAACTGGCTTTGAGAAAATTAAAGTAAATAACCCAAAAGTAATAAATTAGAATTTGATAGTGCTAATTAGTAGGAATTATGAGCAATATGAATTTAAAATTATGATTAAAAGTTTATAAAGTGCAAACCTTCAACAAGCTTTTTCTTTTTAGATGAATTCTTGTATTAAAAATCCCAAAATCCTTCTCTTGAAGTGTTCCATTGAGTATCTCTATAGAGAAGAAACTAAGTTTACTTGCATCGATCCTATTGTGCTTCAGGTAAGAATTTCTGGAAGAAATCATTTGATGGGATGGATGCTTTCTGTGCTACTTGCCATCTCTTAATTTCAAAAAACTTGTTACATTTCAAAAGTTGATGTACATGGCAGGTTTGTGCTACACATCAGGAAGTAGCTCATGCAAATCTTCTTCACTTGTTTCAAAAGATTCAGAGTGTTGAAGGAGCACATGTCTGAGACTGTAGGGAACAAAAAGTGAAAATTCAAGTTTGAGTTGATTACTCTTCCATGCTTTGGCCATTACTTTACTGGGACAGTTTCTCTAACTTATTAGGTCTGTAATGGAACCTCCCATTTATAAAATAGACTTTCACTAACACCTATTTCTAGAATAAAAATAGCTTATATGTAGTTGCAAATAGAAAATAACTCGAGATGGGGGTTATGTTGGTTTCTTTTTTTTAAGTGAAGGGCACCAGGATAGCAGTCATACGTTATCTTCCTCATCTGGAAAGGAGAATGACCTCAGCTCACCTGCTACTCAGGCACAAGTCTTTCCAACTTTGTCTGAGGAAATGTTTATCAAACTCATTACAGAAAGGTGTGCCCACCCCTAGCCAAGGTTTGCTCCTAGGAGCTCTACTGCCCAGAGCACCATCCCTGCCTGTATTCCTGAAGTTCTTTTTGTGCATTAAAGAATATGTTTTTAATTGAAATAGAAATACACACATTATTCTTCCCTTCCCTTTCCTCCCTCTAGCCCCTCCCAGCTACCCTCTCTTGAACCCCATTGAGCTCCTGTCTCCTTCCTCCTTATATTGCTCTCTGTGCTCATCCATATCATTCCTGTCTCCACCTCCCTAGTGCTGGGATTAAAGGCATGTGATCCCAAGTGCTGGGGATCACTTTTGTGTAACCTCTGTTTCTTTTTAGACAGATTCAATCTTGTGTAACCCAGGGTGGCCTTGAACTCACAGAGATCCATCTGCCTCTGTCTCCTAATTGCTGGGATTAAAGGTGTATGCCACTGTTGCCTGACCTCTGTGACTAACTAGTGCTTAGCTCTGCACTCTGATCTTTAGGCAAGCCTTATTTGTTAGATCACAAACAAAATGCCACTACATTTCTCCTTTTTTGTCTAAAATAAAAAAGGCTAAAACTAATCTAAGAAAAACTATGTATAATATATACAATAAGTATATATAAATATATATGTAATAAACACATCAGCAATGTCTAATCCATTTGCATTTGACAAATTGAGAGAAAATACTCCATTATCTATCCGATCTTGGTGAGTCCAAAATCTTATACCTAATTCATTTCCTATCCTAACTTGCATTACCATCCAAAACTATCTTTTGATATCTCTCAACTTTATACACTTTACACCTCCTTAATGAGTTTCTTTTCTGCATATGGTAAACAAGGAAAATTATAATTATGACTATCTAGTCTTCAACTCCCTCAGAGACCTGAGAAGGAAATAATATTAACTGAATAAACAGGAAATTCAATCAATTACTTTCAAAAAAATATGAGAAATGACAGAAACAGCTGGCTGTCTGGACAGTCATCGATGGTTCCTCTGGAATGTTGGGTATCCATCTTCAGCCTACAGGCCTAGAATATTCGACAGACATTTCTATGAAGTAGAACTTTTGAAGGTCTGTCTCACCTTGTCTTGACAAGGATTGGCAGTCATTCTCTTTTTTGTGTCCTGCTTGTCCAATTAGGACAGCATATTGCCAGTATTTGAGACAAGGGCACTTGTTTGCCAGTGGCTTACTTTTGCCACATACATACATTCATATGCACATATGTAACAATAATGATCTGTATATAATATATATAATATGTATCTCTCTATATATATATACATAAATACAATATACGTAGTTTTTTTTTGTTATTGATGTGTATATGATTTCTTGGCTGATCTTTTCTCCTTGAACAACCAGTGGGGGCTCTCATCCCTGAGAAATGCTAATTCTCCTTCTAATAGTTATTAGTTGCCTATAGTTCTTGACTGCCTAGGGGTGTAACCTCATGAAATTTTCTACTTTACGTTAACATGTCCATTGATATTGTCATTGTTCTGGTATTGTTTATGCAACCAATTTTAGGAGAGTCCATTTCACAGCAGACTTCCTGGTACTCTGCCTCTTAGAGTCATTCTGCTCACTCTTCTGCAGTGTTCCCTGAGGCATGGATGTAAGAGCTGTGATGTAGATGTTCGGGTGGGTTCACCATGAACTGTTGATCTCTGTATTGTATCCAGTTATGGTTTTCTGTAATAGCCGCCTTTTGCTGTAAAGAGGGCTTCTTTGAGGGCTAGTAGCTGCACTTATCTGTGGATATAAGGATAGAATTTAAAATTTTCTCCAAGGCAATCTCCAGCCAGGCTGCATTATCTCTCTGGGGTGTCTAAGGTCTCTGTTAAGGCACCAATTTTTTTTCATTTTATTGGAAATGAATTATTTTCTCATACAATATATCCTGATTATAATCCCTCTACTCCTCCCAGTTCCTCTCTACCTCCTTCCAGATCCACTCCCTTTCTGTCTCTCATAAGAAAGCAACAGGCTGGGCTGGTGAGATGGCTCAGAGGTTAAGAGCACTGACTACTCTTCTAGAGGTCCTGAGTTCAATTCCCAACAGCCACATGGTGGCTCACAACCATCTGTAATGAGATCTGGTGCCTTCTTCTGGCCTGTGGACATACATGCAGACAGAATACTGTATACATAATAAATAAATGAATCTTAAAAAAAGAAAGGAACAGGCTTCTAAGAGATAGCAACCAAACATGACAAAATAAAATATAATAAAACTGTCATACAGAAATTGGACATGGCAACCCAGGAGGAAAAGAGATTCAAGAGCAGGCACAAGAGTCATACCTATTTGTTCTCACAGGCAGGTATTCCATAAAAAATACTAAGCTAATTGCTATAATAAATACATAGAAGGACCTGATGCAGATTCATGTAGGCCCTGTGCTTGCTACTTCAGTCTCTGTGCGCTCATATGTGCCTTGCTTAGTTGATTCAGAGGGCCTTCTAATCCTGCTGTCCTCCATCCCCTTTGGCTCTTACATCTTTCTTCTATGGGATTCTCTGAGCTCTGCGGAAAGGGAATTGATAGAGACATCCTATTTAGAATCACTCTCCATGTAGTATCTGACTGTGGGTCTCTATATCTGTTCTCATTGACTGACAGAGGAGCCTCTGCAATGACTGGATAAGACACTGATCTAAGAGTATAGCAGAGTATCATTAGGAGTCATTTTATTTTTTTTTAAAGACCAATAGTGTTTGATTTTATCCTTGGTCTCTGGACTATCTAGTCACTGGTTCTTGGTAACCAAGCAATGTCAGGCATGGGTTCTGTCTTGTGGAGTGGGCCTTAAGTCAAATCAGACATTGGTAGGCTACTCCCACAAGTATGGTGCCACCATTGCCCTAGCATATTTTGCAGGTAGGACAGATTGTAGGTCAGGTTTTGTGGCTGGGTTGGTGTTCCTCTTTCTCTTTCAGTAGTCCACAGAGTTGTTTGTGTTGTGCTGGATTTTTTTAAAGGGACTTATTCATTTCTTCTTTGAGGATGTCTGTCATCTTCGTATTGTTGGTTTTAATGTCTTTTTCTTGTGCTTCAGCTGTGTTGGGATATTCAGCTGTGGTAGGGTTGCTGGCTTCTAGTGGAATTGTATTGCCTTGGCTGTTATTGATTGTGTTTTTATGCTGTCATAGGCATTTGGATTTGGGTTGATTATAGATTTAGGTGCTGATGTCTGGGTTTGTCTTTGTTGGATGTGTGCTTTGTTCCTTGGTTTCTTTTCCCTCTCAGGAATTCTGGAGAGTGTGATGTTTGTGTGTTGCCCATTTTCCTGGCCTGACCAGCTGGTATGTTCTCAGGGGATGCCTACTGATGTTGCTGAGTGGAATACTTGGATGAGTTGGAAGAAGGGAGAAGATCTTTGTGATCTATTGGGGTTGAGAGACCACAGCATGTTTCTTGCTATAGAGCTGGGGATGAGGGATTGGATCTCAGGAGCAGTAGGAGAGATGTGGGTCTTTCTTCAACCTGCTTGTTGCCCTGGGAGGAGACTTGGGTTAGCAGGGGGTGCTTGCTGGGCTTGGGGACTGGGATAAAGCACTGACGAGCATTTGGGGGCAGGGGGTGCAGCTGGTATTCTGTTGCAGTGCTGGGGATGAGACTGGGGGATTGGTTTTGGAAGGGAGGAGGGAGTGGTGAGGATCTTCAATTAGTTTACCTGTTTCCCAGTTCTTCTTAGCTGGTATGTTCCCAGAAGTTACCAATTATTAAATTTTGTTAGTCTTGTGGATCTGAAGTTGGCATAGGTTTCAAGTTGCTAGTGTTTTTGTTTATTTTATTTTGACACAGCTCTCCTTTCACAATAATGTTACTAATTTTAGTTTGTGATTATTCAAAATAATGTGTTTTTAGGAATATAAATGTCGTATACATGGAAACATTTATTCTTAGTTCTAGAAATATTTAGTAAAAAACTACTTTTACATTCATAGATAGTTACATTTTTTTTCTCGAGTTCTAGAATTAAAGGCATATGCCAGCATGGTAGGCAGAAATGTGTACTTTCTATAAGTGACACAGAGAAAGATAGAAGAAATGCCCTTCATCACAGGGTTGTTTATTTTAGTAAAAGTCTCATATACTGAGGTGGCTTGGAATGGTTGTATAGATTGCTTAAGAAATGCTTTGGGCACGTGGAGTAGAAGTGGCAGACATCTCACTTTCAGTTGTCTCCTGTGTGGGCACCAGAAGCTTATGAAACATTTACGGATTTGTATTATATTAACTCTGACTGTTTTGCAGTATGTATTTGCTTTGAAATGAGGCTTTTATTGTGGTGAAATTTCTTTTTATTTTCTTCCTTCTTTCCTTCCTTCCTTTCTTTCTTCCTTCCTTCCTTCCTTCCTCCCTCCCTCCTTCCCTTCTTCCTTCCTTCCCTTCTTTTTTTTTTTTCCCAGAAAGGGTTTCTCTGTGTAACAGCCCTTGCTGCCTCAGACTCTCAGAGATCACCTGCTTCTGCCTCCCCAGTGCTGAGATTAAAGGTGTGTGTCACCATGCCTGGCTATTGTGGTGGTATTATATTAAGCATTGTATTTTAGAACTTGAGATGTATTTGTTTGAAGTAGAATATGATATTAGGAAACTGTATTTAGGAAATAGATGAAGTAGCATTTGTCTGAGGGTTATTAGTTCTGAATCCTAGAAAAGACATGCTTGTAGGTTACAGATGGAGAAGAAAATTAATAACCATATTAACTTACAAACTGCTTTTGTTTTGACAGGTGTAGGAATAGGCTTTTTGTTGCTTGAAAGTCTAGTTTAAAAATTTCAAAGATTTTTTTAACTGGGTTCTTAGTGCTTATAATTCACAAATAATGAACACATACACACATGCTCCACATGTTTCTGGGGTTGAGCCACAAGACCCCGAATGTGTCAGATTTGTGCTCTCCCACAGAGCTACATCTTCAGCAAATTATAAATTATTAGGGACTGAAAACCTTTCAAAATAAAATTTGTTGGAGGATGAAACTTTTCCTAAAATTTTTAAGTATAATGAATAGTTTAGAATTATGACTAAAATTCTTTGTATTTGAATTTGTTACACATTTATTTGTGAATGAAAGATTATAGATTGAAAATTGATTATTGGCCGGGTGTTGGTGGTGCACACCTTTTATCTCAGCACTCGGGAGGCAGAGGCAGGGATTACTCTGTGAGTTTGAGGCCAGCTTGGTCTACAGAATGAGTTCCAGGACAGCCTCCAAAAACAATACAGAGAAACCCCGTCTCGAAAAAACCAAAAAAAAAAAAAATTGATTGTTAACATCCAGGTTATCATGATATTATAGTATGTCTAAATCTTGGATTGTACCAGGTTTTGTATTTCTGTTTTATCTCACTTAGGAAAGGGAATTCTTGAAGAATTATGTTCAACGGATAGTTGATGTTCGACCCACATTGGTTCTAGTTGAGAAAACAGTATCTCGTATCGCTCAGGACATGTTACTGGAACATGGCATTACTCTGGTCATTAATGTAAAGTCAGTGAGTGTTTTCTATATTTATTCACTTAAAAATCATGGCTTTTAAATATGTATATATGGTAGGTATGCAGTAATTTTTTAAATTGTGGTAGCTACTTCATTATTAACACTGAAGACTCCCGTAGACTCACAGTGGAAGAAAGTGTGACTGTATAACTGTTCTTTTTGGTTTTTATGAGACCAGAAATGGAATGGACATTAGCCCATCAGCATGTTCTTATTGGTGTTTCACTGTTCGCTTTGCAAAATGGAGGCTACTTTTAAGGAAGCTGATTTGTTTCTTTATCCATAGTGTCTTGTACTAAGAAATAGTTGTCCAAATGCTCTTAAGAAAAGATAATAACTAAATAAAGGAAGAATAAAAAAGAAGATAAGGTCTCAGGTTGTACCTCTGGCAGGTCTGGAACTTACTAATTAAATCAGAATGGTCCTCCTGCCTCTGCCTCCCTAGTACAGGGGTTATACAAGTGTACTACTGTGCAATTCTCATCTTTTGATAATATTATGATGAGCTTGGTTTGTTTTTTAGGCCAGACATTGGTTATTTAGCAAGTAAATTTGGCCTAATGTAGAATTTAAAAAACTGTCATGTAATTATTAAAATGAAGGAAATTGATTGTGAACATTATTTTGTTTTAATTCTTCATGTACTTTTCAGATTAAATTTATTAAAATTTTATTCATAGCTAATTTGGTAATACGATGTTTTTCTGTGTTGTAGCAAGTTTTAGAACGAATCAGTCGAATGACCCAAGGTGATTTAGTGGTGTCCATGGACCAGCTGCTCACTAAACCACACCTGGGCACTTGCCACAAATTTTATATGCAGATATTTCAGTTACCTAATGGTGAGTCATCTTACACATACATTTACTTAGCTTGGGGATCTCAAGAATGAATCAACTCCTTGTTAAATACAGTGTCGTTTACTCAGGAAGTATTAATATCTAGTAGCACTGGTTAAGAGTGTAGTTCAATGTGGTCTTATTCCTATAAAGTTTTTCTTTTTTGTTGGTAGTAAATTGTCTGGTCCTCTGGATTGTCACCTAAGTCTCTTAATTTTGTTTGTTTATTTGTAGAACAAACCAAAACACTGATGTTTTTTGAAGGTTGTCCACAGCACCTAGGGTGCACAATCAAGCTCAGAGGAGGCTCTGATTATGAGCTGGCTCGGGTTAAGGAGATCCTAATATTTATGATCTGTGTGGCTTATCATTCTCAACTAGAAATCTCCTTTCTCATGGATGAGTTTGCTATGCCTCCAACATTAATGCAAAGCCCTTCATTCCATTCTTTGACTGAGGCACGAGGGGAGGAGGGAGCACTTCAGGAGCAGTGCAGTGGCAGCTTCCTTTCCCAGGATCCAGAGTGCCCTCCTGATTCCCTGTCTTCTGATGATAGCACTTTGTTGGAATCAAGGACTGTGCTTGAGAAGGGTGAGCAGGACAGTAAAAGTGTTCCCCAGGCGGTTGCCTCTCTGAAGCATCAAGATTACACCACACCCACTTGCCCAGCAGGTATTCCCTGTGCTCTCTTTGCATTGGTACCTGAATCATTGTTGCCTCTCCATGTGGATCAACAGGATGCTATAGGAAATGGAGAGCCAGAGACATTGCAGCAAACAGATGAGCAACAGGACCCCAAAAGCCAGATGAGAGCCTTTAGAGACCCTCTGCAGGATGACACTGGAATGTATGTTACTGAGGAAGTCACCTCCTCTGAAGATAAACGAAAGACTTACTCTATGACCTTTAAACAGGAATTAAAAGATGTGATCCTCTGTATCTCTCCAGTTATTACATTCCGGGAACCCTTCCTTTTAACTGAAAAGGGGATGAGGTGCTCAACTCGAGATTACTTTCCAGAGCAGATTTACTGGTCTCCTCTCCTCAACAAAGAGGTGAAGGAAATGGAGATCAGGAGGAAGAAACAGCTGCTCAGGGATCTCTCTGGACTTCAGGGCATGAATGGCAGTGTTCAGGCCAAGTCTATTCAAGTCTTACCCTCACATGAGCTAGTGAGCACCCGGATTGCTGAGCATCTGGGTGATAGCCAGAGCTTGGGAAGAATGCTGGCTGATTATCGAGCTAGAGGAGGAAGAATACAGTCAAAACATTTGGACCCTTTTGTCCATTCAAAAGATGCATCGTGTACTTCAAGTGGCAAATTGGGAAACAAGACAGAGAGTGATGAAGAGAGGGGGTTGGTTCCAAGTGATGCCTTATGGTCAACAAAGGTAAGGTGTCTGTTACTCCTTAGTGTTCATGTAAGTTTACAATTTTTTATGTGTTGAAAAAAATTACCAAGGCAAGATTTAAAAAATCAGTATGATAGATTGCATAGGCATTAACTATTTCCTCTTGTTTACTTTTTCTTCTTGAGTCTGATGGAATTTATATATAAAGTACGAAAGTGGATTCATAAGGTAATGAAACGGGATATTGAATTTTAATATGCACTTGTAGTAAAGTAGGAAGGGCCTGAGTTAAGGGAAAGTGAGCAATTGCTTGAAGTTTCTGTCTGTATTGCTTATATGTGGCATGATGTAGCTGTTGACTTTTTTTCAGTGTTCCAAGATAGGTCTTTAGTTTCATTTTTTTGTTGTTGCTGTGGCCAAATAATTGAAGAAGAAAAAAAAGGGGCAGAAGAGTTTATTTAGTTTGTAATTCTAGGTTACAGCCCCTTACAAGGGAAAGTCAAAGGCAGCAGGAACTTGAAGCAACTTAGGATACTACAACCACAGTCAATAATAACAAAGAGAAAGAAATGCATGTACGCTGCTTGCTTGTTTGTGCTCAGTTCTATTACTCCATTCTTAACACTTTTGCTAGGGAATGGTGGCATCCACAGTGGGCTGGGTCTTCCCACATTTAACTTAAGACAGTCACTCAGATGTGCCCTCATTCTAACACAGTGTATATAATACTTCCTTGAGACTCTTCTTCCCAGTTGATTCTAAATTGTGTAAAGGTGGCAATTAAAGCTAACCTTTACAGGTCTCATTATGTGGTCTTGGCTGACCTTGAGTTCACAATCTTCTTCCTGTACCTCTTTAGTGCTAGGATTATAGCTCCTCTGTACTGCCATAGCTAGCTCTCTTGTTTTGGTGATAGTCATTATGAGAGATGGAAATGTATTACTGAAAATGGACCTGTTTTAATAAAGTATGTATATATATATGTGTGTGTGTGTGTATACATATGTACATATATATTTAACAGTAAAAACTTTATATTGCCATTTAACTATGAAAATGATCTTTTTTGTTTAAATAGAAATTAAAGATATTTAAAGAAGATTTACTTGTGTCCGGATCCATTACTAATAGTGAAACTAATGGAGAAATCTATCATTAGATGTAATGAAGTTCTGTAATAAAAAGACATCTAGTTTCACTGATAGTCAAGGCAGTGACAAATGGTGGCACTAAACAATTTTGAGACTCAAAAAGAACCATTGTTAGTGAGAGTCAAGAAATTTTGAATGCTTTGTCTAAATGTCAGACAGTGATAAGGAGGTCTCTCTTTACATGTACATTTACACACCTCTGTATAAATGTACTGACAGTAACTAGGAGGTTTCTCTTACTTTACATGTACATTTATCAGGATTCTAACTTCTCTATTCCTGCAGAACAAATTAAATACATCTGTGTGAGGGTACTTACTTGTAATATATGAACAATACTGTTTGTTGAAGCACTATATCCATTCTTTTTGTAGAAAAAAGGATTACCATTATGTTTTGTAGATGTGACAAATACCTGACATTAAACAGTTTAGGGGGGTTTATTTTAGCTTATGATTTCATTCCATATTCCTAGACTCCATTATTCATGGTATCTAGAGTACATGGCAGAGGTTATCACTTCACAACACACAGGAAGCAGAGAAAAATAGAGGGGCCTGGTATGAGATATAGCCTTCAAGGACACACTTCCAGTGATCTATTTCCTCTATGTAGGCCCCCCCCCCCCGTCTAGTCTCTAGAATGTTCAGCATAGCTCCTCAGCTGGGGAACAAACTTTAAATACAGGATTCTTGGGCAGTGGCATCATTCTTATTCAACCCATATCAAAGGATGGCTTTTGAATGATGATTTTTAAAAATATAGCTTTAAAGTTTTGCTATATTAGAATAAAACACTATGGTTATATTTTAGCATGTCCTCAAAAAAAAGCAAGTTATATTAATATATTTTGTAGCGTATCTCATTTTTTTTTTTTTTTTGGTTTTACGAGACAGGGTTTCTGTATTGTTTTGGAGGCTGTCGGTCCAGCCCCGCCTCGAACTCACAGAGATCCACCTGCCTCTGCCTCCCGAGTGCTGGGATTAAAGGCGTGCGCCACCGCCTGGTGCATATCTCATTTTAATGAAAACAAAATCACCTGTGTGTATTTAATGTGTGTGTGTACATGTGTGATGTGCATGTACGTGAATGTGAACATTGGTAAATGTGAATAAGCAAAAAGAGAGGTTTTTCTTTTGGTGTTTTTTGTTTGTTTGAAATAGGATTTCTCATTACTTAGGCTTGTCTCAAACTCAAGATCCAGCTGAGGAAAACATCAGGCTTCTAATCCTCTTGCCTCTACCTCCCAAGTGCTTGGATTACCATGTGCACCATGTTGGTCTAAGTGACCAGTTAGCTTTATAAACTACTTGGTTTGATAGGTGGGTGACATCTAAGAAGGAGGAACTTTACCTTATGTATCTCTCTGTTTGAATTTCAACAGGGAACAGGTAGGTGTTTAAAAACAGAAGAAAGCATAGGGGACAAAATACCTTAGAATTTAGATTTCTAGGCACCATCAATTGATGCCATATCTGTCAGGTCATGTTGTTCCATAGGAATCTATTTTAGTTAATTTGTTCTTCTAAAATATAATGCAATTTTGGAAAAATGGAGAGTTCATCTTAAGAAACAAGTGTCTTGCTCCTCTTCCTCTTTCAAATACAGTGTTGGGATTGACCCAGGGCCTCACTGATGTTACAGTTCCAGCCCAGTTCCAGTTATTTTACGATTTTATGTTTACTTTTGAGTTTTGAAATTGCCTTTGGTCAAAACCTAGCTGTTCTTATAGTTAGCCTTTTGCAGTTTTAAATATTTGCAGGTATCCAATAGTGACGACAGGAGACCTTATTGACAGAGTGGAACGTGCCCTCAGTGAGCTGGTAGGCGCTATGTTCCAACTCCAACTCAGGTGCTCCTCTGTTCCTTGTCCTGCAGGTGGACTGCCTGAATCCTGCTAACCACCAGAGGCTCTGTGTACTCTTCAGCAGCTCATCTGCCCAGTCCAGCAATGCTCCTAGTGCCTGCGTCAGTCCTTGGTATGACACTTCTCCCCTGCACTACTGCACCTAGGAACCGAATTTCAACAGCATGAAAAATAATGCCTGCTTTTAGTTATATGGCACATTGATGGTCATATATGAATTAATAGAATGTTTAAACTTAAGAAGTAACTGAAAAGTCTTTGTTCATGGGTAAATAATAGTACCTTAAGTAAGAGTGAAAAAAGTCTGAGAGAGAAAAAGAGGGATTTTTTTTACATTACAAAAATTACAAAATTAACGAACAAAAACTAGATTATAAAAATCAAAAGCTACATTTTGATTATTTGTTCAATTTTGGCAAATTTTCCTTTTGCATAATTTTCATAAAAGCCATTAGCCTTTTGTCTCCTTAGTACATTCTTCTTAAATTTATAATGTTGTCACAAAAACCTTACATATCTTATGGTTTTTTTTTTTTTGGTTTGTGTGTGTGTGTGTGTGTGTGTGTGTGTGTGTGTTAAAAATCTCTCTGTTAAAAGCAAGTTAAAGGAGAAAGGGTTTGTTTGGCTCATAGCTTAAGGCTGCTGTCCATTATGGTAGGGAAAGTCACAGCAGCTGCAGCTTGACTGATGACATTGTCATCATTCGGGATGAGAGCAAAGAAGGCATGGGTGCTAGTGTTCTGTCCCACCCTCTTTCTCATGCTATACAGGCAGGGAAGGTGCCACTCACAATGGGAGAGTCTTCCCAAAGCAATTAACACAATCAGGATAATTCCCCACAGGCATGTCCAGAAGCCTGTCTGGATTACATCTCCACTCCTCCGTTTGTCTGTGTGTGTGTGTGTGTTTTGTTTTTTGGGTTTTTTTGTTTGTATTTTGGTAGCACTGCTTTCATGATAAAACTTATTTCCAAAGGAAATATTTTTCTAGAAATTTGTGTAGTTCTAGGACAACTTTAAGCCTGACTTTCTGAAAGCCCATAGGATTTTTTTTTTCCCTCAGAATGTAATGGACTCCTTAGGTAATGCTTGAATGGGATACTGGGTTCAACAAGCATATATACAAAGTCTAATTTTGGGCAGTCGTTGAGTTAGGAGTTGGCTCCTTATCAACAGTTCTCCCTATCCAGTGATAATAGGGACTAGAGAGCAGATAATAGGGACAGTTGTGTGTCGTGCTCCCCCCAATGGTGATGGGGATTGAAACTGTGAAAGATGGTTTTACCTCTTCTTATGCAAATCAATTTTATTCAGTTGATTTTTTTATAGCTTATTCTTATTAAATGATTTCTTAAGATTCTAATGGATTGGGAATGGAAAAGATGCTATAGTGTGGTTAGTCCTACACTTGACAGGCTGAAGTGAAACCTGTTCTATAGCAACAACATGTAAGATTTGCTTCATTATAAGCATATTTAATAACTAGAATATGGTCTTGGTGGTAATGCTGGCATATTTCTAAAAAATTATCTTTTCTTCTAGGATTGTAACAATGGAATTTTATGGAAAGAATGATCTTACACTGGGAATATTTTTAGAAAGATATTGTTTCAGGTAAAAGCTTATTTCTTCCTTATGATTTATTATACTTTTTTTTTAATTGAGACAAAGTCTCTCTCTATAACCCTGGCTGTCCTGAAACTCACTATGTAGACCAGACTAGCCTCAAACTCATAGAGATCTGCTTGCCTATGCCTCCAAGTACTGGGATTAATTATTACACATTTTTGAAGCCCCTGATTTCCAGTTAAAATACCTGTGAGTTGAATATCAAATATTTTTGATGGTTCTCACTTTTGCACCACATGTCGGAGCATATCTTTTTTTAGCGGGGGGGGGGGGGTTCCAGACAGGGTTTCTCTGTGGCTTTGGAAGCTGTTCTGTCCTGGAACTAGCTGTTGTAGAGCAGGCTGATGTTAAACCCACAGAGATTCACCTGCCTCTGCCTCTATCTCCTGAGTGCTGGGATTAAAGGCGTGCACCACCACCACCCAGCTATCAGAGCATATCTTATAGTGACTCAACTGGGAACTCTTGTCTTGTATATTTCTTGTATCTTTACCTGTCCAGCTGCTCTGCCACACCAAAACTTTTTTGCTATATCTACTTTTACAGTGATGGCTTGGGACCAGCTTGACATCAGTTTAGGTTTCATTGTTATTACCAGTTAAGTTACACAGCATGGCACGAGTAATTTAATGTTACCAGCCTCTTTCTCAGGCAGTATAGTCCTTAGAAATGTCTGGGTTTTACTGTTGTTTGAAATTGGGTATTAGAAGATGTTTGACAACTGGAAACTATCATGCTTCTGTATAAGACAGAATGTTCAGCTGTAGCTCAGAGCCCCATGTATCCTGTTTGGGTTGTCTACTGTTTGTCATTACTCTAGAAGTGATATGTCACTTCCTTGGTTGTGGCTCTGATTATTCAGTACTTTCTATGTGTGGTCCTCTGTTTCATGCTTAATGTGAGAAGGATTCTCTGGTTTATCACAGGTCATCTTACCAATGTCCTAGCATGTTCTGTGATACCCCCATGGTGCATCACATTCGACGCTTTGTTCATGGTCAAGGCTGTGTGCAGATAATCCTGAAGGAGTTGGATTCTCCAGTGCCTGGATATCAACATACAATTCTTACATATTCCTGGTGTAGAATCTGCAAACAAGTATGTGCTGCTACTGGAATATTTCATGGGACATTTGTTTTCTATTTGTATAGTGCTTTGGGGGATACATGATCAATAGTATTTTGAACTTTGTTATTTGTCATTATTATCTTATTTATATACCTTCTTGAGCTATATATTTAACATAATACCTGATAAGACTTCACTTAAAAAATATATATCATTAGCTGGGTGGTGATGGCACGCTCCTTTAATTCTAGCGATTGGGAAGCATAGGCAGGTGGGTCTGAGTTTGAGGCCAGCCTGGTCTACAGAGCTAGTTCCACGGTAGCCAGGGGCTGCACAAAGAAACCCTGTCTCAAAAAAAAAAAAAAAAAAAAAAAAAAAAAAAAAGAAAAGAAAAAAAGGCTATCATTAAATAATGATGTATGTATGTCTTTTCCAATATAATTTTCAGTTATGTCTGTTAATTCAACAGATACTTAATTCCATTTGTGTTCTAGGTTTGGTGTGCTCCTTAGGAATAGAAAAAGAATAAGGCATGGTTTGTAGAGAAGGAGGAAGACTTACGAAGCAGTACCTAGTAGTACTTAGGTACCTGAAGTGTATCAGGCTATTTGCCTAGCAAATCTGAGCCTGTATTAACAACTGTTCTAAAAAAATATAGATGAGGCATTGTTGACAATGGCCTTTACTGTCTTTATGTACAATCTTAGAAAATGACATTAATGTCATTTAATTTCTTTGAACTATCTTCATATTGTAGGGGAATTATTGCTTTTTTGTTTTTTTTTTTTTTAGTTTTTTTTTATTAAATGGATTCAGTTCATTTTTGGAGAAGTGGCATAGGTTTAGTTTTAAGATTTATTTAATTTTATGTGTATATGTGTATGTTCAACTATATTTATGTGTACAGTGTGTGCAATTATGTGAGTAGGCTAAATGAGGACTTCAGATCCCTTGACTTACAGGTAGGTTGTTAGCCACCTAATGTGGGAATTGAACCTGGGTTCTCTTCAAGAGGGGAAAGTTTTTTTTAACTGCTGAGCTATCTCACCACTCCCAGGTTTTTTGTTTGGGTTTTGCTTTGTTTGTGTGTGTGCATTGCTTTAATTTACTTTAATTTTATATGCACGCATGTTTGCCTGCATGTATGTTTGTGTACCATATATATGCATAGTTCCCAAGATCAGAAACTGTAGTTACAATGGTTGTGAGACACTGTGTGGGATCAAACCCAGGTCCTCTGGAAGAGCAGCCAGTCCTCTTAACTGCCGAGCCATCTCTTCAGTCCCTGTAACATCTTATACTCATTCAAATTATAGAAAATATGTAACAGAATTGCCTTCATTATTATCTTGATGTATTTTGGAGTGTGCTTGGAAAGCTTTTATGAGAATCATAGGTAAAATAGTGTGTCTAGTTAGTATAGCACTTGAGAATGGCGACATTAGTTTTCTTTATGAGCTGGGATTATAACATCCTGCAGTGATTTGTAGTAATGATCAAGTCTTCTATACTTTCTTGTATATGTTAGTGGAGATTGTAACCCAGAGACTGATATTGGGTTCAAACTTCAAGCTGATGATAAATAAAGCAAAGCTGTCTGCCACTTGCTTTTTACCTCTACCTCTGTCTCCACGAGCTCTCAGCAAGCTCAGACTGTTGCCTCTCCTTAGTGTAGCTGGAGAATGAATCCTACCTTCAATGTGACTAGAGAATGAATGCCTCCTCTGAATACTGAAGACCCTGCTTCTATCTTTTATACCCCTCTAGTGCTGGGATTAAAGGCATGTGATCTATTACTCTTTTAGACTGATTTAATCTCATACATCCCTGGGTGGCCTTGAACTCAGAGAGATCATATACCTCTTAATCCTGAGTCCTAGGAATAAAGGTGTGTACCACCTGCTCCTAGCTTCTGGCTGCTGGGATTAAAGGTGTGTATCTGGCTTCTATATCTTGTAGCTGATGTTGCTTTCTCAATCATCACAGCAAGCTTTAATAAATCATAAATAATATATCACCATAGGAGATGAGGCTATACATGCTAGGCAAGCGCTTTACCATTAATTTAGGTCCCAGCTTCATTCTCATATTCATAGACTTTATGTCCTGGTCCAAAATGCTGATAGATCAGTGGTTCTTTTTTTTTTTTTTTGGTTTTGCGAGACAGGGTTTCTCTGTATTGTTTTGGAGGCTGTCGGTCCAGCCCGGCCTCGAACTCACAGAGATCCGCCTGCTTCTGCCTCCCGAGTGCTGGGATTAAAGGCGTGGGCCACCACCGCCTGGCTAGGAGAAGAGTTTTTGTTAACACACACACACACACACACACACACACACACACACACACACACACACACACACACACACACACACACAAAAGAACAGATGACGTAGGAAAAATTTAATGTTAAATTTTGTAAGCCACAGTAATAGAAAACGTGGGCAATGGGCATAATAAAGCAATTTAATATAAAAGGCCAGTAAATAATGAATGAATTTTATTCATTAACACAGTTGAAGCATAAATGAAGCCAAATATAAATGAAATAAATAAAATGTCTTTAAAAAAACATTTCAAAGATGAATAATTTCTAGGGTTGGTAGGAAAGTGAGGGAATTGGTGTTCTTAATTATTGTTGTTGAAAGTATGTAAGTGAATGCACCTGATTTGGAAGTAAGTTTGCCAAAAGACCGTTGCCCTTTAATCTGTTATTGCCCATCCTTACTGATTTATTCTAAAGGAATAATTGTATCTATTTCTGAGTGTATTTATAAGGATATTCAGCCAAGCATCATGCAAATAAGGAAGATCTGTCTTAGATGCCTGTCAGTGAGACTAGCTAAGTATGTGACCATACCCCATGGCCATTAAAAGGTTATAAAGAAAGTAAAGAATGTACAGACAAATCGATAGTTCTTGAGGGATTATTAGAGTTGTGCTCTCTCACGCTCCCAGCTCAAATCTATTTCGAATTTTTTCTTTTCTTACTCAATTAGAATATATTGTTTGTTTTGGAAAACAGAAAATACAACTTTCAAAAATGAGATTTTCAGTCTATAATTTATTTTTAATTTTTTTTTCTGAACTCCAGGTAACACCAGTTGTTGCTCTTTCAAATGAATCCTGGTCTATGTCATTTGCAAAGTACCTTGAACTTCGGTTTTATGGGCACCAGTACACACGCAGAGCGAATGCTGAGCCATGTGGTCACTCTATCCACCATGATTATCACCAGTATTTCTCTTATAACCAGATGGTGGCATCTTTCAGGTAAGAAGGAGGAGGGATCTGTACGTTATCACATTCCTTATAGATGGAACAGTTCCACTATTGGATTAAATTTGGCCTTGCCTCTAACCCTGCAAAGCTTTAGTGTTTAGGTAAGATTATTATCATATTATAAGCAAGGATAATAATGTTGTGTATTTCACCCATAGAGTTGACAAGTGGTGGGAATCGTGGTTTAAACATTGGCTGATATTCCGCTTCCTGACTCACACTTGTCCATTGTTTTGACATCTGAAAGTCTGAGAATTTTTGCCAAGATACTACTTAACCATGAAGATCCTTAGATACTCTGACAAAGCCAAAGTTCAAGGGATAAACCATTGTAGTGTCAAATGTGAGAATGCCTTTAGGCTCTGCCCTCAGAATTTGCTGAGCGCTTGAACACTTCACTACAGTCAGCACTGCCACTGTGGCTAAGCTTCTTTTGTTTGAGCCGGAAGTTTTTTAGTAGCTCTGGGCAGATTCCCTTAGCCTCTTGTAGCCTGCTCCCAGCTCAGTTCAGCAGTCAAAAGTGACCCTATTAAAGGAAAATTGTCTGGTCGCTATTCCGCTCTAGACATTCCAAATAGTCTGGTTTGCCAAGTAGAAGCCAGAATCCATTTATTGGCTTACAAGCCCTTACATACTCTAGAGAACACACCCAGGCATATGTTCTCACCTTTTACTGCTCTCAGTCACTCTGCTGAGACTTCTCTGGCTCTGGCCTGCCCTCTGCTGTCAGGTAGGTGCCTGCCCAGAACCTTGTACTCATCCTTCCTTCTCTCAGTCGTGTTTTCCTCAGACACCTACCTACTTGTTTTTTCCTTACTTATTGTAGCTCTCTATTCACATTTTACCTGTCAAGTACTCCCTCCTTCATCCTTGGTGTGTTGTTTTTTTCTGTAGGAATGTGATAAAAATATCTTAAATATTTGTATTTTGTTTATTACTCACATCTCATTGTTCTAGAATTAGAAGGGCAGGAATTTTGGTGCTATATTCTTGGCATTTAAAACAGCATCTCTCCCACAATGTATTCATGAATTTTTATTAATTAGAATGTATTTCCTTTATAAAGCAGGGGCTTTTAATCGTAAATGTAGGGTGTAGGTTGGGTGTAGCATTTGCTAGGAGAAAGGAAGTGGAGACTCATGAAGAACCCTAAGAGTTGGAAGATACTAAATACCTGTACTTAAGTCTTTTCAGATCTAAAGAGAAAGTTTACATTAATATCTTAGCTGTTATTATAGTAGATGACCCATAAGAGGGATAAATAATGGCAGCAGAGTGCAAGGATTAAAAAAAAATCTTGTCAATATTGGGGAAGATATTTCTGGTGGTTGAAAGTTATGTTTTTATCTGTATGAAACTTGGTTTTATAGAAAACTTTATTTTTCTCTTGCTCATTAGAATTTAATTAGTTGTTTGTATATGCTCTATATAAATTATTAAAATATTTTTCATTTTCTTCTGTTATTGTTATTTCATCAGTTATTCTCCTATTCGGCTTCTTGAAGTGTGTGTTCCACTACCAAAAATATTCATTAAACGTCAAGCCCCACTGAAGGTGTCCCTTCTCCAGGACCTCAAGGACTTCTTTCAGAAGTACGTTTCAGGGTCTTTGGTCATCCATGTTTGCTTAGTCGTGTTTGTAACCCATTGCTGATTTAGTTATCAGGTTTATTCATTTAACTCTCTTTTGAAATACAAGTAAGTTTGCTTTCCTAGTTATATATAGTGTGTGTGCAGTGTGAAAAGGAAAAGTTCAAATAATATAGGAAAATATCTCTAAAACATAACTAACAACTTAAAAATTTGAAGTAAATCCTATAGGGCCTTGTTTTGTTTTGCAAAATTCCATGTGGGTTTTGATAAGATAACTCATTATAGCTATAGTTTTATGTAAAAACCCCTTTCCTCTCATTTCTATAAGCTGCTTTGATGTAAGCTCCTTTAATGTGTGATACCCTCTCTGTCTTTAGAGTTTCACAGGTGTACCTAGCTGTTGATGAAAGACTTGCATCCTTGAAGACAGATACATTTAGCAAAACAAGAGAGGAAAAAATGGAAGACATCTTTGCACAAAAAGAGGTAATTTGTTTTTATAAAAATACCGAAGTTGCTGACTTACTAGAAATCCCTTTGTCTCTGTGGCTTCTTGTCTTATTGAACTTGGATTTGTTGCCTTCCAGATGGAAGAGGGTGAGTTCAAGAACTGGACTGAGAAGATGCAAGCAAGGCTCATGTCCTCCTCTGTGGACACCCCTCAGCAACTGCAGTCCATCTTTGAGTCCCTCATAGCCAAGAAGCAAAGCCTCTGTGAAGTGCTGCAAGCGTGGAACAGCAGGTGTGGCTTTGTCGGGGCTTCTTGACACTGCTGCCAAATGTATTCTACCTCGATATTCAAACTGTATTTCCTGGTTCTGGAGACTAAACCTAAGGCCTTAATGTTTGCTAGGCAGTACTTTACCACTTAGCTGAATTCCCAATCACAGTATTTTAAATTTAAATCTCTTTATTAATTATAGATATTTTATTTTCTTAGTTATAAAGATTTTTTTCTTTTGGCCTTGGTTCTCTTCATCCTTTAAAACATATTGCAGCTTTTACATAGTTTGTTAAGATTAAAAAACAAACCAAAAAAAGAAAGAGCCCTCTTTTCTGTTTCAAATGCTGCTGAGTAAGATCGAATTGGATCATTGTGCCATGAAACAACATCGGTGATCATAAAAATTCAGTAGTGGCTGCATACAACTTTAGCTACTACAAGAACAAGTTTATAAGTATAATTTAAGGTACTGGAAACAAAACCATGTCCTTTTTGCCTGTGACTATAGGTTGCAGGACCTTTTCCAGCAGGAAAAAGGTAGAAAGAGGCCTTCGGTTCCTCCTAGTCCTGGGAGACTAAGACAAGGTGAAGAAAGCAAGGTAATAATGGTGGTCTTTATTGTTTCATTGATAAAAATATAGTTAGTTGCATTTCTAACGCTTAGGAGTGGTAGTTTAATGCATAAAGTTTTTTGTCATGGTGTCAGTTTTCAGGGAAATATGATCTGGATTACTTTTATATTCTAACCCCAGTTAAAATAATGTGACATAATTAATTTATTTGATGTATTTGTCAAAAGGCTACTGTCCTTGATACACTATTGAGGATATTACAGAGGAAACCTGTAGGCTCTCAGATTATATAATAGAGTTCTATTTTTCATTTTCCTTCCTTTAAAAAACTATATTTATTTACTTTTATGTGCATGAGTGTTTTGCTGGCATGTATGTATATTCATCTTATGAGTGCCTAGAGCCCATAGAGCAAAAAGAGGGCATTAGATCCCCTGGAATTGGAGTTACAGATGGTCGTGAGCTACCATGTTGGTGCTGCTAACCAAACTTAGGTTGTCTGGAAAAGCAGCTGGTGCCTTTAACTGCTGAGCCTTCTCTCAAGCCTTCATTTTTCTTACTGTGTAGTTTTGAGTGTTTGATTTCTGCTTGAATGAGAAATCCTTAAGGTACTTTCCCTGGATAGCTCTCTTTTGCTGAAAACTGATTGCTTTCTTTTGCTGAAAACACAACACCACAAACTTGATGTTAAAAATGTGGACTTACTATTTTATAGTGGCATATATGACTGGGTTCTTTATTCAGAAGATCAGCATCTTCCAAGCTTTTCAGGTTGTTGATAGGACTCAATTCCTATAGTGACCGATCTTCTGTTGGTAGCTGTTGATGCTTTCGTTACCTGCCCTGCAGTTTGCTCCATCTTCAAGGCCTTCACCACCAGTCCAGTTCCTCTTGTGCTTCAGATTACTTCCTTTGTCTCTGACTTACATGACTTTAACATTTATGTACTTAATGTACTTACATCTAGATTTCTCTTCATTTGTGGTCAGTTGACTTGGCACCATTGTATTTGCAAAGTCCCTTCACAGCAATACTTAAGATTTTTGTTTGTTGGAGTAATTTATATCAAAGGTATATACCCCAGGGGCTGGACATTTTTGGGTCCTTTAGAATTCTGCCTGTCATGTTGCCCAGATTTTGCACGAATTGATACTTTATATCCTGACATTACTTTGGAGAGGGGTGTTTCTTTTCATATCACACAAACTGTTATAGATGAATGTTTTCATGGAATGATGGGTCCATGTGCTTTAAATAATTTTAGAAAATCAAATGGTTATTTCTTTTTGTCTGTTAAACAATTATTTAGGAATTGTATTTCCTCTTAATAGTTAGATAACAGGCTGGAGAGATGGTTAAGAGCACTGGCTGTTTTTTCCAGAGGACCCAGGTTCAATTCCCAGCACCCACTTGACAGCTCACAGCTGTCTGTAACTCTAATTCAAGAGGATTCAACATTATCACACAGACATAAATGAAGGCAAAAACACTAGTGCACGTAAAAATAAATGAAAATCTTAAAAAGAAAGGAAGGAAGAAAGATAGATAGAGAAAAAGAAAGAAATATACTGTCACCTATGAGATGATGTGCTTGTGGAAAGTTGAAAATTTACTTGAAATTCTGTTGCACTGCCTTTTGATAATTAGTTTTTAGTGCTTATTTTTGTTTAGGTGTTTTTCTAGGTTATATGGCTTTCTCTTGTGAACAAAAGCCATAGTTACTGTCTCATGAAGCATTTGCCTGGTTAAAAAGAGACTCATAGAAAACATAGGAATCCATAAGGATTTAGTGACTATAAAACAGTTATAGAGAACCCTAAAGAAAATAGGGTTTGGTGATGGTGTAGGTAAAATAACCTAACATAAAATAACCCACTACTATTACCTACGCCGGCATAGAGAGACTGTCATATTACTGACATATGAAATGATTTTTTAACTAACCCTAACCCTAACCCTAAATTCCCTGTAGGGCTTGTAGTCCTACTAAATGTTGTTCATGGGTAATAGGGCATAAGAAGATTCAGTGGATGGATAGTAAGAGATGAGTAGGTTTACTAGACAAACCTGGATGTGAACATGCTAAGGTGTGAGCTACTATTTAGAGAAATATTCTGAAAGTGATGGGCTCATGTCTGCATGTTTTCTCCTTATAAACTGCATATCTATACAAAGCTGGGACTGGTGTTGTAACAATACATCTCAGTATAGTAAATATAGAATCTAGCTGTCTTCTAGTTAGTCAGACATCCAAGATATTTCTGAAAATGTAAAACAGCAATACTCTTCATTATTTTTTTTAATTTTAGAAGACTAACTTTATTCTTCTTCAACTAGTTTTTGTATTTGTTTATATGAAATACTATTATTTCTAAGTGAACCAATTAGTGCATATTTAGGAATGTACTCAGGCTTAATTAAATAAAATGGCAAGAGCCACTTTAAATTATCAAGAGGTAACATTTTAGTGGAAACAGGTCCTGAGTTCAAAATTTTCAAGATTCACTGTGTTATATTACTTGTAAAGTGTGATTTTTTTTAAAAAATGCATCCTTAAGAATAGCTATAATGAGCATTCTTTTCGCCATCCTGGCCCTAGAGCCACGGCAGTCCCAAATGAACATGCAGGACGCTATATTAATTATGAAGCTGTTGGCTGTTTGCTAAGGTTTCTTATTGGCTAGCTCTGACTTAATTATTAACCCATAACTGCTAATATGAGTATTTCCACGTGGTTTTCTCTTACTGGAGAAAGGGTCCAGACCTCTTACTCCTCTCACGTCCTGCATGGCGACTCTCTACTCTTTATTACTTTTCCCAGAATTCTTCTGGACTCCTGGTCCCACCTATCTTGCTTCCCTATTGGCCAACAGGGCTTTATTTATCAACCAATAAGACAAACATATACACAGAAGGACTTCCTATCAAATAGCATTTTTATTTCTCTTTAGATAAGTGCAATGGACACATCTCCAAGGAATATTTCTCCAGGACTTCACAATGGAGAAAAAGGTTGGTCTTCAGTCTGGTGACCTCTTGCTCTTGCATTTAAAGAGATTTTGCTCTGTAAGTTGCTTTTAACTGCTAATGTGAGCATTATTTTCTACTACATGTCTACATGTGTTCATAGTTATTTTCCTCCTCCTCCTGTTTTTTTTTTTTTTTTTCTTTGAGACATAGTTTCTCTATGTAGCTTTGGAGGCTGTCCTGGAACTAGCTCTTGTTGACCAGGTTGGTCTTGAACTCACAGAGATCCGCCTGCCTCTGCCTCCCAAGTGTTGGGATTATAGGCATGCTCTACCATTATCTGGCATTTTCCTCCTTCTTATAGAATGTTTATAGTTCTTATTGGTCTGAGAGTGTCATAAAGTGTGTTATAAGAACATAAATTAGGATGTAGAAATACATCCAACATAGCCAGGGTTGCCAGCAGAAGAAAAAGAATAAAACCTGACATTGGGTTTCTCTTTTGCTTATGCTGCTTAGCCTCCTTAATCTATTATAAGGCTTTATTTTAGCATGGTTCATCTATATTTTATGCCCTTAAATTTTTCATTCTTTAATAACTTAGTGCCATTTTGGAAACTTTAGGGAAATTTTCATAGAGCTTATTGTTTTTTTTTTTTTTTACATTTTTCTATAATGCTTAAACAGTGATTCTCTCTCTCTCTTTCTCTCTCAGAATGAGTATATAAGTTTCCCCATGGTGTTCTAATTCCATTCTTGTTAAACCAAATCATTTGTAGGTAGATAATGTAGCATAAAGGAAACGCTATTCTGTTGGGTAGAGGTCATAATTTGTTGGTATAATTTTGTCACCAAAACTATATTGTGGTCAAATCATGTAATCTTTCTGGATTTTTATGTCAGTTTTTATGACATGAGTTACATGACCTAGATAATTTTTGAAAAGGAAAAACTTCCATGTTTTAAGAAGTAGAAATGCGAATTGGCATTTTAAGAGTATATTTAAGTTAGTATCAGGTGAAATGGAGTTATTTTACACGACTCATTTAAGATTATGTTTTTCTTTAGAGGATCGATTCCTGACAACCCTGTCCAGCCAGAGCTCCACAAGCTCTACCCATCTCCAATTGCCCACTCCTCCTGAGGCCCTGGCCGAGCAGTTAATGGGAGGGCCCTCTGACCTAGATACTGTCAGTGGTTCAGAAGGTAAGGTTTGGGCCATGTTTTACCCTACTTTATTGAATCTAAGACTGAGGTGATTCCTTGCCTTATGTGTGTCTCTGAAGAAGAAAAGCATGGTTAATTCTTTGATATAATGATTTCTTATCCTTTAGAATTTTTTATTTTATGTTTGTTTAAAGTTTTTTTTTAAGGGGCTGGAGAAATGGCTCAGTGATTAAGAGTACCTGCTACTCTTCCAGAGGACCCCAGGTTCAATTCCCAGCAACCACATGACAGCTCATAACTATTTGTAATTCTAGTTCCAGGGAATTTGACTCCCTTTTCTGACACCTCCTTGGATACCAGTCAAACATGAGGTGTACATATACACTGCAGGCAAAAACCCTCATGCACATAAAAAATTACTTTTTAAAGTACTTTTTAAAGTACAGCCTTTTATTATGTCTCTCCTTCATTAGCTGGACTATTTGACATGCATCACTTTGTGTCACTTTGTGTATGTAAATGTCCTAGGAAAGCAGTATTACTCATTACCTTTTGGTGGAGGGACATCTTTCTTAAATTGTGTAAAGTGTATTATTGCTTTGTAAGGTGAAGGAAAATTTTGCCATTGTTTTCAGCAAACATTCACTTTGTAACAAAACCCATGCCTTGCTTCTCTTTTCTTTTCTTTTCTTGTTAAGCAGTGTCTCCTGAATTCTAAACTTTGTCTCACTTTACCATTGCCAGTAAGCTCATGTATCATAGCCAGAGAACACATTCCTGAGTTGGAGTAGCAACACTGTGACAGCTCATGCATGGTCTGTCTCAGACAGTAATCCCCTTGTGGATCCTGTGGCAGTAAGAGACCACTGATACAGGATAATCTCAGTTTCAAATGTAAGGAGCTAAAAATGTCTCTTGGAATCAATGCTGAGTGCATTTCACTGTTGCCATTTCATTTTCTAAGAGTCACTTTCTTAGGCCAGAAAATGAAAACCATATTTATATCTGTGATGCTCAGTATGTCTGTCTTTATTCTCAAAGAGAAAAAGAAATAAAACAGACACTTCTACTTTTTATTTTTCTTGAATATTAATTTATAAGTAGAATATTTTTCATCCTAGATGTATTTGATGGGCATTTGCTGGGATCCACAGACAGCCAGGTGAAGGAAAAGTCAACCATGAAAGCCATCTTGGCTAATTTGCTTCCAGGAAACAGCTATAATCCCATTCCATTTCCTTTGTAAGTATTTCAAAACCAAGTGGCTCTCTTTTTACTTAGATCAGTTTATCAGCAAATGTGTTTCTTAATTCTAAATTTTACATCATCCTAGTAAAAGAGATGCATAACATATATACGTGTATGTAAAGGTATACTGCTACATTCCTTGACCTTTTTAAGAATTTATTTTAAAATTTTGCTTGTGTGTATAGTATGTGAGGGGTGTGTGTGCTTGTGTTTACATGTATGTGCATGTAAATAACCATGTGTGTATACAGGGTCTTTCTGACTTTTTATATGGTGCTAGGCATTTGAGCCATTCCCTCAGCCCACATTTATCTTTAAAAGACATATTGCTGGTTGTATATGAGTGCATTACCATCTCTATGATTCATTTAACACAGGATACTGATAAGAAGCAAAATGACCCATGTGTGTTTTCTTTTCCTTCCTTCCTTCCTTCCTTCCTTCCTTCCTTCCTTCTTTCTTTCTTTCTTTGTTTGTTTCTTTGTTTCTTTGTTTGTTTGTTTCTTTCTTTGTTTCTTTCTTTGTTTCTTTCTTTGTTTCTTTCTTTCTTTCTCTCTCTCTCTCTCTCTCTCTCTCTCTCTCTCTCTCTCTCTCTCTCTCTCTCTTTCTTTCTTTCTTTCTTTCTTTCTTTCTTTCTTTCTTTCTTTCTTTCTTTCTTTCTTTCTTTCGTTACTCACTCAGCCTGGAAAGGAATGCACGATGGCTGTAAAAGCTCGCTTTTCTACTGGGTGACCTGTATAGCCATCAAATGCCTTTGTTATGCTGGTATAAGTCTATCCAAAACATGAACATTTATTTATATTTTTATTCAATAGTAATTAAATTTGTATTTGGTGCCTGTTCTCTTGTCCCCAGAAGGAGAGCATTGCTCTTGGGATCTCATGGTCTTGGGGAGGAGACAAGTAGAGATACTCAGACAGTTTAGGATTCATTGCATGGTAGTCTTGTACAAAAGGCTCACTTTCTCAACTTGAGGTCTTAATGTCTTTCTTCAATGTCATTTGTTCCTTCCTATTTGGAACAATGACCTATTCCTATTAATGGCCTTTGGGTTCTCACCTTCTTTCTCAGTCAGGAAGTCACATTGTTTTCTGAAGAAGACTTTACTGGATGCTCCTTCTATGTCCTAGTACTAACCAAATTAGGCTGTGTTGTCAGGGTTCTTGTCTTCCTGTAGACTGCTCTAATGAATTTCTGTATTATGGTTTGCTTATAAACAATACAAATGTGTTTCTCACAGTTCTGGAGGCTGGAGGATTAAACTTGTGTAGATTCTGATGAGGGTCCTGGTCCAGGCCATCCTCACATGGTGGAAAGAGCTCACTTGTCTCACTTGATCTAAAGGCATTATCTCCTAACACCACTATACTGGGGCTAAGATTTCAACTTAGTATTTGGGGAACAAGAGCTAAACATTCATTCATAACAATTCTCTTACTATACATACCACAGAGAGTAGTTGTATTTATTTGTAGAATTGTTTCTTTACCCCCTATATTACAACCATGCATGCTTGTTTGTTCTCACTAGTGTATTGTTAGCGATGCATACATACAGAAAATACTGAAATAGAACAATCAATGCCGCTACCTAATGGTTCTCAGTGGAGTTAGAGCAGAAGTTAGGGGAGCAAAATTTGGTTGAAGTAAAGTTAGTACATCATTTCCATGTGATAAATAGTGTAGTAACTTTGTTATGTTATTGCTGTAGAACTAGAAGCACTATTTATACATAACTGTTAGGAGGCTTCTCTGAGGGTTAGAATAGAGAACTCTGTATTTTAATTATTTATTGAACATTCTTTTTTGAGACTAGTATGACCAAGGTCTTGGCAGCAGGTAAAGCTTTGGAGTAACTATTCTAGAACTCTATTTGAAACCTATCTACTTTTTATTTTATGTGTATGGGTGTTTTGCTTGCATGTATGTCTGTATATCACATGTGCGCCTGGTGCCTGGATAGGGCAGAAGAGGGCCTTCGATTCTCTCTGCACTAGAGTGACAGACAGTTGCAAAGCTGCCACATGGGTGCTAGGACTCAAGCCCTGGTCCTCGTGCTCTTAACTGCTGAGTCATCTCTCCAGTCCCCAAACCTTTTTCTGACAATTGTCCAATTGAGTTATAAACTTTTTCACTTTGTTGTTTAGTTGATTCATTTTTTTCAGCATTTGCAAGCATTTTGGCTTTCTTATTTATGTTTATATTACTCAGTATATAGTTACCTTAAAATTGTCCTGAGATTTGATTGTAATGTGTTAATCGATTTTATATTTGATTTCTAATTATATTCTTACTTTACCGAACAGTGACCCAGATAAACACTATTTAATGTATGAACATGAACGGGTGCCCATTGCTGTCTGTGAGAAAGAACCCAGCTCCATCATTGCTTTTGCACTCAGGTATTATAAACCTTTCTTGTAGTTACAGCTGTATGCTTTTAATCTATTAATTGCCCTATTTAGAAACTCTTTCCAATAGAATAAAGAAAAATGATTAAATACAGGCAAAAATATATGTTCTTTAGTCATGGTGTTTTTGCTTGATTTTTTTTTGTTTTGTATTTGAAAACCTTTACTCAAATAATGGGATATGGCATGGCTTTTAAGCAAGTACTTAGTAACTAATGTGACTTGGCATGGTATTTACTAACCCTTGAATATTCTGACCACACTGTCTAATTTATACCCTCAGAAACTTACTGTGGTTTAGTTGTTAACATAGCAGTGCAGCATACCCATTTTGGAATATCTGACTATCATTTCCTTCCTCCTTCCCATACATACTGGCTGAAATTTTCCTACCTAGAGGATGCTATTCCTGCCCCTTTTTCCAAAGACATGTTTGAATGTGTAACTTCTAGAGTTACTGTTTATCCTAAAGAAGCACCTTTAAAATACTTATATCTAATACCTAAAAACCTCAGAATCTTATTCATAAAACTATCTTGGTAGTGGTGAATTTAATTTAAATAGAATCTGAGGTACCTAACTAAAATTTTTCATTGTAAAGCATAAAAATAAAATTCTTTTTATGTATTGATTACAAAATGTCCCATTTATTGAAAAATAATTTGTTTATAAACAAAATGTGGTGCAGAGATACTGGATATACCAGAGTAGATGGTATAGTTGTGTATGCTTCTACCTTCATAGAGTCTAGAGTTTACTTTATATAACGAGAATTTTTCACTTTATAAGAGTCTATAGAATGAATCTTTTCTTTGTGCTTTAGCATTATGAAGATAATACTTGCTTATTACCTTGTTGACTAATCAATAGACATTAAAGGCACAAAAATATAACCATTTTGTAGTATTAGGAAGCAAGTGTTCTGAGTTCATGTTTCACTGTTTTAGAAAAATAATGTATACTAGTATTACTAATCCAAGAATCAGATTTTTAAACTTTTGAAATGTTGTTTAAAAAAAAGTTTAGCTCCTTTAAATAGAAAGTGACTGTTACCCTCTGTTATACTAAGTCTTAGTGTTTCTTATTTTTTACTTACCTGTTCATTTGATCCAGATAGTTGTAGCTAGGCTTTTTTTTTGTGGGAGGGTTGTTGTATGGGGGATGCTGATGGCCATTAAACTCAGGGCCTTCAGAACAAGAGCTTTCCTACTAAACTACATGCCAGCCCCTATACAATGGATATAGCTGACAAGTTGGTGAGTTTTAATTCTTTGTGAAGATGTTAATCTTCATAAAGCTTGTTAATTCCTAGTGTATTTGTTTAATTATGGACATTTAGAATGATTATGCTTCTATAACACAAAATTTATTTTAAAACTTACAATTTGTTAAAGAAGGATTTAACGTTTAACATTTTTCACCCTATTTCTGCCCCAAGTTGTAAAGAATACCGAAATGCCTTAGAGGAGTTGTCCAAAGCGACTCTGTGCAACAGTGCTGAAGAAGGGCTTCCAACAAATAGGTGATTAATGATCAAGTAAAATCTTCTGAAATCAAACTATGTCATCATTTTCTATATCCTTGGACTTTAGTTCTGTGACAGCATATATTAGCACAAAACCTTCTAGGATTCACATAATTCATTTCAGCTAGCTGTTGGAACAACAAATTCAAGTCTTATAAAAGACCTTACATAACCCTTAGGATATAGTTTCTGACATTTGCTGTGATGAATCCCTGTGTGCTACAGATTAAAACTTGCAATTTTTTTATGATAAAAATTAGCAGCTGTTTTATTTAAAAATAAAAACAGTAACCTGTAAAGTTAGTTGTGCTACTGCTTGGCTTTATAATTTTAAGTGTTGGTAAAGTTTCCATAGTACTAAAGAACCTAATATTTAGAAAATAAATACGCAAATCAATCCACTTGGCATGTTTTGTGTTTTAGACAGAAATTTGGCATAGGCTTATCCTTACTGAATTAAATCTCCTGTTTTACTGACCGAATAAAATTTATTATGAATTATCTTTGTGACTAAAGTAAGAAAAATGAAATTGATGTATTTCTGTAATTGACTTATAGTTCTAACAGTGTTGGGAAAATTTTTTATAAAAGTCTTGTTTTGTACATTTGTATATACTTTTCTAGTTCTAGTATTTTTTTAACCTAGTAGATATTTCAAGATTTTTTTGTAGCATGTGTTTATCAAAATTATGAATCAAATTTCTGGTATTGTGGGTGGCATTAGGTAAGAAATATATTAATCTAGGAATTAGGTTACTGTTTTTTTCTATCTGAATATCTTCAAACTATTTTTTTCTTTGTTTTCATGGTAGTGCTTTAGATAGCAGACCAAAGAGTAGCAGCCCTATTAGATTACCTGAGGTCACTGGAGGGCAGACAAGCCGTGCAGCAGAAGCAGAGCCTCAGCCAAGTAAGACTGCATTTTTGTTATATGTATTAATTATTATTATAGTGTGTGCATGTGGTGTGTGTGTGTGTGTGTGTGTGAGAGAGAGAGAGAGAGAGACAGACAGACAGACAGAGAGACAGACAGAGAGACAGACAGACAGAGAGACAGAAGAAGCATGAGTGTGGAAACCAGAGGATTAACTATTGAGCCATCTCACCAGCACCAAATGCAGATATTTCTATAATTGTTCTATTTATGATTTGTGGAAGAAAGCAAAATTGATAAGAAATGCCATCTGGTAATAATTGGTTTTTGAAAAATAAACATTTTTTAAATATCTTGTGTGCGTGTGTTTTTTTTTGTTGTTGTTGTTGTTTGTTTGTTTTTGGGCAGCGGGGGAGGAGGGGTTGGAGACAGGGTTTCTCTGTGGCTTTGAAGGCTGTCCTGGAACTAGCTGTTATAGACTGGACTAGTCTCCAACTCACAGAAATCTGCCTGCCTCTGTCTCTCGAGTGCGGGGATTAAAGGCGTGTGCCACCACGCCCAGCCTAAATATCTTCTTTTATAGATATTTTGCTTCTTCTCTGAGTCTTACTTGAAATGCAGATTCAATTTACTGAATTTAAAACTTGTAGAAGCCCTTTGTGGGACCTGTCTTTCTTGAGCTTTGGCTTAAAATATACAACCTATGAAACAGCAACAACAATGAACATGTTTTAAAATTTTATGTTGCTGTTGGTGTACTGACAGCTACTTTGGCATTGTCTCCTTTAAAATTAACCATAGTCCCATAAGAATTATCTGGTGCAGCCATACGTATAGCTGTGATAAATGACACTTTTTTTTTTTTGAAAGATACGGTGAACAAAATGTTTTCCTCTGTTAAAATATGGAATGCAGGGACTGGAAAGCTGAATGGCTTAGGGGTTGAGTGCTGGTTTGATTTCTAGCATACATGATGGTTAGCGACCTTCTGTAACTCCAGTTCCAGGGGATTCTGGCTTCTACAGGCAGTCATGCACATGATGAACAAATGCCCATGTGCATAAAATAAGAATAAATACATCTTAAAACAATTCAGAGCACAAAAGATACAAAGATGTTACCTTTAACTCTGACTTCTTTTAGCTTGTGAAATTGTTTCATGTTAGGGTTGTAACTCTACTGCAATATTTTAAGAACGCTGTGGCAATTTCATTCTACTGCTTAAAATATGATTGCTTTAAAAAGAGTTTTGTATGGTTTTCTGGAGAATTCTCACATTTGACCTTCAACTAGCTGAGCATTTGTCTTGTTTCCAGTGAGGGTGCTCACTGACTTTACTACGGCATGCGGAATTAAAATCTGCAAATGAGTGCATCTGCATAAGGCAACCCTTAGCTTCGTACACGACTCCTGCCAACAAAAGGTGGAAAACTTCTTTTCCAACCTTAGTAATCTGTAAATTAATATGTTACCTTTTATTTTTAAGCCAAAAAAGCTTCAGGAATGTTGTCCTTCTTCAGAGGAACGTCAGGGAAGAGTCCCGATCTCTCTTCTCAGAAGAGAGAGACCTTACGTGGGGCTGACAGTGCTTACTACCAGGTCGGGCAGACTGGCAAAGAGGGGACAGAGAACCAAGGTCTGGAGCCTCAAGGTATGTTAAGTGGGCCACATGTGCTTCTTTTAAGCTTTAATTTATTTTCCTCAGTGTTGTATATTTTTTATAGGTTTAAATAAATATTTGCTGAAGCTAGGACATTCTATTTTAACTCTAGTGTAATAAACCAAAAACAGCATGATACTTGAAGAGTCCATCTGGCTTCAGATGTCTGCAATGCTGTGTCTTTTGTGCTAGAATCAGAAAGCCTCAGTGTCCATACCTATAAAGAAACAAAAGCAAAGTCTTCTAAGGGCTCAGTGGCGTTATCCATGTAAATGTAATTCATAATATGTACTCACCTTTTCATTACCCATTACCCCCTCCAGATGTTTTCTTTCTTTCTCAGTCCCTGTGGCTATTTATGTACACCTTCATTTGGATATTTAAAAACTATATTACCTAATTATGTTTGGATATGGCAAATATGACCAACATTGCTGCTGCTTAAAAATAACAGGGACACATACATTCATTTTCTGTTGTCTGATTGCTTCATATTAAATTGGCCAGCTGAGTACTTGTCACTTAGTGAAGTATTTAATGTTGGGCTCCTTAGAGAAATCATTTGGTGACTTATAAGTTAGATCATGGACCAGTAATTTAAAAAATAGCAACTGTTCTTTAATACAGGGATTTTTGTCTGGTTTGAAAGTCCTACTCATAACCAAGAAGCTATTAGAATTGATTCCTGCTGGGAAAGGAAAATCAGTTCTTGCTAATGGAGTGTCACTGGGTTTATCAACCACACTCTAGGGCAGGCCCCATGCCCAGGAGTAAATTGGCCAACACAAAACAGATTACAGACTATATATTTTGTTTTGTTTTTATTTTTTTATATGTGTGAATGTCTTGTTTTAGTATTTTTTGTCTTAATAGATTTTTGTTTTGACTTTCATGTTTTTCGTCTTTTTTTTTCCTTTTTGGGAAAGAGGACTGAAAAGAAGTTGGGTGGGTAGGGAAGAGTGGAGGATCTTGGAGGAGTTGGGGGAGGGGAAAGAATATGATTAACACATATTGTATATAAAAAAGAAAAATCAAAACTGTAGATTGTCTTGGTGATATGCAGCTATAACCTTAGTACTCAGTAGGCTGAGGCAGGAGGATTGTGAGTTCATGGCCAGTTTAGGTCACCCTAATTCAAATTAAGCAAAATAAAACAAAAAAATAGCAACTAATAAAATGTTTTACTAGTAATTGAATTATCTGCTTACTATTCTGTATGTTACTGTTGGACTATAGGTGTATAAATGTGTTTCTTGGAGGGATATGATGCCTAACAAATGGTTTTGAAATGTGAAACTTAGGGTATGGTTTGTATTAGGATGTGTTCCACATCTATAGTAAACACAATGGATCTGGCCAGAAAGATGAGTCAAATGCAAAAGAAAAAACAACTGTGTAAGACTTTAACATACCAGAGAAGCATGTTTTTATATTTGAACCTAGAAAAAAATGTGCCAAAGCTGTGGGGATTCTTGATGTAAAGGCTGAGTTTACTGTATTGCTGTCACATACATCACTTACATGTAAGAAAAATTATTCAGCCTGAAATAGTGAAATCCCAGGAAAGAACATACATTTTTATTGTAGTCATTTACACAATTTGTCTGTCTTGTGTGTGTTTATAGTGATTTGATTAGGATATTTGTTTTACTAATTTGCTAACTTTAGTTGCTGTATTGGGAAGCAAGACAAAATGATTTTCTAACTATGCTTTGCTTTTATTAATGATATAACCTTTTAGATGAGGCAGATGGAGGAGATACACAGAGGAAACAACTTACAAATCCTCATGTGGAACTTCGTAAGTATACAATAACATTTTTTCCTTAATTTATTTTTTACATTCTAATCCCAGTTCCCTCTCCCTCCTCTCCTCTTCTTTCCCCAGTCCCCCCCATACAATAACATTTTGCCTAATGCCAGGGATTATAAGATGTGCAACTTCATTCTAGATAAATGAACTGTTTTTTTAAATGAGTATTAGGTGTTAGTATGAGTTTTAATTTATAAAATCTGTACTACTTATTTTCTTGATGTAGTTTATAAATTATATCTTGTAATTTTTAAAATTTAAATATTTTCTTGCTGTGTAATTGAGAGGCACAGAGCTTGACAAACAGTAAGGTGTTTATTTGAGGCTGGGGATGACGTGCTCACCCAGCATGTTTTTATGCCCTGGGTTCAATCCTCAGTGCCATATGGCCGTATGCTCATAAAAGACGATGTTTAAGAATTTCTTTTGAAGTACAGTGAAGAAATTACAGTAGTCAGTGTAAAAGTAGAGCACAGTCTTATATGGGAGTTATTCGAAGATAAGTAAGAGTGATCAGATGGTGTTCCCTGATGCTGTGAAGCTCACCACCACACAATTGTGATTGACCAGATTTTTACTTCATTATGAAAGATGCCATCATGGAGAAACCTAAATGGTTGTATTTGGTACTTGGAGAGGGAAGAGATTTTCTGTTTATGTAACTTTTTCCTCTCCTTTTTCAATTTCTCTTTGTAGAATTTTCAGATGCGAATGCCAAGTTTTACTGTCGGCTGTACTACGCAGGAGAGTTCCATAAGATGCGTGAAGTGGTTCTGGGCAGCAGTGAAGAAGATTTCATTCGCTCCCTTTCTCACTCTTCACCCTGGCAGGCCCGGGGAGGCAAGTCAGGAGCTGCTTTCTATGCCACGGAAGGTAACTCCCTTTACTTGCTAGTGCAGACAACTGACGAAGCACTTGAAGTGGGCATTGTGTGTTAGCTTTTGTCAACCAATGTTCTCTTGTTTCTTTCTGTTCCTGAGAAGAGCCATAGGCTCAGACATGGGGCAGATGCTTGTTGATCTTTTTCTAGTTCTGAGTTTTCCAAATGTATGTAGAAACTACATTAATTACTTCATATCTCTGTGATCCAAATACCTGACGGAGGCAGCTTAAGGGAGGACTAATTTCTCTCGGCTCATGTTTCAGCTCCTGAGTAGTTGGCAGTGGGAGCATATGGGGTTGGTAGCCATTCACAGCACCACAGACAGGAAGCAGAAAGTGAGGCTGGAGTAGTGGGGAAATAATTTTTCTCTGTTTACCAACTGGGACCCACATACTAAATGTTTCACACCTCCCCATAGTAGTATCACTATACTGAACAAGCTTGAAAACATGGGAATGGAGGGGGATATTTCAAATTCAAACCATAGCACACAGCTTGTAGGAAATTCAATTGGGTGCCATAGAACTGATAATAGAAAGGTAACAGTAGAAATGTTTGGCTAGAATATACAAAGACCAAGTTCTTTCCTACACAGGCTTACCTAATAGCATAATATCCCCCCCAACGCAAAATTATTTAAGACAGTGTAGATTTGTGGCTTGATAAAACAGTGGAGTTAATAAGGTTTTCTTTGAGAGTTGTAAAAAGTTAATGAATGAGTTCATGTTATGAATTTAGATTTGAGAAGTGGATGTTCTTGTCCATATAATCCTTAGAACTCCTAACATTTTAATTACTTGAGAATTGCTTTCTGATCAAAATTTTCACTATGTAGTTAAAAAAAGTTTCAAAACAGAAAATAAAGAGGTGATTTGGGTTCTCTGAAATGATTTCACTTTCATTTTATAGCAGACAATATGTATTATGATAAATAAATGTGGAATTTCTTCCTTATAGATGATAGATTCATTTTGAAGCAAATGCCCCGTCTGGAAGTCCAGTCTTTCCTTGACTTTGCACCACACTACTTCAATTATATCACAAATGCTGTTCAACAAAAGGTAGAAATCCTAAGTCTTGGCTTGTCACAGTTCATTGGTTTTTGGTTTTTTTTTTTTATACCCTCAGTTCTTCCTGATTGAAAGTTTCTCTGTGGTAAGATAAGAGCAGGACACACCTGGGATCTCTCTTATTCTATTGTGATGTGAAGGAATGGAGAATTTCCTACCTGTGCCACTGAGCAACCATGTAATCTTAAGCAATTAGCTTTTGTTTGGTATATACATACTTATATACATATATAAGTTAATTGAGACTATTAGGTGTCCATCTAATAACATATTTTTGTTGAGAAATAAAGGAGGTGCTTCCCTTAGCTGCCAAGGAAACCAATGGTTCATGTTTACCCACTTGCCATTGATCAATGACTGTGAATATTTTAGAAGGAATTATGGAGAGTTTTGTTTTGTTTTTGGTTGTTGTTGTCAAGTGATAATTTATTGTAGATTATTAGGGGGAAATAATATCCATGTGATGATAAAGTTTTTGAATTTGAACAGCTGTGAAGGACTGTCCTGTTGTATGTTTTATGGATCTACTAATGTTACTGGCATGCATTACATTCAACTGCAACTTCTGACATTGAAGAATTTCAAGTACCTATTCCTCGTATATCAGTAGAAAAAAACATATTATATGACTTAGAGATAAACTTATTTTGGTAATAGTTTATTTTGATCTCTTTTTGATTAGAGGCCCACTGCTTTGGCCAAAATTCTTGGAGTTTACAGAATTGGTTATAAGAACTCTCAAAATAACACTGAGAAGAAGTTAGATCTCCTTGTCATGGAAAACCTTTTCTACGGGAGAAAGATGGCACAGGTGAGGATTCTGGACTGTGTGAAGCATTTGACTATGAGGACCCTTTGTAGTTGGTTCTTAAATATAGTAAATTTGAATAACACATTGTGTTAGTCAATAGTGGACATTTAACTTATTTTTGGAAGAAAGAAAAATTGGTATGTAACTATTTTAAAATTTAACATTTAGTATTTTAGAATCAGGAGGCTGGTGGACTAAGAAGGAAGTTGTTCTCCCACCGTCTTAACTGTAAAATTGTATTAGCTGAGCACTAGAGAGATTGAGCACCTGTCAGTCACTTGGCTGTTCTTAGACTTCCTCTTGGTCTAGATGTTGTAAAAATGGCATTGTTACCTGATGCAGCTAACTAGGCACCTCTTCTAGACTTCGTAGTGCTTTTTGAAGTGCTGCTCCTTGACTTGTTTCTAGTTTGAAGACATAAACCTTGTGCTTACATGTAATTCAGTGTAGTAGTTTGTAACCAAGAATGTCTTTGTATGAGAATTCAGGCTGAGCTACACTGTGTGCTTAATGCTTTTACCTTCTGCTACTAGCTGTAACATCTTCATGAGCCAGGACTGACTGTAGAGCACACTCTAGGATGAACTGTTTCTACTCATTGAGTTCTTTGACATCCCTACCCTCCAGATATTCTGAAATTTATGCTCTCCTTTGTTCATTGCCTTAAATAATTATATAGAGTTTTAATGTTTTAAGTTTCCTAAGACTGTTTGTATCTTCTTTCATACTGTTGGACAATCTGAAACTTTTTAATACATTTTAAAATTGAAATTGACAGATTATTTCTGAACTGCTTTAATAATTGAGTACCAGTATATTGTTTTATATGGTACAATTGTATCCACATGAATTTAATGTATCATATACCATGTACTTTTTATATTACATGTTTATATCACTGTGTATTTATGATCTAAATTAGAAAAGTTAAATTTTAAAATAAAATTTAGTGTATATTATAATAGCCACAAGGAATTCTCTTGCCTTTTAATTGCACTAATTAACTATAGGGGAAAATTTGTACATAAATAATAAAGAATTTTTGTTTTGCTAGGTTTTTGATTTGAAAGGTTCACTTAGAAATCGAAATGTAAAAACTGACACTGGGAAAGAGAGTTGTGATGTAGTTCTGTTGGATGAAAACCTCCTAAAGATGGTTCGTGACAACCCTCTGTATATTCGTTCCCATTCCAAATCTGTGCTGAGGACCTCCATCCATAGTGACGCCCATTTTCTTTCGAGCCACCTCATTATAGACTATTCTTTGCTGGTTGGTCGAGATGACACTAGCAATGAGCTGGTAGTTGGAATCATAGGTAAGTCAATAATTGTACTTATGAGCTTTATAGCTCATGATTAAAACTAGAGTAAAATTTCAGAGAGCTGAACTCATTTAGTTGAACTTATAATCATTGGATATTTTTGGAAGCTTCAGTTATAATTTCAAAATAAACAAGTTTTCATTCTAGTCTGTTATATTCAGTTTCTTCATTTCTAAAAAAATAGATAAATGAAAAGGTAATGATAATCACTTTAAAAGAAGGGTCTGTGTCATGGTTGTAGGAATTAACTAGAGTAATGTGGGGACAGCCCTTTGAACAGCACTGGTAAGGGTGTCATAGAAATAGCAATAGTGCATTTCGATGTTCTGGCTTATGCTTCTGCTCATGTTGCCCTCTTTCCATCCCTAGATTATATTCGAACATTTACATGGGACAAAAAGCTTGAGATGGTTGTGAAGTCAACAGGAATTTTAGGAGGCCAAGGTGAGAAAATGTTGCTTTGTTTACTTTCAAACTGTTCTCATATATTCCTTGAATATTTAAGGTGCTAAAGCATGGTGGTCAGGCATGGTGGTTTACTGTAATTCCAGTGCTTAGGAGTCTGAGGTAGGAGCATCATGAGTAAGATCCTTCTCTACACACAAAACCAAACCAAAACAATGTGGTTGCCTCTGATGTTCAAAAATGACTTTAATGTGAAGAAGTATGTAAATAGGGAAATACTGGGTTTATGCCAGAGGTTTTCAAAGGAAGAAATTTTTAAAAAGCAAGAGATTCTGAATAAAAGATTGTCTTTAATTAACACTTGCTATCTTTTAGATTCTCTAGTTCATTACTGAGTTTAGATATCTCTGATCTTAAGAACTCATGCAGATATATATAGATATATATATATGTATTCAGTCATAGCAGACACCCTGCCTCCACTCTCAGAGTGCTTTGGCATATAGCAGTATATGGTTGGTTAAATTAGTTGCCCAATTCATTTTTTACTATGAACACACATTTAAACAGTTTTATTCCTTCCTTCTGTCTTTCATCATCTTAGGTAAAATGCCAACTGTGGTCTCTCCAGAGTTGTATAGGACTAGATTTTGTGAAGCGATGGACAAGTATTTCCTGATGGTGCCCGACCACTGGACAGGGTTGGATCTGAACTGCTGAAATCATGCAGATGATTTGAAACAGACTGTGAAGGAAAGTGGATCTGAGCAAGAGACCCAAACTATATGACACATATTATTTCTTTGTTTTATATATCACTGAACACAAAGGCCTTTCAGTTCTGTGACTGTCCACAGACTGTCTTTAGACTGTCCATAACTGTGGGGTAAACGCTCCATGGATTGTACTTTGCTTCTGTTACTTGAAATTAGCTGTCTGTAAACCAGGAAACTGTACAACGTTAAAGACAGGTTCTTTTTAAGGGCTGCAATTGGAGATGAGTATGTAGGGTAGGAAATTGAGTTATCATATTTACTAACTCTGTCACTCTGTTTGATAGACTGTGACTGTCTGGTAGACTGTAACTGATAGATTGTGAGTATTTGGTAGATTATGACTATTGTCTGGTAGTCTGTGACTGTCTGGCATCACATTTGACACTTTTTCCCTGAGAAGGTACTTACAGACTTGCATAATTCATTTTATGTTTCCTATGTAGTAACTTTGTGTTTATTCTTATAATTTCTGAAACTTTTAGGAAAAGTCTGATTTATTCTATTAATTGCCAGTTAAAACAGATTGGTGCTTGCTTTGCTAGGAATTTGATTTAAACTGGGAATCCTGTCATACTCTGTATTCTCCATCTTACTTTGTTTGTAACTGTGTTCACATTCTATCTTTTCTGCAGGAGATGAGAGCCTAAAACCATTAGCTTCAAAGCCTTTCATAGAGCTTTGTAAGGAGCTTGTTTAAAACTTCTCTGTAATGTACCAAACAGCACTCAACCCACATGTGTGTTTGCATTCTGGATTTTCGTCTCATTTTGGGGAAACAAAATGAGCAGTAAATGAATACGTAGTCACTGAATCCCTAAATGAATAATTAATAATGACAGATTTTTTTTTACAGTAAAAGATAGATTAAGGCCAATCCAAGAAACTGAGAAGGAACAATTGTTTTGTTTTTTTAATAGTGGTAAAGTATCTTTCATCACTTCTAGCAGTTTAATAGGATCTAAAACGTTTCAGTGTGGATACTCTCATTTTTAAGTTTCTACCACACTGACCAGTGCTGCTGAGAAATGCTAAGAGGTGAAGTGATTCCCACTTTAAGGACCTTGTTTACTAGTCTGTGGTCTCATCTAAAAAGTGGTCAAGAATCCTGAACTGTGAGTAGATGCTTTTACCCCAGAATAGTGCCCATGTCCTCTTGGCTTTTATGTAACAAGGATATTTGGACATTTATAGAGTTGTAATGATTCCATTTTTTTTCAGATTTCCTCTAATAGCACAACAATATTGGAGAGAGAGAGAGAGAGAGAGAGAGAGAGAGAGAGAGAGAGAGAGAGAGAGAGAGAGAGAGAGAGAGAGAGAGAGAGAGAGATTGGGTGTGATCTGCTTCATAGAATAGTCTGCACCTGAACTAGACACAAGTTTGGCAAGTTTGCTGTAGAGAATGAAGTGGTAACCAACTGTTTGTTGCTTATTGCGAGCATGACTAGTTTTGAATTCATAACAAGTTGAATAAGGGCTTATGTCTACCTGATGTTAAGCCTTGGCCTCATCAGCCTTTCATCTGTGCCTTGTGAAGGTGGACCAAACACTGAAGAGTCCAGCTGTGATATTAGAGGTCAGTAAAGTAGTTGTGCTGACATGAAATTGGCATGGAACTCTTACTTTCTGTACACCCAGACACAAAGGCTTTCTTATCTGCCTTGGAATGCCAGCTCTGTTTTGTCTCTGCTCATTTCTTCTGTCCTCACTTCTTGCAGGACTAGAATTATGTCTTGTTGGTTTCAGTACAGTGCATGTAGCTGAGCTCAGGGCAGTAACCAGTAACCCCCTAGAAACATGGCACCTCCTTCCTCTCTTGCCCCTGACCTGGAAAGCAATTTTGCCTTTTAAAGTATTGTTGCCTCTGGCATTTTGGTGACTAAACTTTCTGAAGCAAGAGTTATTGCTTTGAAAGCTTGACTTGTCCTTTTAAAATTAATGTCAAACTGGTATTAATGAAGGGGAAACGCACAATTGAACTGTTTTGAAAGGTACAAGTGTGTGACTCCTGGCTATTTGCGTTTAGCTGCTACCATGTATATGTATGTATATTTAGTATTTGGAGTGCTTTGAATTGAATGACTGTTGTCCTCTTGAACTCCCTTTCCTGGTCTAGAGAATATTAATGTTGAAAAGTTGTGAATAAGGAAGAAATCTCATGCTCAGAATATAACATGAATTCCAAAGCAACCGATAGAAACATGAGAGAATTATGACAGCATATTGCTTTGTATAACAGTCTTATTTATAAATATGAAGCTTTTTGATGACATAAAGTTTTGTTAAAAAAAGAAGAGACTTAAGTTTTTCCTCTCTGCCTGAGGGAAGAAAGGAGAAATAAGCTGTTATGAGCACTTTGTAGTCACTGAGGGTTTTTTTTTAATAGCTTCTCAAGGTTTCCTATGCGGTGTCTGAGCATCTATGTAAATAATAGGGCCATTCATGCTGACATTGACTTATATGACAACTTTGTGGCTGATGGTTTCTTGGCACTTTAACCATTAGCAGTGGACTTCTTGGAAGTGCTAAGGAAGATTATCAGCATGTAGAAAGTTAGCTGAGTTTCAAGTGTGAAAACTGTTGCCAGTGAGCTTGGTGAAGTCTGACCAGGACATTTATGCTCTCAAAGTGACTTATGCAGTATTTAAACATCTAGTGCAATGCCTTTTTTTTTTTTGGGTTGGTTTTGTAATAGGTGCAGTGTATTATAGAAAAAATGAAAATTACAATCATGAGCAGTTTTGTGAATGCTGCTTTGTCAGTTTTGTAAAAGAAAATGTACATAGGGTCTTTCAACAGGTTTTAATCTAGAAGAAATAACATTGTAAATCACAGTAGCTTCCTAATTTAATATGAAAAACTCAATATTGAAAGTACTTATTGTATTGGAATGTATATATTTCTCTAACTTTGTTTCCAGCTGTTTTATATGATTAACGTGTTATTTAAAGATAACTGCCCTAGCCTTTTAGAGACTTGTACTGTAAATAAAGAGGACCTACAATAAACTGGAATTTACTTTACTCTGCTAAGTTTTGGATCTGTTCGAAGAAGCTAATGAAGTGAGAGGAAGTTCTTGCCTGCTTGTGTTGCCCTCCCACTTTTATTCTCTTTTCATTCTGTTTCCAATGGGAGGATTTCAGTTTTGCATCCTGACCAATAATGGGCATAGCTGTATGGGCCATCCCATTCCTGCTTTTAGTTTTCTTGATAGAGCATTCAAGGAAGGGAAGCCCTTTTCTATACAGGATCTGCAATTGTGTGAGTGGGTGGGGCTCTACCATTCATTACTTTCTCCCATGAATTTGAAGATAAATACCGCACTGACTGAAGCTGAACCTATCTCAGTGCTGCTCACAGTTGTGGTCCTGAGGCTGTGAGAACCACTTTTGCCTGGAAGATGGCATAGGAACTTGACCTGTCCATTCCACACATTGATGGGGTGTTATACCCTATTTGGGGTTCATGGAGTTCACTTTGTAGCTAATGCTTTGGGCTTTTGTTTTCTGTGTTGGGAGAATACCTGTTTGCAAAATGTCGTGACTGGTGAGTATTGAAAGTTTGGGTTTCCAGCACTGGGAGACACGATATAATAGATCAGATCCACAATCTCTTTTCTCTTTGTTTCTCATGTGTCCTTTTTATTGTTTGAAAACTTCATATATGCACATAATGTGTTTTGTTCAAATCCACCCCCTTTCTCTCCCCTTCAATTCTTTCCCATTCCCTTCCTCACATCTTTCTTCCCTATTTCATGTGTTCTGTTTTTAAACCCACCGAGTCTACTCAATGCTTCCTCTATGTACATGTGTGTGGGATCATCTGCTGGACTATGGATAGACAGATTACTGAGGTAAACGGATTCTCCCTCTCCCTGAAGGCTAGTTTTTGACTAAGGATTAGGAATGTCTGACTCAAAAACCTTTCCCAGCCAGCAAAGAGTGAGGAAGAAATTCTCCTTAAGCCATTTAAGGCCCCCTGTGACTTGAAATGCAAGTGCATGCCAGCTTGGTGGAATGGCACTTGCTGCCAGACCTGAAAGACCTGAATTCCCATTCCAGAAACACCCATAGTGGGAGGAGAGAACCCACTCCCTGCAGAGTTTCCTCTGAGACTGGTGTATATTCATAAAAAGAAAAAAAAAAAGCTCTAGGGAAAAAATCAATCAAGGAGAACTTAAATTGCAGAAATTATTATACCAACTCTTCTAAACATCTAAATACCCTGAATAGGAGACATGATTTGGTTCTATGATAGCTAGTCTTAGTTCTCAACTCTTGACTACACCTGGAATTAATTTAAAGCCAAGCAGCTGGCACACCTGTGAGGAATTTTTTTGTTTATTTGTTTTTAATTAAATCACTTGAAGTGGGAACACCCACTTTTAATCAGCATTTTTTGTGCTGTGAAGATCCACCTTTAACCTGGGCCATACCTGCTGGTACCCTAAATAAGGATATGGAAGGAGGAAATTCTCTCTTTGCCCATTTCCCCTTACTCTGGCTGGCAAATTCATTCCTCCACTAACATTAGAGCCTACATCTTCGGAGTTTTGGTGTATACTGAAAACCACCTGAGACATCCATCCCTGTGGATCGAACACCTACTGGATTCTTGGACATCTCATTGGTAGACAGCCATTGTTGGACTAGCTGGACCATAGCCTGCAAACCACTCTAATAAATCCCATATTATTCATATCATTTAGTGTAATGCCTGTTTTGGTTCTGTTCCTCTAGAGAACCCTGACTGATACAGATCCCTTTTGAAATAATTTTGACTGCCTTATGCCTGTTGTCATTTCTAAGCTTTTTATTTCCATATTAGATAATGTTATGAGGATTCAGGTAAATGATTTAATACACTCCAGTATATATGAAAACTGACAAAGATCATTCATATACAGGTATAAGAACATGGCTTTCACCATCTGACAAAGGCCTGTACCTTTTGGCCAGTAGACTGAGATACTTCAGAGCTGTTAGAAGATAAGCACTGTCACTGATAACGGCCCCTGGATTCACACCAGCCACCATGAAATAGGCAAATTCTTTCATCTAGAAATTTTAACAAACATCTTTTCTCACTTGTAGAAAGATGGGCTGGACATTACTGTCTTACCTTCTTTTATTCTTCCCCTCTTCCTATGTGATGATCTCCCCTTCACAAATAAGGTTTGGTTCAACTAAACCATGCCTTTCTTCACAATTCTAGCACAACCTACATACCCACTGCTTCAGTATTCCAAACACTGGCCATCTCAACTAATGTCAATTGCTTGTTTATACCAAGTGAAGCCAAACCTGACCTAGTTTTAGTCTCTCAGTATACCTATCTGATAGACCCCTTCCTTAGAATGAATCTATGAAAGTGTGCAATATATATGAAGAGACAAAGCCACTCTGTATCTTCCTGTGGTATAAAAGTTCAAGGTCACCCTTCTCCAGGGTGTAGAGTCCATTATGGAACAAACATCCCATCTGTTCTGTACCACCTGTTGGCTTGCCCAGTGCCCATAGTTGTAGATGGATAGGAACATTGAACAATGTAGTTTGGTCATGAAGTATAACATTCCTGGATAGTTACTAAGACCAAACTGAAGGTTTTGTCTGCCAGGCATGTTGTGGCCTGCATTCTTTCCTGTTACAGCCTCAGGAGTATTGGAAGTGAAGACATAAAGATGCCACCATGACTAATGCCACTAGACCATATAGCCTGGTAGGTCACAGATTCCCCTTTCCCTGGCCTGTAAACAATAGTGGTCTCATTTTTATTTGATATAAGGTATATAGTGGGTTTTTTGCCTAAATGGTCAAGGTAACATAGATACTGTGTGGTGTCCCTCATTAGGCGTCTATCTTCCAGGGCTAGTCAGTCAAAAACTTTGGTTCCTTCATGCAAAAGGTAATGAACATCACATAGAGATGCTTCAGGGAAGACATTATAGACAGTCCTCATGTAGTGTGACTCCAGGTTCCATTCAGTAATGAGGGCCCTTCCCTAGCTTATAAATCTAGAAAAAGCAAATTCTAGACTTTTCCCATAGTAAAGGGATAAAGATTCAATATGACCTCACAGGCCTTGGAAGCATGGCAGTCAAAAGTTAGGGTAACCTCTGATGTACTTAGATATGCTGACTACTTACTGTAACTTACCTGAATATAGTGCTGCTTCCATGTAAACCACACAGGGCAGATGAAATCCACTTCCTATCCTACATCAAATAAATGAGACACAGTCATGTATTGTACCGACTGAGTCTAGGACTGCAGGACTTGCTCAAGGGCAGTGTTGAGGCTTTGCTTCTCTGTGTGTGCTCAACGTTCTTCCTTTGCGTAGATTTCCCATAGCAGGCTCTGTGAAGAGCTTCATGTGATATTTCACCTACCCACCAGGAAGTCATGAAATGATGTTAAACTGAAAACATTGAACACAGTCACTTGCCTCTCTCGAGTCAAAGCAGAGCTGTGGAGGAAGTTCTGCTTTCACAGATCCCTGGGAGATTTCCAGACAGGCAGATGACTGAGTTTGCAAATGAGCCTGATCAGAATGTCTCTGCTTGCCTTCTGAGGCCTTAGCTGGTAGGCAGCATCCCCCACTCCCACTCCAGCCACCTCCTCCTTCCGGGGCAGTTAGCTTCTGTCTGTTGCCAATTCACAGATCCCAGAGCACTCAAACCCAAGTTGTAGAGGAAAAGTAAGTCGACCAAGTTGATAGTCAAACTGGGAAAATCTGCAAAGCATTTTCTGTAGAAGTTGTGAATATGACTTTGTGTTTATGTTATAACTTGTAGCAGCTTGCAGGGAATATCAAAAGTTTCATTCGTTGGGGGACTTGGATAGAGTGACATCCTGACTATCTCTGCTTGCAAAGCTTTCGGTTTCTTCCCCCTTGCTCTGTTCAGTTGCCTTCCTGGTAAAGGGAACAGGCTGAGGCAACAGCTTTGCTTCCATATTCTCCCTGCTTGTTTCCTCGATGATTTACCACGTGGGCACTGTGGTACACACCACATGTACATGTGCATACCCCCATACAATGAATGAGTAAACAAAAAAAAAGAGAAATGTTAAGTATTGTGGTTTGAATGATTAATCAAAACTCATCTTGGATTTAGTCCCTATTGTGAGGTGTTAAGAAATGAGATGGAGAGGATTGAAGAGGTAAATAGGTCACAGAGGTGCACATCTTTTTGTTTGTTTTTGTTTTTCGAGAGGGTTTCTCTGTGGCTTTGGAGGCTGTCCTGGAACTAGCTCTTGCAGACCAGGCTGGTCTCGAACCCACAGCTATCTGCCTGCCTCTGCCTCTGCCTCCTGAGTGCTGGGACTAAACACGTGCACCACTACCACCCGGCTGAGGCACACATCTTATGATGGATTGATCCATTATTAGATGAATGAAGTATCCTGGAATAACTTGTAAAAGCCATTCTGGGTTTGCCTTTTTGTGCTCCCCTCTAACCATGTGGTGTCCTGTGTTACCTCAACACTTTGAAGAGTTCAGAACAGCTGAAGACCATCAATCTTTGAATCTCCTAGCCCTAGGAACCCTGAAATGATTAAACCTTTATTCTTTATAAATTACTCAGTTTGTATTATCCCAGTTTTAGCAACATAAAATGGCCTGTAACTGTAAATGCATTGCTTGGAAAACAAAAAGCAACAAATAGGAAGGGATGGTTATGTTAGCTAAGGTCTATCACCTAAGAAACCTACTGTGAAATCTAGGGAGAACCGCCACATTAGTCAATTACTGGTTTTGGTGACTATGACCATTATACATTCCTAAAAGAAAGGCCCAGTGGCAGGCTTGTACACAAAAGAAAAGGTTTGCCGTATATCCTGGTGCCTTAGGCTGGAGTGGAAGCTGTGGGGTGAGATGGAGACCCAGAAAGGAACTGACAAGCAGCAGACAGGAGCATGTCAACATGTTACTTTGCATCCTCAATACTTCTCAGGAACGGCCGTCTATTGGAAGACTGCCCACCTTTCCCCATGTAAATCAAGAGTCTTGGTTTGTTAATCTG